CTAGTCTCTCTTACGTTTCCTGTTGAGTTCCATAGCATTCTTTAACTGTGAGCTCATACATTCTGTTTCTCCTCTGGTAGAAACATATTCTGGGTCAACTCCTGTGTTCGCGTCATCTGCATAAAGTTGTTTATATCCCACTTCAGGTTTGTATAAAACTCTTTCCATCTCATATTGCATACCATGGTGGCAAACCTAACGCAGCGTCATTTGACATGGCAGTTTGCATTTGTACATCTGTTGGCACTTGACCATAGTTTGCCATTGCAGTTTGTATTCTAACTTCATTTGGAATATTCTCTGGGTTTGGTTGTCCAGGTTGCTATGCATTCGCTAAGTTCTGTGCGTCCATTTAATATTAGATAAAAATATCTCTTACGAGTACATATACTGAACATTTGCAGGCATTGGTTCATCTTCATATTCTCTGTACTTTTCTGCCACGTCAAATAAATAAATGACACAATGGAAAAAAACCTAAAACAAGTAGTCCTATTTCAAACCACATTTACTTACTAATAAAACTTCTTTATTGTGACACTTTCTCCGGTTTATAGGACCTCTCTCATATTCTATCTTGTCATATCTAAACTCATAGTCATGTATGTCCTCTAACCATCTCATAACGGTTTCCAAACCACTTTTATTGGATGTAAAGTAAAAGCATGGATGGTTATGTATAACGTCTAAAGTTTCTAAAGAGTCTCTCAAAGTCCAGTCTACTTGGTATTGAAAATCCCATGTGTTATAGAACGGCGGGTCCACTATAAAGAAAACATTTTCCTTGTCTTTATATTTTTCATACAACTCTGTCCAATGACATCTCACAAACTCTATACCCTCAATATATTTTTCTATGTTCTCTTTGAAAACATTTGTATAGTTAAGATATAAAACTTTTGACATAAGTGTTTCAATGTCATGAACTCTTATAGAACCACTATATAATAGTCTAGCAGATATACTATCCCAGTCTATATATTCTGCTTTTTTCAAAACCTCTCTCACAATATTTTTGTTATCTAATGGTATACGTTCCATCTTACCTATAGGTATCTTTTCTTTTAACTCTTTCAATATATTGTTTGTGTCTGGAATATGTTTGAGACGGTCCATATAGTTGTCGAAGTCATTGCATATAATCTTTGAGTCTGGGAATATTGTATGACATAAATGGGATATATAGAAACTTCCACCGAACAAATCTACAAATGTTAGACCATTCGGTAGTTTCTTAAGTTCTCTCAATATAATATCGTTACATCTACTCTTATTTCCAAAGAACGGTAACGGCGGTTTTGTAAAATTCATTTATATATAATAATAAAAATGTTTTTACCTGAAAAGTGACAGAAAAGTGACAAAACATGAAAACATATATAATTTGTGAAAAGCGACACAAAAAGTGTCACCGGCTGGTCGGCTGGGGTTCGGTCCTCCTCTTGGGTCTTGGGAAAAATTTCTTATGGGCTAGAGGGCGCAACGCGCCTGGAAGCCCTCCGAATATAAACTTCATTTATACTAAACATCTTCAGGGCTAGAGGGCGCAACGCGCCTGGAAGCCCTCCGAATATAAACTTCATTTATACTAAACATCTTCAGGGCTAGAGGGCGCAACGCGCCTGGAAGCCCCACTACCTTTTTTTTATTTAGAATGACCATTCAGCTAGAGCGCTTATAGAAGCATCAGATAATGGGTGGCCGGATAGCCAAAAACGTGACAAGGCTGTCCAAAATAATATTTTTAAAGCTAAATCTAAAATTCCTTTTATATAAATAGTGGTAAGTTAGAATATTAAGTTTGAGTGAGATTTTTGAAAAATTTCCCAAAAGTGATTTTGAGAAGCCAAAATTATAATAAATGTTAATAAAATCTAATTTAAAGGCTAAATCAAAATAAAAAATAGTAGGTAATTTTCATGGGTTAAAAATCGAAAATCTCATTCTGGATTTTTATATAATATTTATATTCCTATAGTTAAATGAAATAAATTTATCCATATCATTTGAGGAAAATTGCATGAATTAGAAAATTGGCGGGGTTTAGCGATCTTAAATTCTCTTTTATAGCAATATTTGAATAGGTTATTGCTCAGTTGGATAACATCCCGACCAAGTTCGATTCTAGTTTTTGTTATTATTTTTTTCCCTTTTTCCTTCCTAAGCGAAATTTTAAAGTACAAAGTTGTTAAATCAATACCCACACTTATGTTAATGTATAATATATGTAATTTCTGATATTATATGCTGATTCTAAAAAAACATTAATTTGATTTTCATAAATTTCGACAAAAAAATGTTCTAAATGTTGCATGCTAAGTTCAGTCAACGATAGGAATTGAGGGGAAATTAATCGTCGAGGAAGTACGATTATGTAAAGTAAAAAATGTTGTGGGATTTTTAATATTGTATATAATTTTATAATAAAATTTTTGTGAGACATTTTAAGAAGCACATATAATTTTTTGAATTTAAAAATTAAAGTAGTGTTGAATGAATTTATTGATTAATTTAATACGGATATTTCTCAAAATTAATCAAAAATAGGTTTTCAGATAACTTTTGAGATATCTTTTCAAAATGTCTTTTTGAAAATATATAAGTATTATATCAAATTGAAAAAAGGTATTTATCAAAATTCTAAATTCTTAATAAAAAATAACTTTTCAGAGGATTGTGATTTTGAAAGCATGAGTAATAAGTAAAAAATATCTACGATTTTAATGAGGGAATTGTTCCTTATGAGGTATACATTATAACTATATACCTCATAAGGAACAATTCCCTCTTGATAGCTGGGAAACTTTCTCTGAATAACTTATCATTTGGAGAAAGTTTCCCAGCTATCTATTAGAAACTAAAGGCTGTGAGGCACTAATATATAATCAGTGCCTCATAGCCTTTAGTTTCTTATTAAAAACGAGAAAACTTGTTCGAAATGATAAACAATTTCGAACAAGTTTTCTCGTTTTAAGGAGGGAATTGTTCCTTATGAGGTATACAGTATGAATATATACCTCATAAGGAACAATTCCCTCTTGATAGCTGGGAAACTTTCTCTGAATAACTTATCATTTGGACAGAAAAGTGACACTTTACATGGCAAAAAATAGAGCCTTACTTTTGAGATACTTGAGATTGAAACTGAATCTTATGAGGCAGTGATCTTGAATCACTACCTCATAAGGTTCAGTTTCATATAAAATTTGTTGCAATTTGTTATTCTTTTGCAATTATTTCTTATAAGATTTTACATCTTTTAGCGGGGAATGTTTGTTATTATGTATATATTATAAATATCTACACGATAACGAACATTCCTCGCTAAATTGCTGAGAAACTTTGAGGAAATGTCGAACAATTTCCTCAAAGTTTCTCAGATTTATATAGATCACTAGAGTCCCCTAGGCACTGATTCTGGTTCAGTACCTAGGAGGCTCTAGTTCTCTAACGAACTGATAAAATGTTTTTAAATTTTTGGATATTGCTACCTGTGAAGCACTGACTTCAAGTCAGTACCTCACAGGTAGCAATTACATTGAAAGATGGGAGAAACTTTGTCGAATGTTAAACTATTCGGACAAAGTTTCTCCCATTTGTAGTGGAGATGGAAGGCTTTGAGGTATATTGTATTAATATATACCCCAAAGCCTTCCATCTCCACTTGAAAGTGTCCAAACTTTGGGTTAATACTTTGCAATTAACCCAAAGTTTGGACACTTTCTAGAAGGAATTGGAGGGTAAGAGATATACATTCATATGGTATATCTCTTACCCTCCAATTCCTTCTTAAAATGGGAGAAACTTTGTCCGAATGTTAAACTATTCGGACAAAGTTTCTCCCATTTTTTGAAGGAATTGGAGGCTATGAGATACTGATGCAATGTCAGTAACTCATGGCTTCCAATTCCTTCCTAAAACTCATAAAAGTGGACATTACATGCATATAAAATTTGACATGTAAAGTCCACTTTTTGTGAGCGGGGATTTGACTCCGTCAAATCCCTTTTTCGTTTACGAGAAAGCCAAATTCTCTCAAAAAGTTAAGTAGGACCAATTTTTTATAAAAAAAATCCAATTTCATTATGAATGTTAATTAATTTATATAATTATTGAATAAAAATTTTCTTTGAGATTATGAAAAGTTCTTTGAAAAGTTATTTTTTCTCATTTTTAAATATTGTATTAGCCTATTTATTTATAATCCAAATTAAATAACTTTAAATTCAATATTTAAAGAATAATTTTGAAGGAATTGAGTTACTTCCCCCGACGATAAAATTGAGAGGTTTACATTTTGACCGAACTTAGCATGCAACACTAAATACTATATATATTTTATAAGCATATTGAAACATCCTTATTATGGACCTTGCCAATTTAGGTCCATGAAAATTCAATATAGCACAGTAAAGCCGCAATACCCATTCAAAATCACTGACAGTAGAATTTAATATTACCTACATAGAGGATTTTTGGAGAGCAAAGATATATTAAATTCTATAACAGAGTTTTCCCCAAGAGAGAAAAAGTCAAAATTGATGAAAAATCAAATAAATATATGAAATTTTAATTATGCATAAAATGCTAAGAAAATTTTTAGGAATCCGACATCGTTCATCGGTTAGGATAAGCGGTTCTCATCCGCTGGAGCGGGGTTCGACTCCCCGTGTCGGAAAATAATTTTTTCTTTTATCTATCCGTTTGAATTTGAGTTATCCATCACATGAAAATGATATCTATAATATAAATTGCAAAAGTTTAGCATGTAACTACATTAGAGTATAGTATTTTGGACCATTTTCTGTTATAAGTGATGCCAAAATATCAATTCTTGAGATTATGAAGAAATTTCCTATCAATATTTTTCTTTTTGAATTAGGGATATTAGTATATTTAATCAAAGAGTCATTATCTTGTTACCAATTTTGAGTCCAATTTCATCGACTTCGGTTAGACTTTGAAGGGATATCAATGGTCTACAAAAAAGTGTCAATAAAATGTCTGTTCCTCCCTGGCAACGCGCAATTGCTATTCCAGGTATGCTTTTTTTCGGAACTTGCACCGTCGTTATTCAGAAATTCTTGTTTGAGCAAACTTCAGTTGGTAGAGACTGCTACAAAAATCCACACAAATTCAGCAAGCCATGGTTCCAAACAAACTCAATGTTTGTCGGTATGTGCCTTGCCCTTGTAGTTTATGAAGTTCAAAGATGTTTCGAAAAAGCTAAAACACAAAAAGAAGATACACTTGCTTCTCAACTTGACGAATCACAAACATCCGAAGCTGATAGAGGTAATAAGAATCACTGGAAATTCTACTTCTATGTTGCTGGTCCTGCTTGCTGCGATTTACTTGCTACTTCACTTATGAACATTGGCTTGCTTTACATTCAAGCTTCTGTATGGCAAATGCTTCGTGGTTCCATGGTTTTCTTCTCCTCAATTTTCTGCGCTTTCATCCTCAAACGCCCACACTATCCATACATGTGGTGGTCTGTTCTCTTCATTATCATTGCCCTTGCCATTGTCGGTTTCGCTGCTGTTGCTTCTACAGGTGTTGGCAAGGCTGGCGTTACAACAGGCCAAGTTGTTATGGCCATTGCTTTAACAGTTGGCTCTCAGCTTATTCAAGCCTCACAGATTGTCGTCGAAGACTTCCTTCTCCACGATCTTACATGCTCTCCAGTCCTTATTGTCGGTCTTGAAGGTATGTGGGGCACAATCATCACATGCGCTCTCTTCCTCCCAATTATTCAGAACATGAAGGGCCCAGAAGGCAATGGTATCCATGAAGATACATTAGATACATTCATCATGATTAAGAACAACACAGTTCTTATTATCTTCGTTATTTTCTACGTTTTAGTCATTCTCCTTTACAACGTCACCGGTATGTTTGTTACTAATATTACATCTGCTGTCGTCAGAACAATCCTTGAAGGCCTTCGTACACTCTGCATTTGGATAGTCCAACTTATCATTTACTACGCAGCTCCAAGGAGTTACTTCAACAAGCACCCAGATATTGGAGAAGCCCTCACTCCATGGAGTGCTATGCAGCTTGCAGGCTTCCTCCTTTTGTTCACTGGAATGCTCACATACAACAAGATTCTCCGTATGCCATTCTTCAAATACCCAACCGATGGGCAGCCGAAAGTTGACGTTATCAACGACGAGCCACTCATTGCTAAGGATAACTAAAGATTTTATTTAAGTTCTCATCTTTTAATTCATGAACAACTTAATATTTATATAATAACTAACAATATTTATTATCTACTTTGGTTTTTAGATTTTTTTTTAAGGGTGCACTACGAGGATTAAAAAGTCCTCAATTTTTTCAGAGAGTTTTATCAATTTGCTAATCCTCCAAAATAATAAAAACTTACTTTTTTCTTTACAGGAATAGATTTTTTTGATTAATATACATCATTTAGAATCACATAAGGTAGCTTCATATCATATATAATTTTTGAGGTCCAATCTCAACTCCTTAAGGGATTTTGAAAAACACTCGAAAAAATAGGATTTTCGAAAAATTTTTAGCATGTTTATGTTTCTCTTTATTTTGACCGAGAATTATAATTTTTCTTTTTACCATATCATTGGTACATATATGATGATTCTATTAATACAAATTATTTTCAAAAAAACTCGTTTTTCAAGGACCTTAAGGCTTCTCTCCGATGTGAACTGATCCTCTCAATTTTTCCATGATCTTAAGGTACCAAACTCCTCATGCAGTCAGTTTCATGGGGTATTACCTATAAGATATCATTGCTTGACCTTTGCAGATATTATAACAAAGGTTATTTTTTAAAAAATCCTAAATTTAAAAGAACTTGAAATTATTCCGCATTTTTCGTCTAAAACAAGTTTTTTTCAACTTTGGATAATATGATTCTACTATTCATGTGTTCATCATTGCGCTTACTCCCACCTCTAAATTACATACATTTTATGTCGAAAAAGTAGATTTTGGTCTAAATTTTTTCGATTTTGTACGAGGTTTCCGAAGGGTGGTGAAGTGACTTTTTAAAAACTCTGATGCTATATTCATAATCCTTATTAATTGAATAAGCATAATCCACTCTTCTTTTTTTTATTTTGCATGAAAAAACCGGCATTATTTAAATCCAAATTTGAATTTGAAAAAGAGTGATTGTAAATGTTTTAATTGGAAGTATGATATGCAAATTTACGGTCAATTAAAAGTTTTTCACTTGATAATCTTTTTTGTTGATGAATTTTTGATTAAAAGGATTTCAATTAGGTATTTTGCGATGTAACACCTGTTATTCTGAAAGAATTTAGTTTATCATCATGAAATTATATACTGATAAGAAAAAAGTCTAAATTTGATTAAACTGATATAGGGATAGTTGCCTCTTCAAGTTGAATTTCTATTATGAAATTCATAAAAGCCTATAATAAATGTTTTGGCAAATAATGTTTTTATATCAATTAAGAAAATCATAATAAAGTAAATTATAGCATTCCTTATGCCAGATAGCTTATCATACGAAATAGGGCATCACTATGTTCCTTATATTAGATTCGAAAATAATGAAGAAGATGTATTTGTATATCTAGATGATGCAAAAAATATTCACATTACAGATTTTGAATCTGTTTGCAGCATTCAATTAGAAGATCATAGGCCAACTTTATTAGTATTTGAAAAATTTGAAATTTAATTTCAAGTAATTATACTTTTTATATTGAATAAATATTTGTTTGTAACATTCTTTTGAATTGGTACTGTTTATTTTTTCATCTATTCTTTTGAATATAATTTTTAAAAATGTAACGTCTTATTGGTTTCGGAATACAAAATAAATTAATAGGTTTGAATATATTCTCTAGGCATTTTCGTAATATACTACTTGAGTTACATGCATTCGGTCAAATTTTGGATAATGCAATTTAATCTTGAGCAAAAACAGCGTCTTCGGACCAACAAGCATTTAAAGAACCCAAGTTGTATTTTTTTTGAAATTTTTTATTTTTGAGGTATTAAAATCCCCGTCTCCAGAAAGAATGTGAAATGAAAGCTGATACAGACCGTTTGGTCGGAGAGAAGCCTTAAAAAAGGCCCAAAAAATCCATGACCTGCACTCGGAGGATAAAAAATTTTAAAAAGTAGTGATTTAGTCTTCAAAATCATATGATAGATTATATAAATGGCATATATTAGATATTCTATATTATTTTTGGCAAAAATTGATGGAATTGAAATAATATTTCTTATTTCTGCCGAATTCTCCTAAAACTCATAAAATCCTCAAATTATGAATTTGTACATAAATTGAGAAAGGTAAATCTTCATTCTTCCAATGAATAAAAAAAAAAGTAATTAAAAGTTATTTGTTTAGTAACACAACAATCTAGTAATATTTGAATATAAATCATATAACAAAACAGGTAGGAGACAATTGTTTGAAATTTCGCAAATAATAAAACGAAAATCATAGTGTGGGTTTGAAATTTACAATAACTGAACGCAGTGTGTATGAAATAACTGATCTGTTTGAAATTAATTGCTGTAAATTCGAAATAATATTTTTAATTTGGTATAAATTTTGAATTTAGAAGCTGTGAATGAAAGGGAAGCAAGTACTTAATGAAGGAATGTGTTTGGACCAATGTTCATTTTTTCGCTTTTTTTCGTATTTCGAAGTACCCAAAGTACAAGGATTTTTTTTCGAAAAAAAGGAGGATTAAAAAACCGTAATCCTCCTTGTGCACCCTTAAATAATTTTTTCGAAATATATATATTAAGCCAGATTGACCATCATCTTAATCAATACAAATGATCTTTTTCATCATATTAATATTCATTTCAATAATTTAAATATGAAATTTGAAATTTTATTATTAAATCGAAGTTAAGGATGTGATTTGAGTTTTATTTCTTATAGATATCATTCTCGATTAAAACGAATCTGATTCGGAAACTGTCATTATATTTTGATTAAAAAAGTTAGCGTAAAATATAATTAAAATTTAGTAAAAACATATATTTTTAAGCGCCTTATTTGACATCAAGTTGAGTTATTCTCATTCTCCTTGTTCTGCCCTGTGGACGTTCATCATCACCATTGAAAATGTAAACAGAATAAACAAGATAGATTAATTGGTCTTGGGCACCCTTGAATTTGAAGCCCGATGTATGCTGAATTCTGCATTTCTGATTGTTGAGGAAATGATTTTTAATTGTCTCGCGATCTTGATCGCAGAGATTGTTATACTTCTCGAAAAGCTTGTCATTTGTTGTACATCTCATTACATCATCGCAGAAGAGCTCATGTGATTCTTCAATCTGAGGAATAGGCCATTGATCGCCTCCCATTTTCTGATAAATAAATTTTACAATTTTGTAAAGTTTATGTAATTTTTCAGTACTACTTCAGAAAAATCATTTTGATATTAGAAGTTAGTAAAATCGAATATTGTGTATATGCAGATAAAATGATTTTCGAAAAGTGACATTACGTTCGATTTCTCCGATAAAAGTTGAGCACTTGATTTAACTATGGCAAATTGGCTCGAGTTGAATATAATTGGATTTCACATCAAGTATGTAATATGGTTTATAGACTACGTTCTCATTTATGTGATTACGTATTTGAATATTTTCACATGGTGTTAAAAATGATCCTTACTAAAGTGCATCACTACTTGTCTCAACCTGATTGAAAGCTGATAGTAGAACTTGATGACTAGTGATTTCTATTCAATATTCTTTAATATTATGGTAAGATCATAAAGATAATGTCAAGATAATATGGACAGTAGCAATGATATTCATGCCGAAAAGTCAAACCTTTGTTAAGAAGAATTCATAAAATTTTTCTTGAGAAATATATAGATGAAATGTGTCTACTATGTGATATTACAAGATATTTTGTCTCTTTTTATTTAATAGCAAATTTAGAAACAGAAAGGCAATTATCGAATCAATTGCGAATAAATTTAATAGGATATATGTATTTGCTGCTTACAATGTTAGGCCTAATGAGAGCTAAGTCATTTGTAATAACAGAATGAATATTAAAAGCTCATAACAAAGAAGTCTTCGCTTCTGGGGAAAAAATGAACGAAAAGTGGCTATTCAATAAATGCCGATCTCAATTCGTCGTATTAAGATAACTGACCTTCCAGAGATGCAGCAAACAAATTTATCATGCCTCGCAGAAAACTATGGTATGTGGTTTTGGCTATATCATTACTTAACATTCCCTGCATCTTCTCATTGCGCTGTTAATTCCCAAAATCATGTTCTTGGATATGTACTTAGCAAAATGAACGATGAACCTTACCGAAAGGCTACAAATGAAGGTCTTCACGCTTTAATGACTTCGGTCGCTGTATATAATGGTTATAGAAAGTTAGGTCTTGGAAGACAATTAATGATTTTATCACAAAGATCAAGCCACGAATGTTACAAAGCTGAATTTGTTAAACTACACGTCAGAGAAACAAATCGCGCTGGACATCAACTTTATGAGAAGACTTTAGGGTATGCTAGAATCGCAGTGGAAAAAGGATATTATGTTGATGGCGAAGACGCATGGTCAATGAAATACACTTTTCCAAAATCTGAAAAAGAACTTGCAGAAGAAGCTGCGAAGAAACAATCTACACTTCAAAAGAAATCAAGGAGAGGAAGGAAATAAGTAGTTCCAAACAAAATTTTCATGTTATAATTTTCATCATTTGTTTTTTCTTGAAAATATATTAGAATTTATTAAATACATCTATCACAAAACAACTTTACTTTTAAATTTTTAATCAAATTATGTTAAATAAGCCTTGAAACAAAAAATAACTTTAAAATTTTGCACATGAAATAATATCTCTGAAATAATCAGCTTATATAAATAATATGCATTTGGTTTCAATTTCAAAAATGTATGAATAGTAAAATAATTTCTGATATTCCTTTCGAATGATATTTATTCAGCCCACAGAATATGTTCCGACCATAACTTCCTAAACTACTGGTTTACAAAGCATAAAAATATCTTGGTGTATAACTAAATATGACAGCAAGCATTTTTATCTATAGCTATTTTCATCATAACTTACATGTTAATCTTCGCATCAATATATCATGTTGTTTAGTTAGTTTTGTTCTTTCTTTCATGAGTAATAGAGTGAGTTTTCATACAAAATAGAATGAACTTTCATTAAAAATAGAATTAACTTTCATGTTCTGTAACAATAGTAAAACTGAGAGTGAATATGTTTTACTTACAAAAAGAATAGCTATGTTATAGAATAAAATTTTTATAAACATTTATTATTATATTTTGTTTTTTCATTGAGGAGGATTTTGTTCGGTACTATTTTCTTCTTTTTTAACAGTTTCATTTTCTTTTTGTGCCTGAGCTATCTTCTTATTTACAACATCTCTCAAGTATTTCTCTATGTCAAACCTTGGGATGTTCTTTGGCTGGTTTGCCATTGGCGTCTGGCTGAAGTTTGGACTTTGAGGATATTTTTGACCCATTTTACTTGTATCAATCATTGGATAAGGAACAGCAAAAACTGGCTGCGAACTTGGAGTTCCATTAGAATTAGTATACCTGACTGGTGTACTTCCAGAGCTTTTATTTGGATTTTCAATGAAATGTGGGATGTCTGAGATTAATTTAGCTCGAGTATTTAACATTTTGATCTCACTGTTGAGTACAAAGTATGTATGTGGCTGTAAAACTGTGGATTTGATCCTGTCTTGTTTAAAATCTTCAAGGAAAACTAGATATGCTTTGGTAACTACATCTCTTGAGTAGTTAGGAAGCAAATTAACAAGCATTTCAAGGATACTAGAACCAGAATCTATGGAACTGATTGCAGAAATGAAATCTTCCCATAAATGAGTACAATTTTTTTCATTTCCGTAATAATTTGAAAGGATTTTAGCTGATTCAATCGAAATTCCTACTGGTAATTGTGCGCTAATACCATAAAGTCTGCAATCAAGCCAATTCAATAATGAATTAAGTGTTTTATGATTCATTCTCCCCAATTCATGAATATCCAGATTCAAATGGATATAGAGACGGTATAATCGCTTATCTATATAAGGATTTTTATCATAAAACTCTTCAAGCTTGCGGACATCGTAATCATGATTATTATTTACGTTCAAAATGCTTTCTATGGCTCTTAATATGTTGCACCTTATTGTAAATCGATCAAAATCTGTGTAAATTGATGATAATTCATCCCAAACGTTTTCATCGTTGATTAATCGATAAAAATCTCCGAAAATACTCTTCATTTTGATCTCATTTTTAATGACCTTGAATTTAACATTGAAGTGTTTGCTCAAATTCGGTGGAATTGTGAGATACTTGAAATGATTTTCTGAAAATCCGGATTTAATGAATTCAAAGTGTTGTTTAAAGCACATTTCAGTTAATATACCATACTCACTGCCAAAAATTTTGAACATATTGTTGTTTGGATAACATTTCGAAAGAGTGTAAAGAAATTTTTGTTCAAGCTTGTAATTCCAAGAAAAGCTAGGTGCGTATGACTTCTTCTGTTGTTTCTTGTGTATTTTATAGTCTTCAATGAGATAAGGAATGTATTCTGGAATCAAATAATTTTTTACCGAGTAAGTGTTGGTTGAACATGGCTCGTATTCTTTGTAAAACTCGTAAAATTCTTTTGACGCATTTACAAAGCGCGGTAATGATTCTGGGTCAAATAATTTTTCCGAAATTTTTTCAACATCTTCCAAAGTAAAGCTATTGAAATATTCTGCTTGGATTTTTTCCAGAGGAATTCCATTTTGGCGTCCTTCGAAGAGCCTTGCCGCTTGTGGATTTAAACAAAGAACTAAATTTTGGTCAAAAGCCGTAGCAAGCCAATAAATCAAATAAGAAAGATATCCTTCGGAGTATTTAGGAAATTGTAAACGTGTGAATTTCATATTTGAGTCTGTTTCGTTTAGATATTGAAGTAATAAAATCAAATTGAAATTTTCAACGGAATCTGGAGTAAATTTTGTATTAAAATCTACTGATTTGAAGATATTGTTGGCTGTTAAGTTAGTGAATTTGGGATCATTGACTAATTCAGGTTTTGATAAAACATCCATATAAATTCGAATGCAATCAGCTGCAGTACAGAAGGGAAAGTTATCTGCTATTTCATGCCAGGCGGAAATATTTGTTAAATCTGTTCTTTCGGAACATAAAGTAAGTAATCGAATTATATTCTCTTCAGTCCATTTATTTGTTGAATCTGATTTAGTCTCTTCATTTTCTGATTGATGCTGTGAATGTTGTGGGCTTTTCGGAGATTTTTGATTCTTAGCTTTTGAACTTGGAACATCAACTTTTTCAAGCTCTTCATTCGGTGGTTTTTCTGTTGAATTAACTATTTTCTTCTTTCTTCCTCTTTTAGCTGGTGTTTTTGCTTTGCGTAATTGCGTTGCTTTTTCTAAATCATAGTTTGTAGATTGTAATAGTTGCTGAGCTGCTTTCTTAGGCATTCCTAAATTCATTAAAAATCTTTCTTTTTCCTCTTTTGATGTAGAATCTTGTTCTTTTTCTGTTGAATTATTTGAATTATCGCTTTTATTTAGAATTGTAAAGATTAACTTATTACTACTTTCGGCATTTTCGATTTTAGTATTATTTGAAATCTTTTTGTTATCTTTATTTTTAACAATTATATTTTTCGGTGAAAAATTAACAGATTTTCCTACAAGAACCTTTAAATCTGAAACTAATACTGGGTAAGAGATATCCATATTAAAAAATTCAGGCGCTTCTCCTTCATGTTCTATAAATACGCCGGGTTTTTCATTCATGACAAGACTTCAATTTCAGAGAGATATAAAAGTGACAGTTAAACGTCTTTGAATTTAAGAAAACAAGAATCATAAAATACATGTTATAGTGGTCTTAAAATTTCACAAAATTTTACATTTATTTTATAAAAAATGGATGAAGAAATAAAATCATTAAGAACACAAAACAAGCAACTCAAGGAAAAGATCCGTGAGCAATATCAAGTATTTCAGGAGGAGAGATCGAAGCTTAAATCTCGAAATCAAGTTCTAAGAACACAATTATATCAAGAACAAGCAAGAAATAAAGCGGCTATTGAACAATTTTCAGAAAAAATACGTCTACTTGAAAATAAAATAGCATCGAAGCAGCAGTATGTTCAATTTCCTCAATATAGAAGACAGCCTACAAATTATACAGGAAAAACATCTCGTTTTCAAGAGCTTGAAGAAAGAGGTCGCAGACTTGAGCGTGAAGCTGATGAAATATTGCTAAAATGCCGATCTGGTGACCCAGCACTTTTCCTTCCACCTCCAGACATCTATCAAATGCCAACATACAATCCGAGAACAGATTTCAATTACGATAATCAAGCCAATGCTTTTAGCCAAAATGTTAAACCTGTTCAAAAACAAACACAAATTCCTAAAAATTCAAGAAACACTAGAAATTCAAATGATGGCAATCAGGCGTCGAGGGTTTCATATCACTCTAATCTTCAAGATTTCGATGGAATTCGAAGAACATCTCAAAATAGCAACAATCCTTCCTCAATTTACGATGATAGTATGTGTGATAATGATGTTTCCAATGATTCGATGATTGTTGATCCAGTGAATACACGTCGCAAGGATAATTCTGTTCATAGATCGAATTCGGAAAAATCTGCGCCATTGCAGCAAAAGGTTGAGCAGCCGATCAAGAGATCTTCATCCACTCCTAAGCAATCTAATGCCAGTCAGAATCCACCACCAAAAGAAACTAAAAAATCAGATTCAAATTCAGAAAAGACGAAAAGTTCCGATAAAAAGAAAGTATCTTTATCAGAAGAGGCATCTGATGCCTTGTTTGGTGACTTTGGAAGTAAGCCTGCAGAGAAAAAGTCCAAATCAAGTGCAAATTCATCAAAAATCCAAAAAGAAAAGCCTCAACCTGTTGAACAAAAGTCGATATCTGAAGATGTATTCGCTGAGAACTCTATTCAGCAAGAAAAACCAGCTCCTTCTAAAGAAGACGTTTTTGTAGAAGATAATTCAACAGATGATGGAATTGATGTATTTGCTAATGATCCATTGGATGGTTTCATGTCTAGTCCTGCCCAGAAGGAAGAAAGCGACATCAAAGCCAATGCACCAAATGTTAGTCCTGCAGAATCAAGTAAAAACAGATCGGATCAAAAGCAGTCAGCAAGTAAAGAACAGGATAATAAATCTGATGTGTTTGATGATGGATTTGATGATAATTTCGGAACGAGCTTTGATATTGATATCTAACATTTCATTTTGTTAATAATAAAACTATTTGTATAATCATTTTAAAAAGCAATAATCTTCTCGAAATTATAATCTGGTGATCTTGATTCATGTGACTAGGCTCATGTTTAAGTTATGATCTCTTAGGTATCATGGATTATTAACCTTTTTGTTAAAAAAATTTTTTCAAAGTAATTATTTATGATGAAATATTGCTTGTTTAAGCAAGATTTAAGCATGAATACGAAGATATTATCTACATAGGAAAGAGTACTTTGGTTGGTAAGATCTAGAATTTTAGCTGCTAAGAAGCTTGATTGTAGAACATATCTTATGTGCATCATTATATTTTGTTCCGTGTGAAATATGGATTTTGATTGTTTTTATACTATTGTTTTCTGCTGCATTCTTAACAGCGGTTATGGTTCTTCATTTTCTCTTCCAATTTGATAATTCTATAAAAATGATTTAAAATATTAGGAAAAATAAGAAATTATAGTTATATACGGATGTTTTACGCCATAAAAAACATTAAAATCACTAAAACAGAATTTTTTACATTAAATCTTAAGTGAACTTATTGATATGGAACTTACTTTCAACAATAATGAGTTCATTGAAGTGTGCATTGATGAAGTTCTTCAATTCCTGGAGTTTGGCCGAAAGTTCAGAATCTTTCAAATCTGCTGAATTTGCAACAGCGTATATTTCATGAGTTGAGCATTTGTAGACAACAATGACTTCCTTTTCATCTCTAAACATGTATTCTCCATCAACTGCGTTTGTTTCGACCATATCGCAAGATTTGGCTAATTGTTTGGAGAGTTCTTGCATCTTTTTGATGGAATCTTGTGGTTTCTGGCCTTTGAAGTGCGGAGATATCGGATCTGTTATGTAAACTTGTCCGTAAGTTATTGAGTGTAATGCCCAGCAATAGAAGACCTTTGGCTCCCAATCAAGAGGTTTCTCGAGTGTTGCTATGTATTTCTCCTCTAGTTCCGCGAAAATATGTGTTGCAGCTGAGTGATATGCGACACCAAGATTTGGTGAGTCGGAACAAAGCATAACAAGGGCAAAATCACTGCTCTTATGCTTGTTAATGTAGAGATGGTGCATGCCGTCTGTAGAATCCCTTGCAAAGAAGGGAGTCCACGATTCTCCGTTCTGAAATGCAGGAGTCCACATGAGATCTACGATCAAACGTAGAGACAATGAATCGCATGAGCATTTTCCTACGGCCAAAACGCGATTCCTGTACATTAACATCGATAATTTGCAAGAAGGTAGTTTATCGAAATGGGAAATGACTGCTGCACGTTGTTCTGGACGCATATGAGAGACTGGAACAGAGGGAGCGAAAATAAATGCAGGGTCTTCGCTCATATTATTGACAACGCCATCCCAAGCTGGTCTTGTACCTTCTGCGATCTGTCTGAAGTCACAGGCTGGACGAGCTGATAACTGATTGATTAAGTTTTCGGAGAAGAGAGATAAGAAAAGGCTGTATAAGAAGTTTAATTGTTTGAATAAGTAAGAAACAGGAAGAGATGACTTTGAAACTGCAATAAAAACAAATGGAGATTTCGGAAGAAAAACAAATGTGTGTGATCCGGCTCTGAAATGATTTAATTCTTCGTGCAATGACTCCATGTGACCAAGAATAGCGACGCATGTGCACAAGATAGGAGATAGCTTTTGAACAGTACCATATCTAGAGTAAACTGGCTTTCCGGCATCTGTAACTATGAATAAATGAAGTTCTTGACTAGTCCACTCTTCAGAATCGGGTCTCATATCAACAGGATCAGTAGATTCTTCACTCCTTGTTCTACTGAGCCAATAAAGAGGTGCTGCTTTCTCTTCACCATTTTTAGGTGTTTCTTTTGGAGTTTCTGCATCATTTTTAGGTTGATCTGTATTTTTTGCTGATTCTATATTTTGTTGAGATTCGGTATTAGTGTTTTCGGTATTTTCGATTTTATTTTCCTGATTTGGTTGTTCAGATTCGTTATTTGTTGTTTCTGGAGTATTTTCTTGGACTTCTTGAGGTTTGTTCTCTTCTATCTGTTGAACATTTGCATTTTCCTCTGAAGTTGCCATTAAAATTCTTTTGGAAAAAAGTGACAAATTTGATGAATGGTGCGAGTCAAACGAAAGAACTTGCATCACGAGAAATAAAGGTGATAAATGATCTAGTTGAGCAATGGATCGACGCTCGCGAAAAGCAAAATAACTCAAAATGCATTGAAATTAGTGACCAAATCCAAACTAAGTTTAAACATAATAAAGCACTCATTTCTGTTCTTAGAAACATTAACGATGAGCAATCGATTAAACTTTTCCAAGTAATGGAAGCTCAACAGCAGCATTTTTCCGATATGCTTGCGGCTGATAACCAATTTAATCCTAACGAAGCAGATGACCAACAAAACTTTGAAGAAAATATAAGAATATTGGAAAATCTTAAAGAAACAACAAAAGAAATTGATAAAACGCTAAATGATCAAATCAATTCACTCGAATCAATATCATCTTTAGCATACGAAAACCACAGAATCATGAACCTGTTAGTACCTAAAGTCAGAAAAGCTGATAAAGACATCACAGAATTATTTCTTCTATTATTCATTGCCGTTTTACTAATGTTTGTTATTATGTATCTCTATTCCAATCATTAAACTGTTTGTATTTCTTAATAATAAAATTTTTTACATAAAAATTATTAAACTCTTATAAAACGAAGAAGTAGAATCTGGATTCATTAAGTTATATGATATCATAATATTATAATGTTATTTACTGGTTTAAAGAGTATGTTTGTAGGTAAGAATGCAAACCTTCTGGATGGGATAATTAAAATTTCAAAAAATTAGATAGAAACAAACAGTTCTTTAATTCAAAAGATGTTCCTAGGTTTATGAAAGCTGTAAATATTAAAAATTAAGATTTTGAAAAATAAAATAAGAAAAAAAAGTAGTAACTGGTAAAAATGAATTGAGAAAAGAACTGCAGGAATTTACTTAGAGTGGACATTGGAGTTGACAATGTTGATGAAACCTGGTTCGAGGGAAGCACCACCAACGAGGAAGCCATCGACATCTGGGCAGGCAGCGAGCTCGTTGCAGTTGTTTGGCTTGACGGAACCGCCGTAGAGAATGCGGACCTTGTTAGCGATATCAGCGCCAACCTTAGCAGCAAGGATGTCACGGATAACCTTGCACATTTCCTGAGCATCCTGTGTGGAAGCAACCTTGCCTGTGCCGATAGCCCAGATTGGTTCGTAAGCGATGACAACATCGTCCCACTTGCCGGCTGGGATAGCTGGGATCATCTTCTCGATCTGAGCAGAGACGAACTCGGAGGCCTTGCCGGCTTCGCGTTCAGAAAGGTGCTCACCGCAGCAGTAGATGATCTTCATGCCGTTCTCAAGGGCGAACTTGGCCTTGGCAGCAAGGAATTCATCATCTTCCTTGAGGATGTCACGGCGCTCGGAGTGGCCGAGGATTGTCCACTCGATGCCGAATGACTTGATCATTGGAACTGTAACTTCACCTGTGAAAGCACCGTTTGGCTTTGTGAAGACGTTCTCAGCACTGACCTTCCAGTCCTTGCGGAGTTTCTGCTGGAGTGTTGGGAGGAAGATGAATGGGGCAGCAACAACAACTTCAACGTTGCCCTCAACCTTGGCGCCATTGAGCATTTCGATAAGCTTCTCAGCCTCTTCGACTGTCTTTGGATTAGCCTTCCAGTTGCCTCCGACAAAGAATGTTCTCATCTTTGTTTTCAAAAAAGTGAAATAAAACTTAAATGGTCGGATAACTTCTCAAAATAAAAAAATTGAATATCAAAATTATCGTTTCATCGGAATTCAATATCAAACAAACATTAAAAAAATCTAAATCTTAATTTAAAAAAATTAATGAGGCCAAATTTGAATTTGTATACAAATTTGCCTATTCAATTTTTTAAGTTTACTCGTAATTTCAGCCTTGTCCGCGGATTGTGAAGAAGCCTTCAGCGTGGTCTTCTTCGAAGTCATTATTGAATGGATCATCTGTGTCACCAAGAACTGATGTGGTCCAGAGTGGGTTATCATTGGTGAGAGGAGCTGTTGTTGAAGAGTCAGGGATCTGAAGAACTGTTTCTTCAGCCATTTCGACGCAAGAATCTGTTGAAGCATCGCCCTTACGGAGTAATATGTAAGCAACAAGAGCGATGATGATAATAAGAAGGAGGCCACCGATAGCAGCACCGATGATGATTGGAAGGATGTTCTTCTTCTTTGATTGTTGAGTTGAAACCTGTGATGCAACTGATGTTTCTGAGACAACAAGTGTTGAAGTATCAACTACTATCTTTGAAGCATATGACAAAGTAGTTTCCTTCTTCACTCCAGTAATCTCAATTGTTGTTTTAGTGACAACCATTGTTACGGATTCGGTCTGTGTTGAAGAGTATGTCTCTGTCATTGTCTTTGAATATGTGACTTCTCCTGAAATATCGCTGACGAGTGTAGCATGAGGGACATTTGATGGTGTTGGAACAACTGATCTTGTTGGAATTGGTGTTCTTGGTGGAAGTGGTGAATGTGTAGGCAATGGAGACTTTGTTGGAACTGGAAGATAGCTGACTGTAATTGTTTCACCAATCTGCTTTGTCTCTGTCAAAGTGCTAGTTACCAATGTTACTGTTGTTGATGGTAACTCTGTGTTGCCCTCAGTTAACACGATTGTTGTGTTAGTGATCGACTGAGTCAAAGTATTTGTGTATGTTGTTGAACTACTTCCATCTGGCAAAATGATAACGGTGTAAATACTTGATGGAACACTTGTAATTGTTGGAACAACTGTTGTTGTGGAAGTGACTGATGTCCATGTGACTGTAATTGATGTAACGCTTGTATCAACGACTGTTGACGATGGAGTTTCTGTTTGTGTTTTAGAGAATGAAGCATCAGCTGACTTACTTGGAGTGACGGTTGATGTAGCTGAGAATGTACTTGTTGACTGTTGAGTATATACTGTAGTGATATCAGAAATAACAGTTAGGTCTTTACCATTGTTGATATATGTTGACTTGGAAAGTGTTGGAACATCTGTCTTTGTGTAAGTGTCGACATCCTCATCGCCAACCTTGGTATGAGTGAATGTGGATGATTGGACATATGTTGTTGTATAAACAGTTGTACTTTCTCCTGGTAATACAATAACAAAGCTTGGACTGTATTGAGTGACATTGGTATATGTAAATGTGGATGTGTAAGTTTCGGTTGTAACCCATGTGTTACCTGGTGAAAGGGTTGGATTTGGTGTAGCATCTGGGGATGGAGCTGGTGTTCTCGGTGGAATAGCAGAGCCTTCGAGAATGTAAGAGATAAATGTATCTTTAGATGTCGTTGTGAATGTGTATGGGAGATCTGTGAAAGTTACAGAAGGAACAATTGTGAAAATGTCTGTTACTGCCTTTGTCTTTGTTGTTGAGAGAACAAGTGTAGCTGTCCATATGCCTGAATATGTCCCATCCTTTTGGGTGACATAAATAATGTTTTGTGCGTAGTAAGTAGTTATATCGAAAACGCCTTGCGCTAAGACTTGAGTTGATGACCAAGCAAATGTATTTGTTGCCATAACTCCTGATGTAATTGTGGACATCTGAGTTGTTGTTGTGTATGAATAGACCTTGATCTCCGTCGTTGTTTTAGAAGTGACCATAACTACTGTATTTGTATCAATTTCTTTATCAACAAATGTATAACTTGCAATCGTTGTACTGCCATCAACTGGATCAAACATAGTGTATGCGTCAGTATATGTTATGACTTTAGTGAACTTAAATACATTTTTGTCGTTCTGTTCATCAACTGTGTATGTACTAGTGTAAATTTCTGTTTTTGCAGAGTAACTATAGATTGTGCTTTGATCAAGAACAAGAGAAGATTCGATTGGTGAGTGGACCATTGTTTTAGTATTCTTGAAAACCGGAACTACTACAGATGTCTCACCGAGAAGTTCATTCGTTGTTGCAGGTGGAGGGATGATTGTGGTTGATACTGATACATAGTTAGTTGAGAATATAGTGTAAACTGTAGAATCAGTCGGAGTATAAGTAGCATATGAAGTAGCAGCAATGTCATATGTCGAAACATAGAATAGTGTCGTAGGTTCAGCAATATAAGCTGTTGTTGTGAATGTGCTTGCAACGAGTGTCGAAGTTTGAGTAGCTGTTAATGTATCAATAACTTTAATTCCGCCATCAAATACAGAAATTGGGAATTTAACGATAGTGTATGTATTTAAGGATTTGTAAGTTGAAAGTGTGTAAGTAGTTACTGTACTTGATAATACTGTGAAGTATGTTGTTAATGAAGTTGAAGGTCCAGATTTAATTGTAATGGCACTTGTGTGGGTTATTGATGTTGATACAGCGTAATTCTTTACAATTGTTGATGTTGCACCACTTGGAGTAATGAACTCTGTCTTTCCTTGGAATGGTGCATTAATTACTGTTGAAATAATAACATTTCCTATGAGGGATGTTATTGATTTAGTGATTGTATTTGTCTCGGTAAATACATATTGGCCATTCTCTAAGAATGTTGACTTAAAGATCATTGATGTCATCCATACATTAGTCAAAACTTGTGATGCGAATGATGTTGAGAATTGATCTGTGATTTTCTGTGTAACTGTATTAGTGTTGGCGAATGTAAGGGATGGGACAAATGTTTGCATGTAAAGAATGTTGCTGAAAGGATTTGTAGAAATGGATACCAATGGATCTGGTGTTAATGAGGAAGCATATTCAGAAATTGTGTATGTGAGAGATTTAATTGTCGTGGATGATGCAACAAGAGTATTTGTATTATATGAGGTTGCAATACCTGCAAATGAAAGGCTTGCAGTGTGAAGGATTGTTGATGCAACTATTTTTCCTAACACAACTTGTGTAAATGTGTAAACGACGCTTTGGCTGTTTCCTCCGGGTGGAAGATAGAAAGTAGACGTCCATGTGACCGAAGCACTATTAAATGTAACAGCAGTTGGGAGACTAGCTGTTGATGTGGTGAGATATGAATTGATAACTGTATAACTGAGGCTCTGAGTGATCGAGAAATATTCAGAAGCAACATCAGTAAGTTTGTAAACATTTGTACCCGTGATTGTATTGATCTTTCTGTTTTCATATGTAATTGTTTCAGAATTCCAAGTTGTGTAAATTGAGATGTATGAAACAAATAAGCTGTTAGAAGGAACAAATGAGAATGTTTGAGCAAATGTCGTAACAGCTGTGTATGTATAAGTAGTTTTATCACTTGCTAATGCAATCACTGTGTAATAGTTTGTAATTGCTGGATAATAAATGATTGTGTATGTATCCTCTGTAGCTTTTGTATATCCTGAGAAGTAACTGATTCCTGAGAATGTTGTTATTTTTGTAATAGGAACCAATGTTGATTTTTCTGTACTAGTTGGCTGTTCTTCCATATTAGCGACAGTGTATTTCTGTTCTACATTTGTTCCAACTGGAATATCCATAGCTGTAAATGTGGACTTTGTATAAGTTGTGGTTGTGTATGTAAGTGTGTAATAGGATGCGCCGGCGCTGCCTGTTATAGTATAGTATTGATTTGCAGCAAAGCTTTTACTACCAGAAAGAGTGTAAATACTATTAGTAATTGTGAGTTTAACAGCGGTTTCACCATCTTTAGTAAACGTAATTGTGTTTGTATTTTTGATTAGACTGTAAACATAAATAACCTCATTAGTACTGAAGTCTGGACCGGATGTAATAGTAGAGTCAGCAATTTTGGTAAACGTAATAGAAGAAATGCCTTTAGCATTAGTAGTTAACGCCATATATCTAATAAATGTGTCTGAATCGCTGACATGAGATGAGGTGTAAGTAACTGTACTAACTTGTGTAAATGATGGATAGTAAAGTGTATAATCTGCTTTAGCAGCAAGATTTGTAGCGATTGTTGTGATAGATTTGTCGTAAACAATTTTAACAGTGTTATCCTTATAAGTTCTGATAGCTGTCGAAGTATATGTGAAAACTGTTGTGATTGTATCTGTAATACTCGTAGTTGTAGAAGCGAGTGTGAGGAATTTTGTTGCAGGTAAAACATATGAGTATGTGAGATAATTTGTAGTATCTGTGATAAGTGGGTTATCTGATGGACTTGGAGTTTGTGCTGTTGGAAGAGGTGTTCTTGTTATAATAGGTGTGTCAAAGACTGTCTTGAATGGTGTTTTATGAGCGGTCGAGTGTGGTGTTGAATGTACTGTCTTAAATGGTGTGGAATGAGCTGTTGAGAATGGTGTTCTGAAGAAAGTTGCAGCTACAGTGAATGTAGATTTCTTTGTCCAAACCTTAACATTTGATGTTGGATATGTCTTCCATGATGATGTTGTAGCATAAGGAAGGCGTGTGATTGGAGTAGCAACATAAACAAATGCTGTTGGATCGGTGACAGAACTTGTTGCCTGAGCGCCTGGATTATTAGATACTCTGGCAAATGCAGGATCAGTTGTAGTAAGGGCAGAAACAGTGCTTTCTGCAAGATCGTTCTTAGGACAGAATTTTTGGTTAGCAAGTTCTGGGTTGGTATCATAGTTAAGTTGTTGGTAAATCTGTTTCTTAAAGTTATCAGTATTGCCAATATATGCATAACATGTAGTTGGATTTTCAACTACATCTTGGTATGATTGCCAGTAAACTTTATCTTCAAGCATGTAGTCATTACCTGCAGCAGAACCCGAAGTAGATCCGATTGCTTTCGTCAATCCTTTGTACATCTTATTTCTATAAAAGCAGTTTTGTTGGGTAATAAGTTGGTGCTGCTTCAATGTTGATACGAATGCGATACCACCGCATCCACGACCTCTGAATCTAAGGGCAACAGTGGTTTCCATGTTCATGATCTTTTCGGCAGAAGAAGATGCAATATTTAAGCCTGCTTGATTTGCAAGTACACCGGATTTAAAGATCTTGAGGTCTGAGTTAACAACGTAAAGGGCACCATCTTGGTCACCAGCTTTATTATATTGGAAAAGTGTGTTTTCAATGTAAGCATCGGTATCTGAAATGAGAGAAATAGCACCACCAGTCTGTTCGGCTACGTTTTTGGTAAATAATACTGTGTAAATACGGAGTTGGCAAACTGGAGACTCTTTTGCATCAGTGCTTGGAATGGATTGGAAGTAAAGAGCACCACCATATGTATATGCCTTATTGCCTTCGAATTTATAGGTATAATCGGTATTCTCGAGGAAAAGATGGCTTGCAATGGAACCGATACCACCTCCTGTTGTTGCTTGGTTGTTTAGAAATTTAGTATTCTTGAGGACACCCATTGATACTGAAAGGAAGATACCACCTCCTGTACCAACAGCAAGTCCAGAGCCGAACGCATAACAACCTGAGAATGTTGCTTTGTTCATCGTAACAGAGCATGCAAAGTATTCGTTATTAACTCTGTTGATATTTTCGAAGCCAGTGTTATCGGGTAATGAAATATCTGCGTTAAAACGCCCCTCGATATCTACAATACCTTCTTCTGATGGAAGATAGCGGAATGCTGGCGCATCGGCATTTTGTGTGAGTTAAACGTTGTTACTCTATATTATTCTTATGAGCTACAATCGTCCATATCCACTATATTATTTGACGAACTACTTATTTTACAGAAGTTTTGGAAGAGCTAATTGCTTTATCGACCTTTGATATTGTTCCTCTATTTTAGATCTTATATTTCATAATTGTTTTACTTTTCTAAGTCAATTACTTTGAATTAGGTGAAATTCTATAGAAATCCTGTAATTGCAAATATCTCCTTTCATATTACATAACCTAATTCTAAGTGCGCTTAAATTTCATTGAATATCTATAAACTGTGATTCAATAATCCGATTATATAGGCAGTAATTTTTTATTTGTAATATATTATATCTCATTATGTGGCGAATATTAAGATTGTTTCCCCAAAATATGTTTCTTAACAAGTTGTGGAAATTATGTGGAAATAAAACTCATTCTGTGGTATTAACAATTCAAATTTGTGTTTGTTGATAATATAGATAGTCAGATGAAATAAAGAATCAGTAGAAAAACTAAGAAAAGGAAATTTATTGAAATTATATTGAAATCTAATTAAATAAAAATAAAATCGTAGAATATTCATAAATATGAACGATTAAAAAACAATCAATAGTAAATAATATATTATAACATAATTTTGCGATTTAGAAAACAAACATATGATAAATTTTAATTAATCATCAATCTCTGGTTCAATAATATCAACCGATTTTTGGGCTTGAATATCTTCTTGATGTTCTTGTTTTGGAAGCTCTTCTTTTTTCTTTGGATGTTTGTAGTATTTTGCATTACTTATTTTAAAAACATTTTCGAGAGTTGCATCTCTTCTAATTAATTTTTTATATTGTGCTTTAATTGATACATCTGTTCTTTTTGGAAATAATTGTGATATTTGAGTCCATTTTTTACCAAGTTTATTGATTGACCATAAAAGCATATAATTTTCATATGGTGTAAATGGAGATCTGTCAACATTATCATCTAGATAGTAAATCCATCTATCTTTACACTGTCGGGCGTTTTTTGTCCCCATTTGCATAGAAATTTGATTCCAGTCTAAAATCTTGTTGTTAGATTGGTATTCAGTAATAATATTTTTCAAACGCATATCTTCTTCAGGGGTGAACATCTGCCGCGAGGATTTTCCACTCTTCATAGTCATTTTTCCTCGCAGCAAGAAAAAATTAAATTCTTCTTTGAAAATTGAGATACTATTCAATTTATACGGGTTTCCCCAACATATATGAATATAAGATTGAGACATTATACATAGTAATGATTTTTTAAGAACCTTCTCACAAAATTTTGTGGGAGTAATATGACAGGTTCTTTTAAAAAAGTAATAGGTTTGATTTCAATAAATTTTAATACAATTTTCTTTATTTGTTGACTAGAATTATTTTCAAAGAATGATGCAATATTTTATTATAAAATTTTAGGGGCGGCGACAAATTTGCCCAGCCAGTAAAGTATTCAATTTTTTTTGCATTTTTTAAGGGTGCACACGAGAGGATCATGTAAACTTCAGAATTTAGCTTCTTAACTTAAATCATGGAATGTCCTCAAAGACAAAAGTAGCATACAGCATGCAAAGCTAAAGAAAGATAATCATAATTAATACCTTAATTTTTAATATTACGCATTTTTAGGTGCAAAATTTAAAAACATTCTAATACAATAGAGCAGTTTCCAAAAGTAGCATACAGCATGCAAAGCTAAAGAAAGATAATCATAATTAATACCTTAATTTTTAATATTACGCATTTTTAGGTGCAAAATTTAAAAACATTCTAATACAATAGAGCAGTTTCCAAAAGTAGCATACAGCATGCAAAGCTAAAGAAAGATAATCATAATTAATACCTTTAAAGTTTAAAATCTTGATTTTTTTTAAATCAAATATTTATAACTTTAATACATACAGCTTAAACCTTATACTTGTTTTCTCTTGTGAGAAAGCAATCTTACAAAGCTAACAATCCTAAAAAATAAAGAATTAAAATTTAATAATTTAATCTAACAAAATTTCTCTCTTTATCCTTTTGCACTCTTTATATGCAACTCAAATTCATCATATAATATTCCTATAATACTCTTGCCTCAAACAATGACGAACAAACTGCTATTCTCATTTAATTACAGACCAAATCTATTCAAATTTCTGAATTTTTAATTTTCATTTCAATTTCAAATGGAATTAGAAGAAGAAACTATCTTTACTGTTATGGATCTTTGTAAATTTGGAGTTAAACAAGAAATACAAGCACAGTATGGATATTGTGAACGTGTCAGGAAAGAAAGATCTCAGATTTCATTCCACTGCAAATATCCAAAATGTCCTGCACATTTTAATGTTGCAATCTTGGATCAAAATAAATACAAACTAATCAAAATAGTTGAAGAACATGATCATTCCGCCCCAAATGACAAAAGTCAATATTCGTCTGTCTTTTATCGCAAATATTTAGAACATTACTTCCAAACAGATGACAATCAAAGAGCGATAGCACAGCTAAATGCATTCAAAGATCTTGAAATTCCTCTTACAGGTCCGTCCATTCCAGAGATGTACGCTCAAAAACCACGTGCAATCAAACGATTTGCAGAGAGAATACATGCTCTTCAAACTAGATATTCTCCTGACGATGTTGTGTCATTGCAAATCTTTGTTCAGACAGTACAAGAAGAATCTCCAGATGATCTCATTGCATTTGAAGTCTCAGACAATAATATGTGTTTCTATTACGCGCCTTTTGAAGGCAAAGCTTATGCGCATAGTATCAAGACATTTCATATAGACAGCACCTATAAATTGTTGCGATCAAACATTCCATTGTATGCATTTACTGGCAAAATCAAAGATTTTCACATTTTCCCTTTTTTATATTTCTTTTGTCAACCAGACACTTATCAAAACATTCAAGTTTGCGTGTGCGCCTATCTCAGATGGGTAACAATTGAGCCAGAATACATTAGCATGGACTGTGCTCCACAGATAGCTCAAGCAATAGAAGAAAGCATTCCACAAGCTCAAATACTTTGGTGCGGAGTACATGTTCTTCGTGCAATTCTTCGCAAATCAAATAAGTTTTCTTCTCAAGAAAAATTTGAACAATTCTATAATTTGATGAAGGATTTAGTCTTCAAATTAGATGCAGAACATGGGGAAGAAGCAAATGCTGCCTATGATCAAGTTCTGGAGTTGCTCGACACAGATCCAACAGCATCTCAATACTTTAACAGACAATGGCGTTACAACATATCAAGATGGATTGCTCGTGACAGGCGTGAAGGCGACGCAACTAACAATATTGCCGAAGCTCATTTTAGAACACTCAAACATGACTATTTTCCTGATCGAAAAAATCTCAGAATTGATGATGTTATTATAGAAATTTATACAAAAGTGATACCATCTTTCGTTATCAAACTCAAAATTGATCAAAATCCAGCAGATGACCGTGTCATTAGGATCATGGAAAAAGCAACTAACGCAGAAATTCATGTAAAAAGACAAAGAAAAATCGAGAGTATTTCAATGCTCAATAGATTGCTCAATGCTGTTAGTGATGACTCAATAGATCCCACTAAAATATATCCTACCTTGAAAGTATTATTACAAAGAACTCATTTTATTTAATTTTGATTGTAATTTTAGATTAAATTATTAAATTTTAATTCTTTATTTTTTAGGATTGTTAGCTTTGTAAGATTGCTTTCTCACAAGAGAAAACAAGTATAAGGTTTAAGCTGTATGTATTAAAGTTATAAATATTTGATTTAAAAAAAATCAAGATTTTAAACTTTAAAGGTATTAATTATGATTATCTTTCTTTAGCTTTGCATGCTGTATGCTACTTTTGGAAACTGCTCTATTGTATTAGAATGTTTTTAAATTTTGCACCTAAAAATGCGTAATATTAAAAATTAAGGTATTAATTATGATTATCTTTCTTTAGCTTTACATGCTGTATGCTACTTTTGTCTTTGAGACATTCCATAATTTAAGTTAAGAAGCTTAAAAAAAATGTAATAAAATTAAAAAAAATTTAGTATCGATAATCTGAAATATGTTGTTTACTTAAGCCGCGAGCGAAGCGAGCGGCTCAGTTTCGTAATTTCATACAATCTTTTTTCGAATTTGTTCTTTTCGTCAGCCGCTTACTACGCTGGCTTAGTTTCGTAATTTCGTACAATCTTTTTTCGAATCTGTTCTTTTCGTCAGCCGCTCACTTCGCTCGCGACTTAGTTTCGTAATTTCATACAATTATTTTTCGAATTTGTTCTTTTTGTCAACCGCGAGCGAAGCGAGTGGCTTTTTATTTTTAAAATTTTTTTTCTTTCTTACTTTTTTTTCCCTTACTTACAAATTTGATATTAACTTACCAAATCTCTCTATCATATAATAATAAATTAATCCATTTTTTGTTTCAAATCTGACACTTTACATTTCTGACATGTAAACCTGTCACCTTTCACTTCACCTCACTGGGCAAGTTTGTGCCCCCTAAATTTCGGTTACGGAAGAATTGATGTTTAATTCTCATTTTATTAATTAAAATATGTGTGTCATCGGATTTTTCATCTATATTGATTAATTAATTTTGAAATTCTCAAATGGATAAGCGAATTAAATTCTTATTGCTGTTCATTACCATAAATTTGATAAAAATTTAGAAAATGTAGCTCTCTTTCATTGATAAATTTAAAAAAAAACTTCAATTTTGTAAATCTATTTATTCAAAAATTGAAAAATGCAAAGTTTAGAATGAGATTAATGCAAAACTTAACCATCACTGTATTTGTATATAGCTTAAAAGCTGCTTCCTAGCCTATATTTTCACCAAATAAAGATCTTAGCAATTGATTGCATCAAAATTTAAATTCTTCATGCTTTCTTATATAGGAAAACCTTGCTCTGTAGAGATGGCAATTTTCGAATTGATAAAAGAAAATTAAAATTAAAATGTAAAAATATAGCATTTATGCATGATATTAATAGTTTAGAAACCATAAAGTGTCTTGCCTTGGCGCTTAAGAGCGTAAACGACATCCATAGCTGTAACTGTTTTACGACGAGCATGTTCTGTGTATGTAACTGAGTCACGGATGACATTCTCAAGGAAGTGACGAAGGACACCACGAACTTCTTCATAGATATCACTGGAGATACGCTTGACACCACCACGACGAGCTAAACGACGGATAGCTGGCCTTGTGATACCCTGAATGTTCTAACGCATAACCTTACGATGGCGCTTAGCACCACCCTTACCGAGACCTTTACCACCTTTGCCTCTGCCGGACATTTGAAATTATGATTTTGCCGCCAATTTTGATAACATGAACAAATTTGTGCTCTCAAAATTATCGGGCTTATTTTGGCAAATATTTTTCTGATAAGTTTTTTGGCGGGTAAATTTAACATCACATTGTTTTCTAATGGCTCGTACAAAGCAGACAGCTAGAAAGTCAACAGGTGGCAAGACCCCACGTAAGTCCCTCGGTGCCAAGGCCGCTCGCAAGTCAACACCAACAATCGACTCCCAGGGCGCAAAGAAGCAACACCGTTTCCGCCCAGGTACAGTCGCTCTTCGTGAAATCCGTAAGTACCAGAAGTCCACAGATCTTCTTATCCGTAAGCTCCCATTCCAGCGTCTCGTCAGAGAAATTGCTTCTGGCTTCCGTGGTGATCTTCGTTTCCAGTCTTCAGCTATTGCTGCCCTTCAGGAAGCATCAGAAGCTTACCTCGTCGGTCTCTTTGAAGATACAAACCTTTGCGCCATCCATGCTAACAGAGTTACAATCATGGAGCGTGATGTTCAACTTGCTCAGCGTATTCGCGGAGAACGCAATTAATTTTAAAAAATTATGTTTTTCTTCCCGATCTTACTAACTTGAATTATATTTATTTCTAAATTACAATCGCTATTCATTGGTTTTAAGGATGTCAATTTGGAAGAAAAGTGAGAAAATTCCTAAAATGCTAAAAATGAATTTTCCAAACGTACTTTTTTATCTCATTTTTTTGATTTTGAAAAAAATTTGGAGAGAAGAACTCTTCGTTTTTGAATTTTGTCACGATGGTTTTAAAGTATATTAGACACATGTATTGATATTACTATTTTTGTATATTTTGAGAGAAAATCCCTAAAAAGTGAGAAAATCTGAGACGGTTTGAGAAAATATATAAACTATTGAAAATTTGAATTAAACTTCTAATTTGGAAAAAAGAAATTTGGAAAGAAGAAAATTCAAAAATCGAGATTTAGACTCAGTATCAAATGGAGAACAAAATGTTTCTTCATATGAAGGAAAAAATTTTCTTGAGAAGAAATAGAGTTTTTAAAATTTTATTGTATGTAATGAAATAAACAAATATTAAAATTATTTTTTGATAACAAGAAAATTCCCAACAGAAAATATTTGAGACAAAGAAAAAAAGAAAATTGAAAAATATTACTCTCCTTTACATTTCATGAGATTTTCAATTTATTTTCATAAAATTGACAATTTTATACGTTTAGATGAAAATAAGTGATTTTGCTTGAAATAAAAATTATTGTTTGTTTACAGCTATCAAATAGATTTTTGTTATTTTGATTAAAATTTGTTAATCAAATTAATAATTTTTTTCTAAATATCTTAAATATCTGGATCACTCACATATACGATGAATTAAACGATAAAAATAATACAAACTCAACTAAGTTTCCTGTCTTTCAACCAAAAAATATTATGCAATTTAAATTAAATTGTTTATTCAAAGATAAAACAAAGATAAAGTAATTATAATTATCATATACTTTATGAATAACTCTCTAATTGGATAAGATTTTCGTACAAATATTTTTATTAATATCGATAAGAATATGTTTACCTACTATCACCATATGTCGATAAACGAGAGTAGAGTGATTTTTATCATCGAAACTTTTTAAAAGCTGTAAGCAGGAAGTAATAATCTTGTTTTTTCTGAGTTAGTTGTAGAACTATTGATGCCCGAGTTATCATTGTGATGCAGAAGGATATCAATGTACTGACTGAAGGATATGAATTGAATTGAATTTTATTGAATTTCAATTTGATCAAAATTTGTTGAAATGATATGAATGTGTCAACATCTGTATCACTCTCTTTCACTCCTTCCTTATTCGTTCGAGAACGAAGCTAGCTCAGCTTTCGCTGAGCGAATTGACACTTTTCATGCCCTAAACGTACATACTCTCAAATTTATCGAAAAAATTATTACCACCTAAACTAGTATATTCTTATTTTAAATATGATATTATCCTTATATTCCACACTAAAATTCATTTAAATCAACTTTTTAAAAAAGTTCGAATCCTGCGCGTCTCACTTTTTAAATTTTCCAAATTGACTTCCTTATTGGTTTTGATTTTGGAAAATAATTTTGAAGCATTTTGTTCGTTCTACATAAATTATTTAGTTTATATTTTATTGAATCATTGTTAGCCATGGTTATTCTATTATTTTAAAAAATTCTTATTTTTGTAAAAATTTTGATGCAAAAAAAATTTTCAATGAACTTGAAGCGCTGCCTATTTGATAGGGCAGTCGTCTTTCAGGATCTTTTCTTTTGGCGTAGAGATTGGGAGAGTCTTTTTTATGTGATTCTTACTGATCTGATTATTGCCCTGCATTATTTACAAAAATACTTCATTTGTTACGCTTTATCTGGCACAATGCTTTATTATTTTCTCACAGACAGTCCTACTCTTAGCAAAATATGCGAATTCAAGTACGATATGTCCGGCTTTAGAACAGCATGGAAAGCTTATTTTCATTTTTCTTTACCACATTACCCAATGATCATCTTTTTCGCATTGTTATTTTTATTGCTTAACTTCTTTTTTATTTCTAGTCTTTTAGCATTTCATCTTTTTGCAATATTTACATTTAATTACATTTCTTACGTATGTTATAAATTCTCACGGAAGGAACTCTCGTACTACAGATTTGTAGCAAGGAATTCAATTCGGGAAGAGTATGATTATTTCAAATGGTTTCAAATTCATTCTGAATTTTTAAATATAATTCCGGTTGATATGCAAACATCTTACCTGTGTAGTTTAGCTTACTATGACTTAATTCTTTTCCAAATATCTATTAACAAATGCCTAGATTTATTTGATCAAGTACATAAAATCATCGTAGACGGCCAGATACAACACGAATGCATAGCCTACATACGCACAATCTGGAACCAACAACAGCAACATCGTCAGAATATTACAGCTCTTAAAAAGCAAAAAGATCCAGAATTAGCGGCTCCAGAACTTGAAAGACAGCTTCGCGAGTCATTTCTAGTTGCTCATTTACGTAGTGTTGTTGAACATGTCTATAGAACTAAAGATTCCGCCGTCATGGCAGATCTCCAAAAGAAATTACAAGAAGAGCAAGCAAGGGTGATTAAACAGCCTGTTGATGACTCTTGGATGGAAGAGGCCGCAGCGGCGAATAAACCCAAGCTTTCTAACAAGCAGAAGCAAAGAATGGAAAAGCAAAAAGAGCCAAAAGAAGAAGAAATTAAACCACAAAAAGTTTACGCAAAAAGTGTCGAAAAAAGTGAGAAACAACGGCGTATTGAAGAGAAGAAGAAGCTGAAGAAGCAAATAGAGATGGAGAACAGGCGCAAAGAGTTCATGCTTCAAAGACAGAAAGAGCTCGAACAAGAGAAAGAGCAAAGAATTCTTGAAGAAAAGCAGAAGGAAATAGAATTGAAGAAGAAGCAAGAGATAGAAGAGAATAGAAGGCGAGAGTTAGAAGAACAACGTCGTAAAGAGGAAGAACTCAAGAGACAGAAGGAAATGGAACTCCAACGTCAAAGAGAAATAGAAGAAAGAAGATTGAAATTAGAAGAAGAAAGAAAAAGACAGAAAGAGTTGGAGCTCCAGAGACAACGCGAAATGGAAGAAAGGAAACAAAGGGAGATAGAAAGGCAGAAGGAACTCGAAAGGCAGATGGAGTTGCAGAGATTGGAAGAAGAAAGACAGAAAGAACTGAAAAGACAAATAGAAAGCATCGGAACAGAAAAAACAGAAGTTGTAAAAGAACCAAAGAAAAGAGGAATAAGAAATTTGTTGAGAAATCCAAACAGAATGAGACAAACTGCTCCTCTTAATATAATACAACCTGAGCCACAGCTCCCTGATATCATGGAGCCTTTCGACTTGGAAAAGAATATGTTGATGAGAAGACAAGAACAGTTGTCAGAAATGAAGTCAAATTCTTTCGAGCCTTTCCAGAGCGAAAACATGGTCAATACAACGGGTGTCGTTGAGCAGCAATCAGAACAGAACCAGGAATGGCAGTCAACCCTCGAACAACTTGCCGCCCCAAGAAGAAGAAGAGGAAACAAAAGAATCTAGGAATAATTATTTTGTTTATTTAATTGGTTTTATCTAATATTTTTGTGTAAACGATTATGATAAATTTAGGATGGTTTAAGTAAAATTAAAAGCTTTTTTTTATTCAATATAAAAAAATATTATGAATATCTTAATTAATCCCATGATATTAGTTGATTAATATTGTTTATATATGTGAGTTATTCTTCATTATATATAATATATCATATGAAATAATGTAACGACATTAGATTATTTGGAATAACATAAATTTGATAGATTTTCCTTCTTTATTCGTCTATAAATGTAATTTTATAGCTATTCAAATTCTTTGATTGTAAAAATATAGTGTCAATGTTGTAATCTTGATTAAAATTAATCAATGCATTGTTCGTAGTGGCATAAATGTACTTAAAACTTATTCATGTTTTAAATGTGAATGTTTTCAATTAAGCAACTGTGATAAATTTTTAAAATTTTTGCAAAATGAAATAAATCATTGAACTGTAGTTCGAATCTTTCATATTCAAGTAAGTATTGTGTGATGATATCATATTATTAAACCATCACAATGAAAATTTGAATAGTTGCTTTTTGAAACGAAAAATACATCAAATTTGAATAGGCTAAAATCATTTTAAAAAACAGCGCCAGCAAGCCATGTTGCTCGGTATTATTTTGATATCTCATATAAATGAAGAAGGATTCGTCCCATCCTTTCAGCAAAATACTGACAATAACAGCATATCTAATGATATTCTCGAAACAATTAACGAAGATGTTACCTTACGAAAATTAACACTATCGAATGGAAATGTACATGAGTTCTTATACTGTTCGATAATGATAGATAGTAGTATATTCGAAAAAAGTTCATCAATTGGAAAATCTCATTATTCTGATGCGGGAGGTGTTATATTTACTACATTTTCACAATTAGTATGTGATAATGTTACGTTTTTAAGTAATGTTGCTTCCATTGGAGGAGCTATTGCTTCAATCTCCACTAAATTATATCTTATTACAACAAAATTTACTGAAAATATGGGATTAAAATACGGTGGAGCCTTATATTATACAGGTTCTGAGAGTGATCTTCCTAGCGATGTCTTGATAATCCAAAATTCAAACTTTTCAAAAAATGTTGGACTCTATCTTGGAGGAGCAGTCTTTTTATATAAACCATCGGAATGTTCTATTTCAAAATGTCAGTTCTCATCAAATGAGGCGTCAATTAGTGGTGGTTGTATTTTTGCAAATTATGCAAAGCTTTACGCCATTTTATGCAGATTTGAATCGAATATAGTCCATAATATGAATCTTGAAGTAATCAAGAATGCAAACCTTGGAACAAATGCCATGATTCCAAGAGGTGGTGGCAGTATTTCATTTGGAGCAGCAAATTCCAAGAATACGTATGAGTTATTAACTCAAGAATGTTGTTTCATTAATAATTCTGTAACTAATGGTATTCTCTTTGCAAATGGTAATCCAGGTGATAATGTAATTCTAGATGGAAGCGTCATCTATACTTCAAAAGGTGATAGCATCGATATAAAGAAGATCAACACTGCAAATAGTCGCTATTCAATTATATCGAAACCAATAGTTACATTAATTGATATTGAAAATGGAAATGATAAATGTAATTACTCTGATGAAAAGAATGGTATTGTTGTGAACTATTCTCAGCCATCTCCATCGAATTCTGCAAAGGAAACAATTAATCAGATTCCATCTCCAACAAAATACACATATGTGGCCACCCCAATAACAAGGCTTTCTTTCCTAATATACAGTCCTGTGAATCCATCTAAGAAGTTAAATATTCCCAATATTTCAATTCCAGAATATCATCCAAAAATAAGTCCCAGAGAAAGCTCGTCCTCAAATGATTCCACGTGTTCTTCATCTTGTTCGATTTCATTAACAAGAATTGAGACAGATACATATACTCACACTAACCAATGTAATGGAAACACTAATTTTACAATTTTCACTTGGATAAAAACGGAAACAGCGATATCTACTTACATTAATATTGTGACATCAGATGGTATTGCAATTGATGGTGGAAGTCTAACTAAGAACAATATACCATTAATTATTGGAATTTCTGCTTGTGTCCTTATCATTTTGATTGCAATCGGAATTACAGTTGCGATAATTTACAAGAAGGGCGAGATCACTAGTTCTAGTACTGAGACCTATGACAATGTTATGAAAGTCGAACAAGTTAACTACAGTAATGATTTTACTAGATATATTACAAATGTAAACCCATTATTCAGTACTCAAATTACAGGAGATGATGATCCCTTCAGACAGGACTTTGAAGAGAAGAATGAAGATGAAAATGTAATGATTCTTGGAGATTTGACTTTTGGAGCAAGTGATTCTGTAGAAAATAAAATAAGCATTTAAAAATAGCAAAAAAACATTTTATTTTAAGCTGATTATATGAAAAAACGTTGATAATCTATATGAAATGAATAATATTGCAGTCAGATTCTAGAATGATGTCATAAAAGGCCAAATAGATTTGAATATGGGTAATTGGGAAAAGTTATAGTAACTCAGAGAAAAATAATGTGATTGGCTTCAATATTAATTGTCTTAGTAAGAACAAAAACGAGCCTTAAAACTTAATGAATCACACTGTTTGTTTTGCATTTCAATAAATGACTTTTTGTTTTCTTCAATTAATTGTATTTAGTAAGCTGTTTGTCGATAAAATAAGTGTATTTTTGATGTAAATCTGAATGATTTGTTGACATAGCACTTGAAGAAGTATCATTTAGGTTCATTGTTTCCTCAATGAAACAATTATGAACGATTTGACAAAAATGGTAATATTTATTGTCAATGGTTTAAATCACGCCAAGGGAAAAGGTCAAATATCATAAATTTCTTATAATAAACAATGACTCAAATATCTTTCTATTAATAGCAAGAATTATGAATTCGTTAAGTTTATCATAAATTGGGGTTTCTGCCATTTGATCAGGAATGATAAACGCCTAATTTTTGATAAATTGTTAACCAACATAATTTGAAAAAATCGATTTTGAATAATAAAAGAAAAGAAAACTAATTTAATATGCATATACCTCAAAGACAGATATAAGAATTTCGAGGAAAACCTTATATTGACTCTGGCTTCCTATTGAGAAGCGAAGATACATTGAAAAGATTTTCGATTGGATCAATTTCAATTTCTGTTTCGGAGATAGATTCGGATTGCGAGCTAGCGATTGTAGGATCGTCTGATCTGATGCACCATTGGCGCGGCTGAGGTAGAGGGCGGCCATATGTTCTAGAGAATTCAGAAATAATTTGGTTATCTTCTGAAGAAATTCTAGAAACATGATATCCGCATTTATGGAAACAGCCATTAAGGCAGGATTTTGAACGCCCCATAAATAGTTTCAGTCTTTTTGTGTTGACTAACATGTAACGCTGTCCAAATTGAATTCCGCAAGCTAAACCTCTATCAAAATCTGTATAATCGCCGCGAGAAACATAAGCTCTGATTAAGTTAAGGTGCTTTTGGAAAGTTGAAAGTGCCATGTTCCTTTTGTTTCTATCTGATGCAAACTTGAAAAAAGCAGATAAGCGCAAAAATTCGCATTGGTCTGGAAATGGAAGCTGAAGGACAAGTGGATCAGATGCAAATTGAGCATCATCAAATTGGGAATATTCCATATGTGCCTTCTGGAGCTGAGCGAAATTCGTCATATACATTCTTCTAAATTAACGAAAAGATTGGTCTATGATTCTGAGGATTTCAATTCGTAGACCCAGTATCTCTCAAATTTTGATAATATCAAATTTTTCTCAGTGAATCTTCTGAGAAAGGGATAAATATATCACATCATTTGCAATGTTATATTTCTCGTGACATGAAATTTTGGTGTATAGCATTCAAAAGTTTAAACATATTGAATTTTTTACAATTCCAAATTTTAGGGTTCTCAAAAATACAAAGAAAGATTTCAGATGAAAACAGAATTTTTGGCTTAACATTCAAATGATATTGTTGATCTTTAAGTAAATATTATAAGATTCAAGTGAAATAAAAATCACGATAATATTTGAAATAATTTTGGATTAATTGTATGGTTTAGTGCCAATATTTATAATTTATTATTTTGGGCGAAATAATTTCTCTCATTTATCATTTCACTTTTTACATTTTTGGTTACGTGAATACTGTTGTGTAATCTCTTTATGGCATTTTATTAGATTTCCTCCTGTTATTTGTGTATTATAGCGAGGATGCTTAAATGTTGGCAAAATCGATATTTTCATTTCTATAATTCGATTTGTCAGCTTCATATCGATCTTATCATATTTATTTAAGCATAAAAATTTTTAATATGAATCATATTTTCGAAATTTCTTGCTTATATTCTTCGATATCTTTTATCGGAGACTAAATCATCCTAAATCTCTTTATTGGTATGTTTTTATTTGAAGTCCGCTTTCGTAATTGAGAGGATATTTATCATTATTGCATTTCATTGTATTTTCTATTTATCGAAATTTAAAATCTTATCTTTTCTTATAATAACTTGATTATAGTATCTACTTCGCAATTTCGTTCGATTGCCTTGGCTTCCCATGCCCTTTTAACCTCCAAAAAACAATTCGGAACTCTAATTGAGTATATGACACAGAAATTTAACTGAGAAATATAGAAAATGTATGCCATAAAAACGATATATTGCAAACCATGGTAGCATAAATTTTCTATTGAATTTGAATGAATTTTCAAAAAAGACATCGAATATGTTGCACCTATCAGAGTCATTCAATTTAATTTAGATTTTCAAGTTTCACATTAAAATTTCTTATTTATCCGATCAAGATTTAAAAGTATTTTGATTTAAATTCACTTAACAAAGAAGATAAGAGTAATTAGAGGTCATACAAATGATTTTGCTTATTGATTTAATGATTATTAGATAGTAGATGTTAATCAACTTCCCTGAATCCAAGACTTCGATTATGATATAAATGTCACTTTTCATTAATTCTCATGGAGAAAATTCAGCTTCCGATTTATGATAATTCTGATGACTCGATGCAGTCCTCTCAAGATATGGCAAGTAAACTTCATAGTACAGCTACTGATTCTATTAAAGCAAACTCCATTACTGATTTCGATTTTATTAAGTCAAAAGCAACCAACATCAATATTTCAAATTGGAGAAATTACGAATTACCTCCAATAACTTCAGATGAGCAAACAAATGAAACAGAAATTGCAAATGATTTTGAGATGGCTCATTTATTTAATCAAATACAAACATCCTAACATAAAATAACCACACCATCAATTACTTACGTGTCATTTCTTGTATAATTGCTTTATTATCTTTGATTTTTCAATCTTTATTCAACCGAACTACGATTACAAAGCAAGAACATATTACAGCGCATTTGGCTATGCTTTGTCTCTGAACGAAATTAATTTTCAAGTTATTTTCAAAATTATTCCAAAATTACGCTTCGAGTTGCAGCTGGAGAGTAGAGCCAAACGAATATGAAATTATTAAACGTACCAAATATTTACTTCTAATTAATATTTGTGCCCAAAATATGATTTGCTTTTATTTTCCATTTCAGATATTGCCGAATTGCATTACACATGCATTTGGTGATTTATGTTTACTTGGCATCATTATTTTGGATTTTTGAAATTAATTTAAAAAATTCAATATTTTATTTGTTTGAAAATTGTTTGAACTTGATAGAGATGTCTTACTCTACTTCTCTAATTTAATATTTGATTAAAATAAACATTAAAAATCCATACATCATTGAATTTTCCAATTTTTTAATTGGATTTTTGACATATTCCATAATGAGATGTAATCTTAAAACTCTGAAACAGTGCCAAGCATTATTAATTACCAAACTTTGGCTTCTATTTGATATCTTTTGAACAACAATGCTTCAATACACTATATATCTATGTGTAAGGATTTGCCATGCATCGTTATAATTCATACAGCAATGCGCTCAAAAAAAAACAATATAAAATTCTTCCATTTTTTTTCTATTCAATTATTTTATGACGATAAACCTCGAACCACAAGATGTGTTTATCGCTCTTCTTCCTAACATAGAATCAACGATTATTGAGATCCTAACGAAGTTCAATGTTGAATTTGAGGCTTTAACTAAGAAAAAAAGCGACAAATTCACATCATCAGATAAATTGACAGAGTTTTTTAACATATTTCCAAGAAATTACAACAAATATTCGAATATTGTAGACTGTTATGTCGAATACGGATCCTTATCGCAGGATGCAGCAATAAGATATTTGTTAAAATTTTTACCAAAACAGCAAGATAACCACATATATCAAAGTATCGTTAAAAAACTTAACTTTTATGATAAGTATAGTAATATAATCGACTTATTTTTCTACCTTTTCTTTGCAGATTGCGTCGTTCAAATTTATACATCGAAAATGAACTTCGAAGATCCTCAACTGTTATTGAACATATGTTACAGCATCATTCCTGTCTCGTATGAATCATATGAAGAGCCAATGATTACAAAAGTCATTAGGCAATATTCTGTTTTATTTGGCTTTTTATCGATTTCTCAATTATCTATTATATTCAATACGTTCAATGCTGGTCTTATGAAATACGATACAAACATGTTCTTATTATTACACAGATTTACTAGATTAATGACTTCAGATAAAGTCGAAATCGAAGCCATTGGCCAGTTTTTGAATAACTTTATCGCTCTCACCAAAAACTTTAAGAAGGCTCGCCAATTTGATGTATGGGCTGAAGTTTTATGCACAATATGTTCACAATTAAAAGGCGACTACGTAGAAAGCATCGAAAAGCCTGTTACCCAGATTTTCAACATTGCAATGGATAAATTACGTGATCAGCATAGTGATGAATCATATTTAGTTCTTATTGGAATCTTATTACAAAGATTCTCTTCATTAAAGAAGAAATACTATAATGAATATCTCAATAAGTCAATCTTAGAAAAAGTAAACAAACCGCAAAGAACTTATGGCTGTTTGAAAGCATTTTTGTATCTTATCAGAGGTGCTTATGTTTCTAAGTCAAGCGCATTCTGGGAGTGGGGTAAAGTCAATGCTCAAGTTCATTATGGTGTTGAGGCCACTCAAATTGCCGATCCTTCACAAGATCAAAGTGATCCAAATTCTTATACTTCACTTTTCTTCAAATATTTCATTCCTATACCAAAGATCGAGCAATACTTCGAGATTATTGGTGAAATCCTCTTAAACTTTGCGGCTCGTGACTTCTCGTACTTCATCAAAGAAACAGCCCCTTTATTAATAAATTCAATGCCAAATGATCGTTGTTTACTTCCACTTTCTGAATGCCTTGTCCGTATTGTTGACAAAGACCTTCATTTCGAGGATTGGTCGCAGTTGAACATTAGAAACAACTCTGTTAATGTTTCATCCCTTATTCCTAATCTTTTCAACATGATCAAAGACTTTTTATTCAAAATCACAAATTCCACTTTGAAAAAATCTCCTCCTACTTCCCTTTTCAACTTCACAATGAAGAATCATGTTGATAATCTTGAATTCCATCTTCCATTGCATTTTAATGGTCAATCGTCATCAATGTCAGAAAGAATTAACAAAGCGAATGATTTCGTCAATCAAAGATATGATTTCAGACTGAACAAACATAGTTCTAGCGTATTTGAAGAAGGTTCTATTGATAAAATCACTGAAGATGAGTCAATTCACATCAAGCTTCTCTCTTTCTTCCCTAGAATCTTGAATAACTCAGATTTAACAACAATTGGAAGAACAATCATAAATTTGTGCGCAACAAAGTCAAAAAGTGTTTCTTTATATGCTATAAAAGTGATTAATTCATTATACGTCACAAATCCTGAGTTTAGATTAACCATATTCGATATCCTTCTTGATTCAATCGACCAAACAAATGATGAAATGGAAATGTCAATTTTCATCATGATTTTGGCAAAACTTATGGATCTTTCAATGAGACCTTCATGTGTCACACATAACAGTTTAGTTAATTTTGTCAACCATGCGATGGCAACAATACTAAGCTGCTTGTGCAACAGATGCTGTTGCTTAAGAGATCTAGCAATGAATCTTAGTGACAGAGTCAAAAGATTCGCGAGATCTTTCAAAATAAATATGCCATTGCGTGATATTGTTTACGATAAAAACATAACACGCAACAGCATGAAGATACCAAAAGGTGATGCATCTTTAGAGCCAAGGTACTTCGCATCCACTGAATACTGGGATATTTTCAGTATATTGATTCCGCCAATGATATCAAAATTTTCAATGTTAGGAGATGAAGAATGTCTGAGTTATTTGTTCAAAATAACAGACAAGAAACTTGATATGTTGGGAGAAGAGCAGTTATCTGATAGTTTACTTGCAAAGAATTATTTAGCAATTCTAACAAACTGCATTTCTGCAACTGAAAAACAATCTTATAAAAAAATTTCAAACTTCATAGATGTTGAAAAATTTGAGTCAAAATCATCACTAACAAAGCATCATAAAGCATTGTTCAATCGTCTTGAGAACTATATGAGAATGATGGGTGAAAAGAAAGTCAAGAAGAATGGTTTAGTTGAATCGATCTTCGACAATCTCAATTGGCAAACAATTTCTTATATTTGGGGATCAATTGACAGATTCAAGATTTTCAATGATGCCGATTTCATGTTATCATTCTCTAATATCATTATTAAACTTCTTAGCAGTAAGGACATCCAATATGCAATGATTTGCTGCGAAAACGCCATGCTGTCTTTTGATAAAATCACGAAAGTCTTCAAGGAATATTTCATTTCTCTTGGAGTAAATTCGGAGAAATTGAATGATGAGCCACTGAATATCGAAGGAAAAATGAATGACAAGATATTAGATACAGCAAAGAACTTCTTAACCATCATCAATCTTTGGGTTTCTTCTTTCATTTACCCATTGAAATGTTATGATGGACCGATTTTGATGCCAAAAGTTCCTTCATTCATTTATTCTGATGGTTTTAATTTGATTTGCACGAACTTGGCCATTTTCTGTCATAATTGGACAAACACAAAAAGCGATGAAATCAACAACTTAGCGAACTCATCGATTGCATCATTATCTTGTATTAATCCTGTTTTCACTGTTTCTTTCCCGATGTCACCAAAAATTACTTCAATTTTATTTTTGAGTGCACATTCTGGTAAAGATACTCTCAAGAGATGCTTGTTCTTCCACTACAAGACCTTGATAAAAGAGTACACAAAAGCTGTTTACGAAAAGAGCCAAGAAGTTTCAAGAATCTATTTCTTGGCAATTTGTTCATTCTTCTGTGGAGATGCACCTAAAAACGAAAGAAGAGCACAAATGGTGCAAAGAATGCAGTCCCCATTGGAAAAACCTGAATCAAGAATGAATGACAGATTGACTTATAACGAGAAGAGTCTTCAAATAGATATAGTTCAGACTGCAGGAAATGTCATAGTTTGTGCAATGTTAAATATTTTGCATGTGAAGGAAGAAATAAGAATGGCATCATTCAAGCTGATAATGAGGATATTACCATTAGTTAATACACTTCTTAATGAAGGTAAAGATGTCAGCCAAGATATCTACAAGCACTTGGATGCTTATGCAGATGCCATTTACACAAATTCAACGACATTAGGTCCCAAGCACATCATTAAAATTGCAAGTTTAATAAGTGAATGGGTTCCTTACATTTCCGAATCTGTTGTCGAAGAATGCTTGAGAGCTGCTAAGATCTCTTCAACAATTTCACAAAATGCTTTCTTCGATATCATGTCTGTTTTCCTTAAGAACATCTGTTGGTCTGAAGGAGGATACATCAAGAAGAAAACTCACAAATTGCAGATTTGCACTCCAATTTCTTTGGCTAAAGCTCTTATTGAAGTTTTCTCTTCTGTTAACCATAGTTCTCTCCATTCTTACTTGAATGGATGGAAGAAATTGTCTTCTGAGTTGGAATTGATCATTTCTTACTTGTTGGATATCAAAGAAGAAAGTTTAATTCCTGCTGCAAAAACTGTATTAGTTTACATGGCAAAATCAAACACTGATGCAGTCATCGGCAGATTAATTAATGAATTAACATTTACTAATTGGTTTTACATGAATATGCAAGGAAAACTCGAGAGTAACTATCCACCAAGCATCACTCCAAACATCACAATTCAAATTGTGTTGCAAAGTTTGAGTGAAATTTGCCAAAACTCTGTTGAACACATTTTCCCTCACATCCATATCATTTGCAACTTCTCTATTTTGTTCTATGACACATATCCACAAGTATTGGAACTTCTTTACGTAATTTTCTCAATACTTCAAGATACAAGTTCCATTTTAGAGATCATTTTGGATACAACAAAAATAGAGTCTGTTGAATTCTTCACTGACATTTTAGTCAAATACTTTTACACACAGAAAGCAAAATCTGTTGTCCACAGATGGGGGAACGAGTGCATTAAATGGGCTACAGGATGTGGTTCATTCGAAATTGCTTCAAGAGCAGCTGCCGTCTACTCAAAGATCCTGATTCCATTTGATAACCAGATCATTTCAATCATGTTGAAATCTCTTTACAGTGTTTCAACAGCTCAGCAGAACCAGATGTCAATTAAATACATCACAAACATTTTCGTTGTGTTGAACAAATTAGTTGACAAAATGATGGATTCCCAAGCATTTAGTGAACATTTCACTCATATTATGAAAGTTTCTGAGCAGTTCATGAACGTTCCAGATGATAATATTTCGATAGAAGCAACAAGAATTGTAGCTAAATATGTTGCAAGTACAAAATGCAATTACGATGAAATGCTGCAATTACTTCCACCAATTTGTTCTTTACTCTGTAGAACGGAAAACAAAAGATCAGTTGACGCTTTGTTGATGTCAATGATCATTACTCCAAAAACATCTGCTAGACACCACAGACCTCATTTATCAAATATTGCTTTCTGCCTCTTCCTTCCACGATTGATTTCTGCATTTGGTGCTTATCATAACATGGAACCATTTGTTGTTTTGAGTGATGCTGAAGTCAAACACGTTTTGGAATGTGGTCTTTGTTTCTCGAGATTACCATATTTCGAAATAGATATCACTTACGCACTCCACGAATGTATTCTTCATCCTTCTGAGCACATGTTTGATGAGTTCGCATTCAGGATTTGCAAACCAATGTTAGCAAATGAAGCTTCGAAATTTGTTGGTCCTTATTTCACTGCGATGACACAAAAATCAAATGAAGTTCTTAAATGCGCCACATTTGTTGTTGTGTCATCAATGTTGAGAGGCTGTACATCTAAAAGCGATGTTAGAGGATTCTTGGAAATGATGCCAATCGCCGCAAACCACGCGATAAGTTCGACAAATTCGAAATATTCGAGCGAATTACTTGATATATTCGTTGTTTTGTCGAAGACACAGCCAATCAACCAAGTTCCAATTGCATCATCAAAGATAGTAATACCTGAGAGCTCATGGAGACCAACCACATCAATACCATTTGTCCATGATGACCAATTACCACCTTTGACAAGTGGAAATGATGCATTTCAATCTCCTATTTCTATTGTTCCCATTGATAAACTTTTCTGGAATGATGCTGAAATACACAAGTTCAGACAAAAACTTGCTAAAATTGTAGTTCAGCCGCAAACAGAATTGCATGAGAACCTCGAAATGAGGAAAGCTGAAGTTCCAGACAAAGAGAAAATCATTCAAGTCCCTAATAATGTTGATGATTTCATCAAGAAAGAAAATATTCAAGAAGAAGAACACTCTGAGCCTTCGGAATCTAAAGAGCCAAGTGGTGAAATAAGAGGAAGAAAACATAAAAAAGAAAAAGTCCCTCTAGGAACTAGTGAAAGTGAAGAAGTTTACAAGCTTTAATTTTTGATTTATTTTTTAAAAATTGTATTTTAATTCGTTTTAATAAGTTGCAAATAGCTTTTTTAGAACTGAATAAAATGTTCTATAGTTTTATAACAAAAGCCTTTTAAATAATAACAAAATTAAAATATCATAACTATAACTCTATGATAAGAGCTAAATTAAATTACTACAATTTCATTGATATAAAAGATATGTATAATATCTTATAATTGATCAATGGATTCTAAAAATATCTTAAATATAATTTTTTTTCTTCGAGTTTGAGAATAAATGTATAGTGCAAAGGGTAATTTGTATGTTGCAATTACTTTTGTTCGATAAATGCGACAGGTGTAGATGGTATGAATTTTTTGGAGCGGTAAACCCCAATGAAAACAACAATTGCGAAGACTACAATAAGCGCGGCACCTATGTAATGTGGTTTATCTTGTATATAGAACAAAATCTTTCGAGGAATTCCTAAACGAATTTCATAAATTCCTGGAAAACAATCGATTGTTGTATTAGTACTAAATGGTAAATGAGTAAATCTGTTTACATTGTAGTCACAGTGTTTCATTTGGAAGAAACGGCTTGAACGCTGTCCATTTGTAGCAACAACTCGTAAATCAGTATTAACAACATCGAAAGTGCAATACTCGAACATTGTAACAGAATTTTCAACTGTAACTATAAATGGGTTGTATGTGCAATTAAAGAAATTCAAGTAGATGTATTTGGAAAAAATATTCATGTATAAAGTTCCAATTCGTGAGTAGTGATGGAAGCAATTCATAAATTGTAATGAATCATCTATCGTTGACTTACCGTTTCTTTCAAGGGCATATCCGCCTGCGTTGTAAAGAAGATTTATGAATTTATAGTATCCTTGCTCTGGTTTATTAAAGGAGAGTCCTGCTGTGCCACCTTTGACTCTATTGTGCGTTGAATTTATCAATGAAATCCTCTGTACACCGCCTGTAGCAGTCATCATATCTGAGACAGTTGATTCAGCAACTTTTGACGAAGGCGTATTTGAAAAACCGTTAGAATATATGGCTGATGTATTAAATGCGAATTTCGATGCTACACTGCATTCCATTACTTGAAATTTTCCGCATGCTGATGAAAATGAAAAGCAAGATCCAACAATTGCGGAAGATTTGCATGTAGCAATTAAAATGCAGCCACCATTTAAGGCTGTATGGCAACGAGAAAAGATTGAATTATGAACTTGAATGATTAAACTATTACATGAAAATTCAATAGCGCCACCGTTGGTTTGTGACGTTAAATTTAAAAATCGTGATGTTTTTATATTGATAGCTTCGCCGCAAGGTATGTGAAATGGTTCGCTATAAGTCCAATTTTCGAATAACTCGGCATGGAGATAAAGTTTCGGAGAGATTAACGTGATTCCAGGTCCTATGATTCCGAAAAATAAATTCCATAAAAATCCAAATATCGTCATAATAAAAAGTGAAGCATGAATCTGAAATTGAACAAAAAAACATTCCTTGATCAAAGTATAAGTAAAATTATTATTATGGAAAGTAAAAATTGATATTTAGTATGTAAATAATTTGATGAACAGAAAAGATGCTTTAATATTTAATAAATTATTTAAATTTGATAAAATTAAAATACTTTTCCCTCCAAATTTTTTTCAAAAATCAAATTTTTATTGTTAAAAACATCAAATTTAATTTCATTTTTCAATTTTTGAATTTTTTTGGAAATTTCTTATATCAGAAATTCGCTATGTAAATGTGGGGATCGTGGATTACATCGAATCAAGTAGCTATTTTCATAAACCAATTTTATTTTTAGAATTAAATAGATTTACGATTAAAATACGTTAATCAAAAAACCGCAATCACAGCCAATTTGAAAACATATCATCATTATATTGTCTATTTTATATTTTTACTATTAATAAAATTATGACCAGTACGATATGTAAACAAATGAAAATTTTTTAAAAGTTCGTTAATTAATTTTCAAAATTATTAATGGATATTATTCGAACTTTTCTTGAAAACGAACGCGCAAAGTTTATCTCTGCACGCGTTTGCAGTTACTACAAGTTAGCACCAAATAAATGGGAAGATCTCCTTAAGGATGATGATTCCCGTGGAAACCTTCAACGTTTCCTTGGTGATAATTTCCATAATAATCTTGTCTTTTTCCAGAACAACAAGAACTTTTTAGTCTGCCATCCAACAGACTATACAAAGGGCAAGCGTGCTATCGTCTGCTACAAGTCATATATGCCAAAACCAGATGATGCAAAGGATTTCATCAAATGCTTAAACTTTGTTGAAATTCCAAAGAACCCAATCAACTTTGCATACAGAATGACCGATAAGGTTTACTCACCACTCGCTAAGTCTGAAAACAATACATCTCAATACTCAAAGCCAGTCATTAATGACATCATCACGACTATGAGTGAGATTACAGGCAGCTTCTACATCCTTTCCGGCAAGGCTCAGGGCAATACAGTCCTTACACAGCCAGCCAAGGAATTATTAGATGCTCCAGAGTCCCCATCCCGCCTCCATGCATTTGAGAACCTTGTCATCCAGTGGGTCGAGCAAATGGATAACCTTCTCCAGCAAGAATTCCCAGATAATGAGAAATTAACTCCAATTGATGAAGTTAAGTACTGGGAGAAGCGTAAGGAAAACCTCGAATTCCTCAACGAACAAATTACATCTGAGGAAATCCAGAAGGTTATTGAGACACTCCGTACATCCTCCCCACAATTCGCAACACAGTTCGAATCAGTTTCATCCGGCGTTTCTGATGCGCTCGATCTCGCCACAGAAACATCCCGCTCATTATATCCAATCCGTACATTCGTCGATCAAATGGACACAATGAGCCCAGAACTCGAAACAATGCATGAATTCTTCGAGCCAGTCTTCCATCTTCTTTACCTCATGTACACAAAGACTCGCTACTACCATTCTCCACGCCATATCTGCTCATTGTTACGCCGTATCACAGATTTCTTCGCTAAGCAGTTCGCTATTGCTATCGATGGCTCTAGCCTTCTTAGCGGTGATCCAGCCGAATCTCTTGAGCACATTAACTTCTCCATCGAAAAATTAAACCGCTTCAACAAGACATACGCCCAGTTCAAGGAGAAACTTCTTTCTTCCGAGGGAAGCTCCTTCACACTCAACAACCAGGCTGTTATGCACAACTTCCTCTCATTATGCGATCGTATGGAGAGAATCAAACCAATCGTACAGACAATCATCGAATTCACAAGATTCGATAAGACAGAAGTTGGTGGTATCCACGGTAAGCTTCTTTCTGAGAAGTTCGAAGATCTTCTCAAGAGCTTCCAGGATGTCCAGTCCAAGATTACAGGTATGGACGAAAACCTTCTCGAAATTAGTGATGCTGACTTCGCTCACATTATCGAGGAGATCGATACAGAATTCAATGATCTTGATGTCCGCGCCGTTGCTATCTCAATCTGGGCTATTCAGGACGTTTCATCAATCGTTTCTCTTGGCCAGATTCTTTCCGGCTTCAACGCTCTTCTTCGCAGACCATACTTCATCACATCATTCGCATCTCAGTACCCAGCCATTGTTTCACTCTTCAATAAGGATGTCGAAGCTATTTCTCTTACATACAGAACTGAAAAGACAAATCCACCAGTTCTCTACGGCATTCCACCAACAACATCAGATTTCATCTGGTGCAATGGTCTCATCGAACGTCTTAAGACACTCGAGGATACACTTCAAAATACAATCCCAGAGATCTTCAACGATCCAGCCATGATTGATGCCATGGCCACAAAGAACGAGCTCCAGGCCAACATCGAGAAGACAATGAACGAAAAGATCACAGCTTGGGCATCTACAATTTCCGATTCATACAAGGACAAGCTCAAGACACCACTTATTGTCCGTGATCCAGAGACACGTCTTCTCTCCATGAACTTCGACCCAGAACTTCGCCGCCTTCTCGAGGAAGTCAAGCACCTTTCATCCCACATGACAAACGAGATCCCAGAAGTTGCTCGCGATATCTACCAGTCGAACCAAGTTTACATGGATTACATGCACTCACTTTCTGTTCTCATTGAGCGTTACAACCATCCAGTTTCCTCAATTGTTGATGTCGAGCGCCCAATGTTCCAGAAGCACATTGACCATGTTGATGCCATTCTTGAACGCGGTATCACAGAACTCACATGGGAAGACACAAACTCCAAGGAGTTCCTTGAAGTTGCTGTTAAGGATGTTTCCAACTTCTCCAACCTCCACAACAGGAGCACATCCACAATCACAAACATCAAGAACAAGATTGCTCAGTGGAAGGTTCCACCGCTCTTCGCTCGCCAGGACACAAAGAAGTCCCTCGATCAGAACGAAGTTAACAACACAATCACAAACAGAGCAGCAACAATTTCCGCAGAATCCGATAAGATCATTTCCGAGGTCCGCTCTTCAGTTTACGAGCTCACACGCGATCCAAACACACCAGTTGAAATCGTCGAAGAAGCTCCTAAACCAGTCGAAGAGAAGCCAAAGAAGACAGAGGAAGGCGACGAAGAAGGCGCCGCAGAAGATGAAGATGAGGAGAAGCCAAAGGTTGTCGAAGAGAAGCCATTACCAAAGGTCGAAATCCCAGACACACCAGAGACAAAGCAGTACTTAGATTATGTACAGTCTCTCATTGTCGACGGATTCAAGGAGAACATTCTCTATTCTCTCAAGAACCTTTACGCCGATCTCACAACAGTTCAGTCCAACAACTCTGTTCCACTCATCACAACACGTCTTGAACTTATCGGAAACGATGTCAAGTTCAACCCACCACTTCTTGATGGCCCACAGAACCTTGTTGCCACATTCAAGGACTGGTGCCAGCGCGCCCTCGATCTCTCCAAGCTCATTGGCCCATTCTACGACAACCAGGCCACAGCCTTCGACAAAGTCTCTGTCGATCCAGACATCACAGACATCAAGGAAAAGATTCTCCAGTGCGTAGAATCAATGTCCAAGAAGTGCATCAAGTACCGTGATGACAACTTCTCCAAATACTCCAATGTCTGGACACAGTCCCGCGAAACATACATCACAGAGTTCATCCAGAAAGGATCAGGCACAGCCACAGATAAGGATGGAAAGACTTACACAGTTCCTCCAACACTCGAGATGTTCTCAGAGCGTATCGGATTCTACCGTAAGTCACAGTCCGATATCCGCCTCATCCAGGACTCCCACTCCTTCGGCTGGCTCCGTGTTGACTGCCGCCCACTCAAGCAATCTCTTGACCTTAACCTCGGTAAGTGGGTTTACCTCTTCACACACTACCTCAACAACAGGATGCTCACACAGCTCAAGGACTTCCAGCAGTTCCTTCACGACGCAAACGCCGGCCTCGACGTCCAAGTCAAGAAGGGCGATATCGATCAGCTCATCGCCGTTCTCGAAGCCATGCTTCTCATCAGAAACAAGGCTCCAATCTACGACACACTCTTCGATGAGCTCAAGGAAACAGTCAACGTCCTCAAGCAGCATGGTGTCACTGTTACAGATGCTCTTCTCCAGCGCATTGATGAAGGTCCAGTTCTCTGGGCTGCCCTCAAGAACAAGTGGACAGAAGTCCAGGAAAAGACTGCTCCACTCCAGCAGGAAGAGACAGCTCACCTCAGACAGAACCAGGATACATTCGTCGACCACCTCCAGGAGCTCCGCGACAAGTTCCTCCAGGAACCAGTCTTCACATGGGAGATTGGCTACAAGGGAGCTTGCGAACTCATCGAGAAGTGGGATACAGAAATCGACAAGCAGACAGACGAATTCGAAGAAATCAAGGCTAACGGTGAACTTCTTGAATTCCAGACAAACCCATGCAAGAACTTAACACTCATGAAAGACGATCTCAAGCTTCTTACAAACGTTTGGGAGACAACAAACCGTATCCAGACAGAATTATCCAACTGGAAGAACACTCTCTGGTCAGAAGTCGATTTCTCACAGCTCCAGAACGAATGCGAACAGAACACTCGTACAATCCACCGTATCGAGAAGCGTGCTAAGGATTGGGGTGTCTACACAGGCCTCGATGCTCTCATCAAGTCTGTTTCATCCACAATCCCAATCTTCCAGCAGCTCCACAACGACAAACTCCGTGAGCGTCACTGGTCCAAGCTGAAGCAGATCACTGGTGTCGATTTCCAGAAGACAGTCGATCTCAAGCTCGGCGACATCCTCGACAAGAACCTCATGAGATATGCCGAAGATATCACAGAAGTTTGCGATGGCGCTAACAACGAAGTTCGTATGGAAACAGCTCTTGCCGATCTCAAGAAGACATGGAGCACAATGGAATTCACATACAAGGGCATGGAAGCATTCCCGGATCTCCTTGTCCTCAACGTTCCAGAAGAACTTGTTCAGACACTCGAAGAAAACCAAGTTGCTGTCCAGAACTATCTTTCTTCCAAGAACATCTCATTCTTCCGTGTCACACTCGATGAATGGCAGGAGAAGCTCAAGCAGGTCGACAAGGTCATGACAATCTGGCTCGATGTCCAGCAGCACTGGACTCACCTTCGTCCAATCTTCATCGGCTCTGAGGATATCAGAAAGCAGCTTCCAAAGCAGTCTGAGTCCTTCGAAATGATCGATAAGCAGATGATCGAGTTTGTCAACAAGCAACAGGCAAACAAGAACGTCGTTGACACTTGCAACCAGCCAGATATCATGAAGTTCATGGAAATGCTTCTTCGTGAATTGACAATCGTTGAGAAGTCACTTAACGATTACCTCGAAACAAAGCGTCGTGCATTCCCACGTTTCTACTTCGTTTCTGCAAACGACCTTCTCGATATTCTCTCAAAGGGTCGCCATCCACAGGAAATCGAACCACACTTCTCAAAGGTTTTCGATAACCTCGTAAAGGTCCAGTGGACAGGCCCAGAATCCTGCAAGGCTATGATGTCTAAGGAAGGCGAAGTCGTTGAGTTCGACGAAGAACTCGTTCTCGATGGCCCTGTCGAAATCTGGCTCCAGAAGCTTCTCGACTGCGCTCGTGCCACACTTAAGGAGCGCCTTGCCGAAGCCGCTGCTGCCGCTTACGACACATCACAGCGTCCATACTGGATTGTCTCCAACATCGCTCAGGTCGGTCTTTCCGCCATCTCCATCCAGTGGAACAAGGAAGTTAACGCCGCCTTCAAGCAGCTCGAAGAAGGTATGGAAACAGCTATGAAGGACTACAACACAAAGCAGAACAAGCAGCTCGACGATCTCATTCACCTCATTCGTGATGAGAAGGCTGGTCTTACAAAGCTCAACCGCCAGAAGCTTACAATCGTTTGCCAGAACGATGCTCACAACAGAGATGTCGTTTGGCGTCTCATCCACAACCACGAAGAAACACACGAGTGCTTCGAATGGCAGAGCCAGCTTCGTTTCTCCTGGGATTCTGCTGTCCACGACTGCGTCATCAACATTATTGATGCTAAGTTCTTCTACCAGTACGAATACCTCGGCTCTCCATCCCGTCTCGTCGTCACACCACTCACAGATAGATGCTACATCACACTCACACAGTCACTTTCCAGAATTATGGGTGGTGCTCCAGCTGGCCCAGCTGGTACAGGTAAGACAGAGACAGTTAAGGATCTTGCCCGTGCTATGGGTCAAGTCTGCTTCGTCTTCAACTGCTCTGAACAGATGGACCACAAGTCTCTTGCTAACACATTCAAGGGTCTTTCACAGGCAGGTGCATGGGGCTGCTTCGATGAATTCAACCGTATCGCAGCTCGTGTGCTTTCTGTCGTCGCCAACCAAGTTAAGTCCATCCTCGATGCCCTCAGACTCAAGGCTACAGAGTTCAAGTTCGTCGGTGAAGAACTCATTTCCCTCAAGCCATCCGTCGGTATCTTCATCACAATGAACCCAGGTTACGCTGGCCGTACAGAACTTCCAGAAAACATCAAGGCTCTCTTCAGATCCGTTTCCATGTGCGTCCCCGATTTCCAGATCATTTGCGAAATCATGCTTATGGCTGAAGGTTTCACAATGGCCTCCATCCTTACAAAGAAGTTCACAACACTTTACTCTCGTTGCCAGCAGTTGCTTTCCAAGCAGCTCCACTACGACTGGGGTCTTCGTGCTGTCAAGTCCGTCCTTGTCGTCGCTGGTTCCCTTCGTCGTGCAGATCCAAACATGCCAGAAGATGGTGTCCTCATGCGTGCTCTTCGTGATTTCAACATCCCGAAGATCATCACAACAGATATGCCAGTCTTCCTCGGTCTTATCAACGATCTCTTCCCGAAGATCGATATTCCACGTAAGAGAAATCTCAAGTGGGAAGCCCAGATCAAGGAAGTCGTTCTCGCAAACGGCCTCCAGGGCGAAGATCAGTTCATCAGAAAGATCGTCGAACTCGAAGAGTTGTTGAACGTTAGACACTCCGTCTTCATCATCGGTGCCGCTGGTACAGGTAAGACAGAAGTTTGGCGTGCTCTTTCCCGTGCATACGGAAAGCGTGGCACACCATGCCAGTTCGTCGATCTCAACCCTAAGGCTGTTACAAACAACGAACTTTTCGGCTTCCTTAACCCAGCAACACGTGATTGGCAAGATGGTCTCTTCTCCACAATCATGCGTAACCTTTCCAAGATCACAAACGACAATCCAAAGTGGATCGTCCTCGATGGTGATATCGATCCAAACTGGATTGAATCCCTTAACACAGTTATGGATGATAACAAGGTCCTTACACTCGCTTCAAACGAGCGTATCCCACTTACAACACACATGAGACTTGTCTTCGAAATTTCCCACCTCAAATGCGCTACACCAGCTACAGTTTCCCGTGCTGGTATTCTCTTCCTTAACGAGACAGATGTCGGTCCAATGGCTTACGCTTACTCCTGGATCGATCGCCGCACAAACGCTACAGAGAAGAACCAGCTCACAGTTCTCTTCAACAACTACGTCCAGCACACACTCGAACTCATCCACGCTCAGATCAAGCACGTCGTTCCAATCTCCGATGTCGCAATGGTCGAGACACTCTGCCGCCTTCTCGAAGGCCTTCTTACAGAGCAGAACGTCCCACAGAACTCCGATGCTTCATTGTACGAATTGTACTTCGTCTTCGCCGCAGTTTGGGCATTCGGTGGTGCTTGCGATGACCAGGGTGAGAACCGCATGAAGTTCAACTCCATGTGGCGTTCTGAATGGCGTAACGTTGTCTTCCCACAACAGGGCACAGTCTTCGACTACTTCGTCGATCCTGTCAAGAAGAAACTCGCTCCATGGTCCGAAATCACAGAACCATTCGAGTACGACCCACAGGTCCCAGTTTCCTCATCACTCGTCTTCGTTTCAGAAACAAAGAGAACTCACTGGGTTTCAAAGCTTCTCATCGAAGGAAACCACCCAGTCATGCTCTGCGGTTTCGCCGGTACAGGTAAGTCCGTCCTTGTCCGCCACCTCCTCAACGAGCTCAACGACAACGACTACATGTTCCGCGCCATCAACTTCAACTACTACACCACATCACAGGCCCTCCAGAACTTCCTCGAAGCTGGTATCGAAATGAAGTCTGGTAAGCTTTACGCTCCACCAGGCCAGAAGCGCTGCGTTTTCTTCATCGATGACCTTAACATGCCTATGATTGATACATACTTCACACAGGAGCCAATGACACTTCTCCGTCAGCACCTTGACTACGAGCACTGGTACGACAGACAGGCAATGACACTCAAGGATGTCAAGAACATCAACTACATCACTTGCATGAACCCAACATCCGGCTCATTCACAATCGATCCACGTCTTCAGCGCCACCTTTCCACATTCGCCATGTCCATCCCACAGGATTCATCCGTCAAGATGATCCTTTCCTCCATGATCGAAGGCCACATGAACGCTCTTGCATTCAAGCAGGAGGTCAAGGAGGCAGCTCCAAAGCTCATCCCAGCATTCATGGATATTCAGAAGGCTATTCTCGACAAGTTCCATCCAACAGCCATCAGATTCCACTACAACTTCAACCTCAGAGATATCACATCCGTCCTTCAAGGCGTTCTCCGTGCTTCACCAGCAGCTGTCAAGACAGGCAAGCAGCTCGCACAGCTCTTCTCAATGGAAGCTATCCGTGTCTACGCAGATCGTATGATCGATCTTGAAGACTACCACCAGGCAAAGGATATCATCGTTTCATCATCATCCAAGAACCTCGACCAACTCTCCGATGCTCCATCATTACGTGATGAAATGACATTCTGCGCCTTCCCACCGGATGGCGATGAAGCCAACTTCGAAGAGAACGGCTACGCTCCAATGGTCAACCTTGAAATGACAAACAAGGTCATCAACGACAAGCTCCAGGAATACAATGATTCCCACCCAGTCATGGACCTCGTTCTCTTCAAGGATGCTATCGAGCACGTCGTCAGAATCGCTCGTGGTATCACACAGCCATACGGCCACATGTTACTTGTCGGTCTCGGTGGTTCTGGTAAGCAGTCTCTTGTCCGCCTTGCCTCATACATGGCTGGCTACAACGTCTTCCAGATCACTCTTTCCAACAACTACGGCATTGCTGAATTCAACGCAGATCTTGTCAAGGTCTTCCTTCTCACAGGTGGTAAGAAGCAACCAACTGTCTTCTTGCTCACAGACACACAGATCCTTTCTGAGAAGTTCCTCATCCCAGTTTCCGACTTCCTTTCAACAGGCGTCCTTCCAGACGTCTTCGCTCCAGATGACTACGAGTCCATCTACTCAGCTGTCAAGGGCGACATGAAAGTTGCTGGTATCCAGTTCTCACCACAGGATGCTCTCAAGTTCTTCACAGAACGTGTCCGCAAGTACCTCCGTATTGTCTTCTGCCAGTCTCCATCAGGTGAAACATTCCGTATCCGTGCACGTAGATTCCCAGCCCTCGTCAACTGCATGACAATCGACTGGTTCCACGCATGGCCAGAGGACGCTCTTTACTCCGTCGCCAAGAGATTCCTTGCAGACCTCGACCTCGCTGGCAACGATCCAGAAGTCGTCGTCAAATTCATTGCCCAGGCACATACATCCGTTGTCGAGATTTCTCAAGATTACCTCGACGATGAGCGCAGATACAACTACGCTACACCAAAGTCATATCTTGAACTCATCTCAACATTCCGTCAGACACTCAAGAAGACTCGTGAGACAATTGTCAACAACACAGAGTACTTCTCACAGGGTCTTAAGATGCTCCAGGGCTCATCTGAAGGTGTCGAGAGAATGAAAGTCGCTCTCGAAGCCAAGACAAAGGAAGTCGCTCAGGCACAGCAGGAGTGCGTCACAATGATTGACGAAATCACTGCAAAGGCTGCCATTGTTAAGAAACAGTCAGATGCCGCTCAAGTCGAACGTGCAAATGTCGAAAAGTCAGCTAAGGAAGCAGAAAAGATCAGAGAAGATGCTGAATCCGATCTCAAGAAGGCTATTCCGAAGAAGGAACAAGCTGAACTTGCTATCAAGGATCTCGATAAGAAGGCTATCACAGAACTTGCATCCTTCCCAACACCACCAGGCCGTGTCGAAGATGTCATGCCAGCTGTCGTTCTCATTCTCTCAGAAGGTGGCAGACCAGCACGTGATACATCATGGAAGGCCGCCAAGAAGATCATGGCTAACACATCCAACTTCATCCACAGGCTCCAGACACTTCCAGAAACATGGTCTAACGATATCATGGAACTCACAAAGCAGAAGGTCGCCAAGTGGGGTTCCCAGTTCACAGAAGCTGATGTCAGAAAGTCATCCACAGCTTGCGCTGCTCTCTACAACTGGATGATGAAGATCCTCGAATACCACACAATTCTCCAGGATATCATTCCAAAGCAGCAGAAGGCTGAGTCAGCTGCAGAAGAAGTCGCAACACTCAAGGCACAGCTCGCAAAGGCTGAGAAGAAGCTCGCTGATCTCGAATCCAACCTCAAGGCACTCAAGGACCAGCTCGAACTCAAGAACGCTGAAAAGGCAAAGGCTCAGGCTGATGCCCAGGAAATGTCCGACAGAATTAAGCGTGCTACAGACCTCGTTTCAGGTCTCGGTGGCGAAGGTGAACGTTGGAAGCTGAAGATCGCCGCTTACAACGAGGAACTCACATCCCTCGTCGGCGATTCACTTCTCGCAGCCGCTTTCGTTTCATACTGCGGTCCATTCACACGTGCTTACCGTGAGCGCCTCATCAACGATCGCTGGAAACCATTCCTTGCCAACGGTGGCGTCAAAGTCGCCAAGGATCCACTTGGTTTGCTTTCTGATGATGGTCTTCTCGCTGCCTGGTCCAACCAGGGTCTTCCAAACGACACAGTCTCCATCGAGAACGCCGCTATCACAACATCCACATCCCGCTGGCCACTTCTCATCGATCCACAGTTCCAGGGCATCAAGTGGCTCAGAAACAACGTCGCCAAGGATCTCGTCGTCCTTCGTTTCGGCCAGGATAACTTCATGAACACACTCACAAACGCTGTCGAAAATGGCTTCCCAGTCATCATCGAAAACGTCGGTGAGACATTCGATCCAGTCATCAACCCAATTCTCGCCAGAAACGTCATCAAGAGAGGCTACAGAAACACAATCCAACTCGGTGACCGCGAAGTTGAATTCAACAGCAACTTCAAGCTCTTTCTCCAGACCAAGCTCGCCAACCCACACTTCCAGCCAGAAATTCAGGCCCAGACAACAGTCATCAACTTCACAGTTACACTCGATGGTCTTGAAGAGCAGCTTCTCGGTAACGTCGTCAACCACGAAAAGGAAGGCCTCGAAGAGAAGAAGGCCGCTCTCATCAGACAGATGAACGAAGATAAGATCACAATGGGCAAGCTCGAGAAAGATCTTCTCGACAGACTTAAGAATCCAAAGGGTTCACTTATCGATGATCCAGATCTCATGAACACTCTCGACATCACAAAGAAGACATCCGCAGAACTTACAGTTCGTGTCGAGAAGGCTATTGAGACATCCCAGGAAATCAACATCCACCGTGAAGCATATCGTCGCGTCGCTTCTCGTGCTGCTCTTCTCTACTTCATCTTAGTCGACTTGGGCAAGATCGACCACATGTACCAGTTCTCTCTTGCTGCCTTCGTCACAGTCTTCATCAAGGCTATGGACGAAGCAGAAGCCTCCAACAACCCAGTTGTCCGTGAGAACTCTCTCATCGACTCCATCACATTCAAGACATTCAGATGGGCTATGAGAGGTCTCTTCCAGCGCCACCAGATCATCTTCACAGCACTTCTCTGCTTCAGAATCCTTCTTGCAGACAAGCAATCCGGCGCTATCAAGCCAGATGAGTTCATGGCTCTTCTCCGTAACCCACGTAACACAGAGTTCCAGAACCCAGCTCCAGACTGGCTCACAGATGCTTCCTGGACATCCATCTGCGGTCTCAACTCACTCGACGCATTCAAGACAATCCCACAGGATATCACAATGCGTACAAAGCCATGGCAGAAGTGGTGCGACCAGGAAACACCAGAACTCGACAAGCTTCCACTCGATTACAAGAACAAGACAGAGTTCCAGAAGCTCCTCGTCATCCGTGCTCTCAGACCAGATAGAATGGTCAACGCTCTCACATCATTCGTCGCCAACCAGATTGGTGAGAAGTACACATGGGATGTCACATTCTCAACAAAGGAGACATTCTCAGAAACAGACAACAGAATGGCTGTCTTCTACATCCTTTCCCCAGGTTCAGATCCAATCAAGGATGTCGAAAACCTCGGCCGCAAGATGGGCTTCTCTGCAGAAAAGGGCAACCTTTACAACGTTTCTCTCGGTGAAGGCCAGGAACAGAACGCCCTTAACAGCCTCACAAAGGCTGCAAAGGACGGTGGCTGGGTCATCATCCAGAACTTGCACCTTATGGGCAACTGGCTCATGATCCTCGAGAAGCACATCGAGAAGCTCAGACTCGGTGAGTTACACGAGACATTCAGAATCATCTACACTGGTGAACCATCAACAGATATCCCAGCTGGTATCCTCCAGAACTCTATCAAGGTTACGAACGAACCTGCCCGTGGTACAAAGGCCAACTTGATGCGTGCTCTCAACCTCTTCTCCGATGAGACAATGGAGCAGTGCCAAAAGGATCGTGAATTCAAGGCTCTCTTGTTCCACCTTTGCGTCTTCCACGCTATCATGGTCGAAAGAAGAAAGTTCGGTCCACAGGGCTTCAACAGAATCTACAACTTCTCTGCAGCTGATCTTCAGATCTGCTCAGAACTTCTCTTCGATAACCTCGATAACTCACAGCCAATTCCATGGGTCCCACTCAGATACCTTATCGGTGAAATCATGTACGGTGGCCACATCTCTGATGACCGCGACCGTCGTCTCTGCGCTACATACCTCGAATCCTTCGACAAGGAGGACTTCGAAGGCGCAGAACTCGTTCCAGGCTTCCCATCTCCAACAAACTGCTCCACACTCGCTGAGTACAAGGAGTACGCCACAAGAGAATTCCCAGACGAGTCCGCCTACTTGTTCGGTCTCCATCCTAACGCCGAAATCGGTTCCCTCACAACACAGACAGAGTTCATCTTCTCCACACTTCTCAAGGTCCAGCCAAGATCATCCTCGAAGAAGGAGGGTGGCGAAACACCAGAAAAGGCTGTACAGAACGCTGCTGAACAGATCAACAACGCTGTTCCAGAGCCATTCAACATGACAGAGCTCTACGGCAGAGTCGAGAAGCACGAGCCATACGTCTCAATCTGCCTTCAGGAGTGCGAGCGTATGAACATCCTCATGGCCGAAATCAAGCGCTCACTTTCCGAGTTGCTCCAGGGTCTCAACGGTGAACTCACAATTTCCGAAGAGATGGATGCCCTCATGAACTCCATCTTCATCAACAAGGTCCCACCGTCATGGGAGAAGCTCGCCTACCCATCACTCAAGCCTCTCATGCCATGGTGGAAGAACCTCCTCGACAGACACAAACAGCTCCAGGACTGGTCCGCCGAACTCACACTTCCTAACTCTGTTTGGCTCCCAGGTCTCTTCAACCCATCATCATTCCTCACAGCTGTCGCTCAGTCCGCTTCCAGAAAGAACGGCTGGCCACTCGACCAGACAGTTCTCACAGTCGAAGTCACAAAGAAACAGGAGTCTGAGATCGACACACCACCACGTGATGGTGCTTACATCCACGGCTTGTACTTGGAAGGCGCTCGCTGGGATTCAAAGATGAACTCCCTCAACGAGGCTTACCTCAAGGAGCTTTATCCACAGCTCCCAGTTATGTACATCCGTGCTGTCTACATCGATAAGCCACAGGGCCGCGCTGCTACATTGTATGAATGCCCAGTTTACGTTACAAAGAACCGTGGTCCAACATTCGTTTCATTCTTCAACCTTAAGATTAACCCATCAATCGGTACTCCAGCTCACTGGGTTAAGCGTGGTGTCGCTATCCTTCTTGAGGCTGAATAAGCTTTTTTTTATTTTAAAAAAAGATTTATTTATTTTAAATTTTTATATTTGTATTTCTTTTTTAGTGAAGGAAAGTTACATATAGATCCTGTTATTCTTGACTTTTTTTTTCAAATTCAATATTTTTTTTTAATTTTGAGAATTTCGGTATTTAATATAGATTATACTTGTTTCAGAATTTAATACAGTTCATATAAGGAAGATCCGTTATCAAATTAAATCAATTAGAATAATTTCTTACGGAATTCTGTTTTAGTAAGATGCTTAGTGAGTAACTCTCGCAGAATTTATGCTGAAATGCGTCAGCTTCATTGAAATCAATTGATATTTCAAATATATTGGTTCCAACAAAAGAGATTTTGAAAATTTTAATTCAAAGGAAAATTCAAATAAAATTTTTGTCAAAAAATATGGTATGAATTCACACGATCAATTTTCATGAAGACGTTCACCATTAACTCATCTATCAGCGAAGTCATTAATTATGACAAGTTCCGTGGATTTGGCCATCTCATCTTCCCCACCGAATTCGCCCACAACATTAATTCGATGAAGATTAATCAAGTTTCATCCTTACTGCCATATCATACCAGTGTTTCAGCCGAGGACACAGTTAACCTCATTAATAAAATGTCCCGCCGTGTATACTCAGGCGAAACCATATTTTATGATTTTTATTCTAAATCTGATAAAGAATCTGACCAAAGAAAAGAGAAAACAGGACTCTTCTATTTTCCAGGAAAATCTGATGCACCTTTTGCTGTAATCAGTGCAGGTGGCGCATTCCAATATGTTGGATCAATTCATGAAAGTATCCCACTTGCTGATTATGTTAGCGAACAAGGCTTAAATGCATTTGCCTTAGTATATAGAACAGGAAGTTCAGAAATTGCCTGCCAAGATCTCGCAAAAGCATTAAATTTCATTTTTGATCATGCAAAAGAACTTAACGTAAGCACAAAAGGTTACTCCTTATGGGGTGGCTCTGCAGGTGCCATCATGTCAGCAGCTCTCGGATCATATGGCACCGAAGCGTATTATGCTAAACAAATTCCTCGACCAGGTGCTGTGATAATGGAGTATATTGGATACTCAGACTACACTAAGAATGATCCTCCTACATTTGCTGTAATGGGTACAGCAGATCCATATTTTAACTATAAAACATTAGAAAAAAGAATTAATAATCTTAAAGCATTAGGAATCGATGCCGAATTTCTCAGAGTTCCAGGTGCCCCACATGGATTTGGCTTAGGCAAAGGCACAAATGCTGAAGGTTGGATCGATAAAGCAATCGAATTTTGGAAGAAACAATTAAAATAAAAAATTTATGTTTTTGCAAACTTTTAAAACGTGTCATTAGAATGCCATAAAACATGCATAGTGGTTTTCGCTTTGACATTAAATCATATGGACTATTATTTTATTTAGAAAATATTTCATTTATGAACTTTTCGAGAATGGTAGTAATTAATTAGTGTTTACATCATAATAAAAGGAGTAACAAGAGCTAATGAGAATGAAAAATTATTGACTGGTTTGCATGATAATACAAAGTCACAGTCATCGGAGAATGCAGATTTAGGAATATTGATAGAAATCAATTTCTGTTGAAGTGCTAATGGAGCTTGGAATGAACCACACTTCCTGAGATACGGGCAGCCGTCAAATGCTTCATTGTCTACTTTTGTCAAACTCGATGATGAAAAGAAGATGAAGTTGAGATTACTGCAATCTTTGAAGGCTTGGTATCCAATCTCACGAATCTTGTTTCCGCTGAAGAAAACGCGTTGAAGAGATGGACTACCCATGAAAGCACAGTTCCCAATTGTGATCATCTCGGTTGGAACTGCAAAATTTTTGACGCCGCTGTATGGGAGGAAGAAGTACAAGATGGTCTGATTATAGTCTGTAAGTGCACCATTCTCGAACATGTACTTGTCGTCGTTGGGATTGAGAGTGATCGTTTTCAGCTCAAAGCAACCATAGAAGCATCCTCCTGCAACATAATTAAATGTGCAGTCTGACACCAAACGAATGTTCGAAAGTGATGAGCATGACCGGAACGCAAAGTTAAGAATTCTTGTCAGAGTTTTGGGGATCGTGAATCCAGTTAGGGAAGTACAACCTTCAAATGCATACATATCAATGAATTCAACACCTGTTTTCATTTGCAAGTTCTTCAAAGATGTACAGCGCTGACAAATCTGCTGTGATATATTGGATGCAATGGTAAGATTCTCGATCTTAGATCCTGCAAATGCCTGAACACCAACTGTGTGGCTTTGGCTAGGAATTTCAGCGGTTGTAAGTCCGCTTAGATAGAATGCGTATGAACCGATATATGCAAGATCATTCATAGATGAAATACCAATGTTTCCAATGCTTGAGGTTTCTTGGAACGCATAGCTTCCGATCTTAGTGATCGAAGTAGGAAGAACAATTTGTGATAATGCTGAGCATTTGTAGAAGCAGTAATCAGGGATTTCATTAATTTGTGTGCCTTGGAATACAACACTAGTTAGGCTTTTGCAATTCATGAATGCATATGTATCAATCTTCTTTAAGCCTGCTGGAAATGTTATTGATTTGATAGTTGATGATGCAAATGCATTAGAAGAGATGCTGAGCATTTCGTTGTTATCAAAAGTAACATGTGAGAAGGATTTCGATTGAAATGCTCCAGACCCAATTAATGTGCAACTACCGTTGATTTTAATGCTTGAAGAAGCATTTGAGCCGAGATAAGCTTTGACTGTTTGATGATCATTTTGATACATAATATAATCATCAATTTGTATATCGGGATTCAACGAATTAATTGTTATTGAAATCTCATTAAAGACTCCATCACCAATGTCATCACATCCTGCTGGAAGAGTTAATGTTTTCAGAGACAAACATCTTGCAAAAGCGTACCTGCCGATGGACTTTAATTTTGATGGCAAAACTATGTTTGTCAATGCAATGCAGTGATAGAAAGCAGAACCTTGAATCTGTGTGATTGATTCAGTGAATTTTACTGTGGTCAAATATTGACAATCATAGAACATAGCTTCAACCACTGCTGTGATCTGTGGAGGAAATTCGAATTCTGTGAGTCCACCTTCTGCCAAAACCCACGTACCTATAGAAGTTACTTGAGATCCGATGATGCATTTTGTTAACCGTCCTCCTCGTATTGAAGAAAAATCAAGAATCGTCACAAAAGATGGAACTGTATAAGTTCCTGTCAATCCAGAGCTAACATACAATAGAGTTTCGTTATTGTTGCCAGTAAAAACACTTGTTCCATCTGTTTTGAACTTTTTATTATTCTTGTGGAAGGTGAATTCTATAATAGGGCAGCCTTGGAAGGCAGAAAATGTCACATCAGTGCAAAACTCTGGAAAATAGAAATATTCTAAGTGACTATTAGAAAAACAATCACTTCCAATAGTTTTCAGCTGGGAAGTTGGATTAATTTTTTTTCTTTTAGTCCACTCATCGAAAAAACTTTAAAATAGGTAGGATGATACTGAGCAATTGTCTTAACAGAATCAGGCAATTCAAGTTTGAGCAAAGAATGTGTGTCAACAAAAGAGCCATGATTTAAAATCTCGCAATTGGGAGGGAGCTGCATGTTAGCCAGCTTTTTGCACCCATAGAACATCGCACAGTTGATGTTCAATAATTTTGTGCATTGACTTAGGTCGCATGAAACAAGGGCGGAATTTGCGAAGCAATAGAGACAAACATCTGAAAGTTGGCTCCCTCTTTCAGCACTAATAGATTCGATACTGTCTCTGCAAAAAAAGAAGGCACTTTCATCCGGTGAATTTCCTCCTTTAATTGTCGTACAACTTGCAGGAATGGTGTATTCGCCAGCAAGTGTCTTTGGAGCTCTAAGGAGAATAGTACCATCAGCAGAAAATTCGACACCACGACTACCACCTTCTGAAATTTTTATTTAATCTTCCATTAAAAAAATGGCAATTTTTCTATAAATAAGGTTAATTTTAAATAAGCTGTTATCATGATAGGATGTCTCCATCATAATGTAATGCAGATTTTGAATTTCAAATCGAAGTTTTAATATTTCTTTTTTAAGATCGATTCCAGATTTCGATATGAAACATGAATTCTCTTACGGAAATATAGTATGATATCGATACTTGGTGAAGTCGAATCATTCTCAAATTTATTTTTATCAATCTATCGTAAGTTTTATTTTTAGAGCGCATAGAAGGTTACATCTGTCATATTCGCTCCGAAAAATATCACTATAATATTAGATAACTCCATATTGAAATTATTCAGCCTCAAAGAATTCAATAAAGGTTCAAATAAAATTTTTGTCAAAAAATATGGTATGAATTCACACGATCAATTTTCATGAAGACGTTCACCATTAACTCATCTATCAGCGAAGTCATTAATTATGACAAGTTCCGTGGATTTGGCCATCTCATCTTCCCCACCGAATTCGCCCACAACATTAATTCGATGAAGATTAATCAAGTTTCATCCTTATTGCCATACCACAGCAATATTTCGCCCACAGAATCAGTTGATTTGATCAATAAATTAGTTAATCGTATCGATTCTGGTGAAACCATATTTTATGAAATTTATTCTAAATCAGAAAAAGAAAAAGATCCACAAAAAGAAAACACAGGTCTTTTCTATTTCCCAGGAGAGCCTAATGCACCTTTTGCCGTAATTTGCGCAAGAGGTGGTTTCCAGTACGTTGGAAGCATTCATGAAAGTTTTCCTCATGCTGACTACCTTAGTCAGCAGGGATTCAATGCATTTGCCTTAGCATATAGAACTGGAGGGGCCGATGATGCATGCGAAGATTTAGCAAAAGCATTGAATTTTATATTTGATCATTCCAAAGAACTTAATGTAAGCACAAAAGGCTACTCATTATGGGGTGGCTCAGCTGGGGCAAGAATGGCAGCTTACCTCGGCTCTTATGGCCCTCAGTCATTTAATGGGAAGCCAATTTCTCGTCCAGGTGCTATCATAATGCAATATACAGGGCATACCGACTTCACAAGGAACGATCCTCCCACATTTGCTGTGTGTGGTACTAATGATGGCATTGCCAACTATAGGATAATGGAAAGAAGAATTAATAATCTTAAATCTGCCGGAATTGATGCCGAATTCCTTAAAATTCCAGGAATGTCACATGGATTTGGCTTAGGTAAAGGCACAAATGCTGAAGGCTGGATCGATAAAGCAATTGAATTTTGGAAGAGGCAATTATAATCCAAAATAAGTATAATTTTATAATTTTAGAAATATTATCATTTGTAATAATTTAAGTTGTATTAACCAATATACTGAAAAACATTATTGTAATTCGTTACCCTTGTTTACATATGCACACTAATTTATTATCCAATTTAATTTAACATGTTTTAAGACCAATTATCCCATTTTTAAATATTCTGTTATATATTACTCATTATTTGGCTATAATGCATATCTCAATGTGAATTATTTTCAAAATTTTATTTCATTTCTCTTCAAAAAGATTAGAAAGTTTAAAAACGAACTATATTTTTACTATCCTAGGATTCAGCGAACATAAAAATAGAAATTAATAGTGTATTAAAGGAATATGGATAATGCATGAAGGCTCCGGATTATTTAAAATGGTAATCCTGATACAGCCCATTCCTTTGTTGCCAATGCCATAAGAATCTGGCGCGTAATAGAGAGGCATTGTAGTGTTACCTCTATATATCGTTGGCTGCAAAAAAGAGATGCCAGTGTAATGTATTGAACTGTTATTTGGATTGGGATTTTCATATACAGAACTATTCAGAGCAATACATCCGTCATATCCTGACACAAATGAGCTCCCTCCTCCACCAGCGCCGGCATGATCCAACGAAGCCCCACTCCAATATCCATTCCCTGCAATACTTCCATTATCAGATAAGTTAACTCGCAAAGAAATTCCAAAAGATCCATCAACGCCCTTAAAATTTTTGCCTTGCATATTGTTATTCTTCAAAGCAATTCCACCTCTAAGTTGAGTGCCTCCTGTTGAAAATATGGCCGGGCAGATAATTCCATCATTTTGACAATCTGATCGCCCTGCTCCTCCTTCAAGTCCTCCACCACTTCCTCCTATAGATCCAAGTCATTCTGCACTTCCTCCACTCCCAGCAACCAAAATTCGTGACCGAAGAGAAAGCGCATCAAACCATTCAAAAATTGAACTGACATTCAATCTAATATCGGTTGAAGCCCCGCCATAAATACCGTAATTTGGAGGGTACAACATTGAGTTAAATGTTGAAATGGATCCAACAAAGAGATAAAGTGTAAGACTCTCGTTGATATTTAAAATTCCAGACGAATATCCTCCAAAACCAGGAAGACCAAACTCCCATTTTCCTGATGATCCCCAAGCTTCAAATTTGTATGTTCCTTTCGAAAACTCAACTGTATAAGGACTGCAATTTCCAAAAGAATCGGCGCAAGGATACCCAAAGATATACTGATTGCGGCGAACAGTGACATTCAAGTTACCGTAATACTCGTTTGATAATCTATAATAAATCATAAGCTATTGAACCACAAGGTTTAAAACATTTGTGGGTTATATCACATTTTCATAAAATATTCTCTATAAATATCTATAAACTACACTTGTTCATTTTCTTTTTAGAGTTAATATTAAATTTTTCACATTTCGATATCAGAGATTAGTTTCAATGAAATACTGGCTAATCTTACCATTGCTATTTCAAATCGTGCTTCAATGTACAAAGGAAGTGGCACTAGGCTAAGAATTTTTGTATAATTTCAATACTATAGGAAATTTCAGATAAACCTTTATAGATATCGAAATATGAGCACTTAAGCTATCCTAATGATTAAGAGCTAACTGAAATCTTGATTTCCATTTTGCCAAAAAGTGCAAAATATTAATCAAAAGAACTTAAAATGAAAAATTTCGTAAAGGGGTAGTAGCTCAAAGGAAGAGCATGGGATTGCAGATCCCCGGGTTGTTGGTTCGAATCCAGCTTGCCCCTATAATTTCTTTTTCTTTTTTTTTTTCATTGTATTTATTTCAAATTATGACTGACGAAATCAATTCTACATTAGCGTCTGGTACAATGAACGAAATTGTCGACAGCATACTCGATGTTATCTATTATACCGAGTGCGTATTCAATTGGACGCTGATTCAATCAATTTATGTCTGCGTTTATCTCAGAAAAACAACAACAAGTCAAGGAATGACATGGTACAGAAGTTTTATTACAGGATTTTTATTGGTATTCTTTCCTCGCATTTTGTACAGCTCTTTAAATAACGTAAATGCCGACGAGTATTCTTATTTTGATTATTTATCTATTTTCACTCCAGTGTGGTTATCTGTTAACCTGTTTCCATTTGATTTTGTTTTCCGTATACTTAATATAAAAACATTTCAAACTGTACTAACAATTCTACAATCTCATACAGAAGGACTAGTATTTTTAAATAATATGTATTTAGTATCACAGGTAAAAAACAAAGTTGAACATCAAATATTAATAATAATTTTAGTTACTTTAGCTCCTGTAATGATACAAGGACTTGATTTTATCCTATCAGGGGATAATCGTATTTTGATGACACCAATAGCTTATTTAAAAAGAGTATTATTTTTACAAATATTATCTGTTTGCTTGGTAACTCCGGCATTAATTTGGGAAGAACCACCTATTGATTTAGTTAATGTGCTATATGTTTTACCTATTCTTCTTGATATTCTCAGAATTATTGACTTAATTCACTTTGATTTCAACAATTACATGTTTATCGACTATATTTTCTCTAGACTTGGCGATAGCTCTCCTAAATATATTCCTCGTTTGGTCAAAAAATCAAATAATCAAAATGTTATTTCTACGGACTTTTAATTTCGATTAACCTTAAGCTTGTTTTAATCATTTTTGTTAAATCGAAATAGTAAATGTTTTGATATATTAACGTTTATCAATTTTTTTTTTTACAAATGAAGCTGCTTTGTCAGAGTTATCTTTATCATTAAATAGTGCTTCATGTACTGTATATTATCAATTTAAATGACATGATTTTAAAAATTTAATATTAAAGTGTGATTTTGTATAAATTTGATATAAAAATCCATTAATGTTATTTAACTCAAATGTAATCTTAAAACATCAAGTTCAAAATCAAACTTTTTATTTTCAGGATGAATTTGACACAATAATTGCACAATTGGATAGATCTAATTGGAAATTTAAGAAGCTACAGAACTAATGTAAGCACGAATCTAGTGGATTTTAAACATGGATAAGAATTGAGTAGGGGTAATTTTAGCTAAAAGTGACACGCCTGTAAAAACTGACACACCCGTGAAGGGTGTGATTACCGATCGGTAATTTCGACAGTTTAGAATTTAAAATTTTTTATGGAACTGTTGCGAGTTTCATAAAGAATTTAAGGAATATAAGCAAAGATTTGAATCAAAATCTTAGACCTAAGCCGCTCGATTCGCTCGCGGCTTCCGCGAATTACAGATCAGCAAAGATTTGAATCAAAATCTTCGAACTAAGCCGATCGCTTCGCTCGCGGCTTTCTTTATTATTTTAAATTTGCATATTTCCATCAAAAGTTCATAAGGTAAAAAATTTCGTTTATTTTTACTAAGAAAAAAAAGGTTTTTGATAATAAATTATTTTATTTCGAAAAAGTAGCAATAATCGTAAAAGGGTATTGATAGGCTTGCTAAAGTAACTAATTTTAACTGTCAAATACTTTTGTATTTTGAAGTAAATTAGTATAAATTTGTTTTTACTTTTATTTCGAAAAAGTAGCAATAATCGTAAAAGGGTATTGATAGGCTTGCTAAAGTAACTAATTTTAGCTGTCAAATACTTTTGTATTTTGAAGTAAATTAGTATAAATTTGATATTATTTTAACTCCCTTTGAAAACCTCAATTTTCCATACAGAGGGAACGGGAATAGCATCCAATATTCCCTGAGAATGGTTGCGCATTCTCAGTTCCCTCTATATTTCGAACGAAGCTCTCATCGGTCTTTTTTTTTAATACTAAACGTTTTTTTCCCCTGTCACTTTTAGCTAAAATTTGGGTTTGCCGATAAGAATTGTTATATTATTGTCACTTTTTTCACAAAAAAGAAACACAACCAAAACTTTTGGAAAGCATGTTAAACTCTGAGCAATCTAAAAATGAAATTGGATGTGATTTTGGTAGCATTAAGCCAATTGAAGTATTTGAATACCCTAATCGAGTATCAAAAATGATTTGGAGTGTCAATTCCAATAATATTTTACAAGTATCTTCGCAAATTATAGAATTCATTACAAACAAAAAAATATCTATCCAAATGTCACTTTATTTGATTGATGTTATTTCACAAATTCGTGTTAAAGATATTAAATTATTATCAGAACTTTACCAAAAGATATTAAACGAATTCTCATGTATCATCAAACCAGAAAATGAGAAATTAGCAATGTTATTATATTGCAAATGCTCCGAATTTGAATATCCAATAGAATCTCCATTATACTATATTTTATGTGATAAAGTTGATGAACTTAAATCTAAATTCCCAAATCTTGATATTAATAAAAGAATTAAAGATATCACACCACTTGACTGCGCAATTAAATACGGATCAGAATTGTGTTTCAATTACTTGAAAAATTTAGGAGCTGAATACACCGATAACTCCGAAAAATATGCTGTTCAAGGCGGAAATAATAGCATTTTTATGCAAATGATAGAAGAAGGTAAATCATTTGGTGACATGATTAATACAGCATTGGATTATCGAAACTATGAAATTGCTGAGTACCTTAAATCAAATTTAGGACAATTTCCTAATTCAATAACCGAATGTATGCATTTCGGAAATTTTGATGTTGCATCTTATTTAATTACTAATGGAGAAGATATTAACAAACTTTATAATCTTTTTATTTTCATTATTATCATTGTTTTATATAATTCTATTTCTACTCATATTTATCATCGTTTTATTCAATTCTCGTTCTTTTCATATTAATCATTGTTTTATGTAATTCTCTTTCTTTTCATATTAATCATTATTTTATGAAATTCTTTTTCTTTTCACATTTATCATTGTTTAATAAAATTCCATTTCTTTTCATACTTATCATTGCTTTATAGAATTCTCTTTCTTTTTGTTTTAATCATTGCTTTATGAAATTCTCTTTCTTTTCATATTTATCATTGTTTTATTTAATTCTACTTCTTTTCATGTTTATCATTGCTTTATAAAATTCCTTTTATTTTCATATCAATCGTTGTTATATGAAATTGTATTTCTTTTCATGCTGATCATTGTTTTATCCAATTTTTTTCCTTTCGTATATATCATTGTTTTATTTAATTCTTTTTCTTTTCATATTTATCATTGTTGTATAGAATTTTCTTTCTTTTCATATTTATCATTGTTTTATAGAGTTCTTTGTCTATGAATACTTATCAATGTTTTATGAAATTCTCTCAATATTAATGAAAGCCCTCTTAGTATTGCAATCAAAGCGAATTCAATAGAAATCGTCAAATTCTTAACTGAGCATGGTTCTGATGTTAATATGAAACTTATTCTCCTTTTTTTTCATATTTATCATTGTTTTCTAGAATTCTATTTCCTTTCGTATTTATCATTGTTTTATTCTATTCTCTTTCTTTTCATATTTATAATTGCTTTATGGCATTCTATTTCTTTTCATATTAATCGTTGTTTTATATCATTCTCTTTCTTTTCATATTTATCATTATTTTATGAAATTCACTTTCTTTTCATATTTATCATTATTTTATGAAATTCACTTTCTTTTCATATTTATCATTATTTTATAGAAATCTCTTTCTTTTCATATTTATCATTATTTTATAGAAATCTCTTTCTTTTCATATTTATCACTTTTTTATTACACTATCTAAAGTACTCACAAAATCTAGATTGAGAGGCGGTCAATGACTTTTGAGGGGAAATTAACGCATGGAATTTAATATTATTTAGGTTGATATTCTTGCTTATTATTTCAGAAAAAAATCTTAAAAATTTCAATATGAAAATTGAAAGCAATTCAAAAAAATTGCTAACATGTAAATTTTAATATCCTATGCATAATTTCATATTTTGAACATTTTTTATTTTTGTTTAAAACTTAAAATTTTGCGAATTTAATATAATTTATAAAATATAATACGTATATATATTTAAAATACACTAAATTTAATTGTTAATTGACGTTTTTGGGAATGAATTTTATCAAAACATGCCTGAATCCGAAAATTTGAAAGAACGAATTACACAATCATATATGTAGAATTCAAAATACAAACTTAAAGATTGTATACGTTTAAAATTATTCAGATTGTGTTTGATTTCCACTCATTCTGTTTCTTTTGAACTCTAACACTAACATTTCATGATGATTACATGATCCATTTATACATGGTTGAATTGTTCCAGATTCTACCAGAAAATCAATCCAAATTTCTCAATGCATTCATGTTGATTGGACAAAATTTAAAATTTATCAGCCTATTTCCAGAGAAACTCATATATTCCCTAATGAAATGTAATTTTTGCTACATTTATTTCAATCAAATTTCAAAAAATTGACTGCAGAGCTTGAAAAGGTGATAAATCATGTTGTTATTAGATGTACATATTAGATTTACTATTTCCAAAAAAATGCTCAAATTTGAATAGTTTTTAGAAAATTTGGAATTACACTCCTTACATTATATATAATTAAATGTTTAAATTTTATTTATTTTTCCCTTTTAATTTTATAACGTGCTCTATCAAAACTAACCTCTCGATTGAAGGCCACAAAATCTAAGTAGTGAGGGTACACAAATTTTGTATGGAGTACGGTTCAATTTTTGAGAGCCTCACTACTTAGATTTTGTGACTACCTTATATTTTCATATTTAACAATTTTTAATACAATTCTCTCAATATTAATGAAAGCCCTCTTAGTATTGCAATCAAAGCAAATTCAATAGAAATTATCCAATTGTTAATTGAACATGGTTCTGATGTTAATATGAAACTTATTCTCTTTCTTTTCATATATATCATTGTTTTATAAAATTCTCTTTTGTTACATATATATCATTGTTTTATATAATTCTTTCTCTTTTCAGATTTATCATTGTTTTATAGAATTCTCTTTCTTTTCATATTTATCATTATTGTATGAAATTCTCTTTCTTTTCATATTAATCGTTGGTTTATTCTATTCTCTTTCTTCTCATATTTATCATTGTTTTATATAATTCTTTCTCTTTTCAGATTTATCATTGTTTTATATCATTCTCTTTCTTTTTATATTTATCTTTGTTTTATGGCATTCTATTTCTTTTCATATTTATAATTGTTTTATATCATTCTATTTCTTTTCATATTTATAATTGTTTTATGGCATTCTCTTTCTTTTCATATTTATCATTATTGTATACAAATCTCTTTCTTTTCATATCAATTGTTGTTTTATAAAGTTCTCTTTCTTTTTACATTAATCATTGTTTTATGAAATTTTCTTTCTTTTCATATTTATCATTGTTTTATAGAGTTCTTTGTCTATGAATACTTATCAATGTTTTATGAAATTCTCTCAATATTGATGAAAGCCCTCTTAGTATTGCAATCAAAGCGAATTCAACAGAAATTGTCAAATTCTTAGTTGAACATGGTGCTAAGAATATAAAATAAATATTCTATGTTGAAACTATATATTATTATTTCAGAATACATAAGAATATATTATTATTTAAGAATACTGTAAATATTCCATATTAATAATTTAAAGTTAAAATTTGATGCCAAACACCCCATATAGTTATATAACACAAAGCTTCTCGAATTTCAATGATTTTATACAAACAAAATTATCATATTTAATGTTTGTAAACCTTGTTAAATAATGTTAGTCTAATTTAGATGTTATTCTAACATCACTTTTTATTACAAATTACAATAACAAAACATTGTTATATTGTAAACTATTCAAATATTTTAATGGAATAATTCCTCTGTTTCTAAATGCTTCAATAGTAAATTTATTCTCATATAAGTTCTACAAAAATTTACTTTTTATTCTATGCTGAATTTTTCGAATAATTCCTATGTATTACATAGTAACGTTAGGAAGAAATTTGGATATGAGTATTTTTATGACGATAATAGGAAACCTTGGTTAAAAGTATATCATCAAAACACAAAGTTTTGCTATTTTGATAGCAAAGGAGAAGCAAATTATTCATTAAATCAGAATTGTTATTCCATTCTTCGCGAAGTTGATGAAAAGTTTTTAGTCACTAAAAGTTCACATAAATATTATTCATTTCTTCTTGAATATCCACAAATTCCAGAATACATCGAATTCATTCAAACTGAATTATTCACCACGACTAATCCTAATCCGAACGGATTCGAAATTATTTCAAACAATAGTTATTTTGAAGGATTTGGTGGATTACATCAGTTGGATTCGAAATATCTTAATAGATCTCTAATTGTAGGGTATAACAATGGATTTAATTGGTTTTATCCTATTGGGACAATAAGTAAGCAATATTATCCATTTTTCCCAATAGATATACAAAAGAATTATCAAGTTGCTGACCTTTGGATTGAGTTACCTGATTTAAATTTGATAAATACATTTAAATATCTTATTTCCGACTGCAATATATCTAACTATTATAATCCATTTTTTGTGAATTGGATTTATCTTACTTTTTATATTTTTGATTTTTCTTAATTTTTAAAATATCTTTGAAATTCAATAATTATATGACTCAAATCCAAATAAATTCTATCGCTCTCCCAACACATCCACATTTTGAATAAGGTCGATGAAAAATTGAGCTTTTTTTAAGGCTGCACTTACGCCCATCTGACTTTGATTCAAATTTTTGACAACTGGCGTGAAGCGTCATTGAAAATTAACCTTAAACATCTGAATTGAAGGCCATGTCATAGGGGCGTAAGTGCACCCTTAAAAAAACGCCGTTTGAGAGGAAAATTTTAGTGTCAGAAAGTTTACAAATGTATACTTTCTGACAAACAGACTCTCAGAAAGTACTCAAACTGAATAATTAGTTTAGGACTAAATAAAATATACCAAAAAGCAATTATTACAAGCAAGGATACGTATTTTAATAGATTCTGATACATTTTTCGGGCTTATTTTATCAGCCCGTAAAAAGTGTCAAACTTATTTGAATATGTTTGTAAACGCACTCTAGAGTTTCAAATTTATTTTATTTTCAGCGCCTCTTCATGCCCGTATTCGTATTTGGCGAGATTATCAGAAAGTTGTAAATGCACCCTGAGTATATTTAGGAGTACATTTACTACTTTCTGACATTATCTATGATAAAAAGCTAATATTTTTGATCGGTAAAAGTTATTATAAATCACTACATAGTTTTTCATATGATTGTTATACTTTTTTGTTATTTAAATAAAGATATGCTGATATTATGACAGCATGTCAGAATGTGGTAAATGCACACTTAAAACAAACAAAAAATTTCAGTAGTATTAATTTCTTAATAATTTTAGCGAATTAAGATCATCATCAACATATCAATATTAAGTATAATATAGTTATTCAAATTTTAATTAGATAGGTTTCGAAACCAAAGAAAATTTGAGAGGTGGAGATGATACAGCCTTATTCAATTATCCAAAATACACTTTATGGACAATAATTTGCAAAATGAATCTAAAATCTTCTATCGTCCTATAAAAGTAAAAAATGGAGGGGAAGGGGATATTCAAGTTATTCGGCCCCGGAGCCATATATGGGCACAACACATTGCAAAATCTTGTTGACCTGTACATGCTGAACGATCCCCTGAACTATAACAAAGACATCCCGTTCATCAGTGAGACTGCTCCGAGGCAAATTAAAGGCCCAGACAGCTTACAGCTGAACGATCTGATAAGAACTAGAGCCTTCTTCATGGATAACATAAAAATATTCTTTCCTGATAATGAACAGCGAAATAAACCCGAAATAATTCCGGAAAAAAATACAAATATCTCTATTCAGATCGCAGATTCCTTCCTATTTCCTATAATTAACTTGGCAACATCGGCAAACATCGAAGCTGCGAAAACAGCTATCACGATTCTCTCGAATTATTTCAGAGATCACGAATGGAATGGAGACAACGATATTTCTTCATTATCCGAAAAGCTCATTCAATTACTCGCTAATACATACTCAAGGGAGGACTCCACACCCGAAATACATGAAGAAACAGCGAAAATTTGGTTGGAATTATTCCATAGGAAGGGAAGACTTGACGATATTGTGCTTTTCCTGGGATCTTGGATTAACAGCAAAACGAGAACAATTCCAAATTTAGGTTTTATTATAGAAAGTATCAAAAAAGAAATTATTCCTTCTTCATTTCTTCGTGAAATTTCAAATAATAAGTCGAAACCATTTTATTCTAGTATACTAATGAATTCTACGCAAAATACGCCCCGAAATATTAAAGTCGCGGCTCATTGTGGTTTTTTATATTTATTGGACGAACAAATCGGTCTTGTTAAGCTCGGAACAGGAATCAATGGTACAATATATTCATCTTTAGAAGTAGAAAATAAGAGTTTTACGCAAAAAAATCCTATCGGCCTGGCCGTCAACGAAAAATTCGTATTTGTTAAATGCAGCAATGATCCACTTACAGTATGTGATCCAATTTCATTGGAAATAATCGGATACGTTCTTTTTGACGGAACATTTACTCAAGATATCACTTCAAACCAACTCTTCGTCGTTAATGGATCATTTACAGCAAAGAGAGATTATTTGTACATTTCTGATGGCCAATCCATTTTCGAATACTTAATAAAAGACGATAGAATCGAACCAACTCGAATTATTAACTTAGCTTTACATATTACATTAGAGCCATCGACTAGTTTGGTTTGCAATGGCGAAATATTCTTAATCGTCGCTCAATCTGCAGATAAATACGAATTATCAGAATTTAATCTTATTAATGGAACGTTAATACAATCTCAGCTTCAGCCAGACATCAGTTCTAGCAATGTTGCATTTGACTACGAAACAAGAGCACTTTTCTTCATAGGAACCGGAGAAACTTCATCATATATCATTTGTTCAACGGCAATCACGTATTTAAACAAGGAACCAACAAACAACGCGAGTCCAATGCTTACAATCTTCGAAATCTTACCCGCTTTACTCATTTCCAGACAAAATAATGAATTTGCTACGAAATACACCATAAAAGACATGCATTCGATCTACAAAGTGCTTGACCAATGCACTCAGTGCAAGGATGGCGAGCAATTCATTACTCCCATCGTTCAAATGATAATAATTTTCCTAAATGAGCATCCTTACTGCGAATTACCACCTCCTGACCTCTTCCAGAAGATATTTAATTACATTTCCTATGATATCAAGCCGTTCTTTATCAAAGCCGTCTTTAATCAGATCCGACCACCATATAATTCCCAAAAAGTTCTATTCCAGATCTTCGAAACGATCGATTCCAAGTCCATTATGAAGGGAATCGGCATGATCGAGATGATTTCACCCGAATTATTGGTAGTTTTACTTCAAAAAACCGAAATTTTGAAGGAAGCCACTTCCAATCTTAACCATTCATCATATGCATACATCCAGAGGCTTATCTACTCCATAATGAACGGCTATTTCATAGAAAACACCTTTACAACCGGTATGATAATTCCATTATTTGTATTACTTCAGCCATCAAACTCCCATTTGTTTTTCTCGATCATGGCAACATTGTTACCTGTTCTACAGTTCGCCATGAAGGACCATTTGTACTTTGGAGCTTTGATTCCTTTCCTTCCGAGTTTCATCAAAAAACTCCACAGTTTTTGTCCCGTAAAAGGTCTTGAAGAGTTCGCAAGACACCACATGAGTGTCTGCACAGACCAGCCCTTCTCCACTCAAGTAACAATTGATGAAACACCACATCCTTACCACAACAACTCCGATTATGTCCACACATATGAATTCAAAAACGCCATAGAGATTTCCATTGTTTTTGATCAGATGACGAACACTGAAGCGAATTGCGACTGGCTGCAAGTATTTACAGATAGGGAATGCATTGTTCCTTTGACAGAAAAGATGAGTGGAAGATTTAATAAATGGGTTTCTCCAATAACAACACACGCGAAGACTATTTCTTTGAAATTCCATTCTGACACGAGTGTTAATGAGTGGGGATACAAAGCAACTATCACGCAGAAGATCTTCTCACAGAAGAACTATGATTCCCCTGATCCTCGCTTTGATATCTACTATTCTTTGTGTAATATCATTATCGAGAACATGAAGAATTTCAAAGAAATGAATAATTTGGATTTCAAAATTGACAAATTTGACAAAACCGATTTTGATTTCGATGAAGACATTTCTGATAAGATAAAAGAGCTTGTCGGGGATGAATACATCGGGTACTTATATCCTCTTAAAATAGCAATGATCAACCACATACATAAGTACTTGAAAAACGAAATCAAAAACAAAGAAATGCTGTTAAATATCATCAGATCTCCTTTTGCAGCGATTAATTACACAAATGAAGGATTTGGGAATCTCGCGAACCAGTTGTTGTTCTATATACCACCTGGTATATCCAAACAGAACAGGAACTTCCTCGCGGACACTATAAATGGTTCTCCACAAACGAATTCATTCATCGAAGAAGCTCTTAAATTCGCAAACAATGTTTTCGATTTGCAGAATCCTTCTTTGACTGATTGCATCACTGCTGCAAACAAAGCAATAGTCGCATTCAAACTAATGGGAACTATTGATGTGAAAGAAGCTATAAACTTATGGTTCAAGTGTTTGAAAGCTATATCAAGCATAAGAATCGTTCCTGGATCAATGACAAATGATAATTTCAAAATTTTGTCAAAATTAGGAAATTACATTGTTGTTGAAAACAACTTTGCAGAAGAGTTTGTCAACAAACACTATGAGATATTGATCAAAACTGATATAAACACATATGTTACAGATGCTCCTGTTGTTAGATACGCTTTGCATCGCGTGAATGAGATCCCTGTTGGTTCTGTTTCGAATGAAACTCTTTTGAAATTCACTTTGAGAGTTTTGGAATTCAATTTGCCAAATATAATACACTCAGTTCTAGAAATGATCAATAAGTTCAATATAAGAACTGATGAGATTTCCGAACAATTTGAATCAATCATCAGAAAAATTGGAAATTGTTACGAATACTTTTTGTATAATAATGTCAAAACGGTTATTTCTGACGATGGCAAAAGATTTTCTTATATGCTAGCTTATTGTTTGAGACAGATGCTCACTGAGAAATCATTGAACAAACTCTCAACAATCTTGAATTCCGACAATTGGTTGGGAGCTGCAATAATGTTGAGTTGCAGAAGTTTCCCAATATCTCCAAGCCAAAAAATAAGGATGAAAGAAGAAAACGTCGAAGGAACAATCACAGCAATTGATCCTCTGAACATTTCAATAACAACGGAATCAAAAGCAAATTTGGTCGTTCCGTTAATTGATTTCACTTCACTTTTGCCATTAAAACCGGAATTTGACTTGATTTTGCCAGAACCACTGAAAGGAGCTGATCAAAACCTGATTAACTCATTGCTAAAGCATAAGAACTCTTATATAGCTTTATCAGCGCTTTCGGAAATCCTTAAAAACAGTGATTGTGACTTCAAACAAGTTTATGATCAAATTAAAAATGTTGAATGTCACTTTTTGTCAGAAAGGCCCACATTTCACATTTTTGAAGAGATGACTACGATGATAAATAAACTTCCTGATACAGAAGGTCTCAGGAAAGAGTTAAATGGCAATACGACCATTTATTCATATATTTATGACGACACGATTTCTCTTTATCATTTTGAACCGAATGGCGATGCTTTCTTTGGTTTTTGCGAGAAAGACAATACATTGCCAAGTTCCGCTTTCCTTCTGAAGTTGACTGAGAAGAGTATAATATTTAACAACACTGTAATCATTGAACACGAAACAATCAAAGTTGTTAAAATAGGATATCTCAAAGAAACAATGGAATTATACATTTCTACCGGCGGAGCTCCGAAATGGACAGGAATATTCATTCATCCAATGAATAATCCAATACCTGTAATCATTTCCAGACAAAAGATCACGAAATTCGATCCATCTCCTTTAATTTGGTGTCCTTTGTTTGATAACTCAATGCAAATAGAAGGAAATATCCCTACACACGCTTCTATTTGCGAAGAATTGATTCCAATTGATGAAATAAATGACTTCACTTTTAGTAAAAGTGACAGTACGATTATTTCATTAGTTCCTGCTTTATCTAAGTTTGTAAATCAATTCTACATTGAGTTCCAGTTCAAAGGACCACAGCCGAAGATCTGTGTTGCATCTCCATTGCAAAAGAACATTTACACATTTGCCTATCAAATTCCAAGTGACAATTCCGAAATTTGCGGATTGTTGATTGACAATGAAAGGCATTTAGCATGTGTAACATTGAATGGAGAACTGTTGCAAGACAGCGTAAGACCAATAGAAGATGATGACGCGATAATTATGTTCCAAACAAGTGAATTACAGAGTTTCACGTTAAATTCTGGATCAATGCCATATTTGTTTGATCTTTCACAACAAATATTCGAACCAAGCGTTGGAATAATGCTTGAGAAGTCACAGAACGCTGTTGTTTACCAATTACAGACTCCTGTGGACTTCGATGTATCTGACCAACATAATTTCGCAACAGAAATGGTCGCTCCTTACATTGTTACTTCTGCAGAAGGTTCAAATGATTACGCAGAAAAACTCGGTTTCGGTTACGCCGATAGCCAAAACGTGACAGTTTATTTATCCGGAAAAATGAATTCCAGCTTAGCATCGGTAACTGTTCCATTCCAAAACGCAACAGGAATCATCGAAAGAATTTCACAAACACACAATAATTTCCAGAGAAATTTGATGGATTACATGGCCGCAATTTCCAATTTACCTTACAATGAAGGTTGTTTGTGTCCTGAAAATGCAGAGAGATTCAAATGGATAATATTATGTATTTGTTTAGACAAATGCAAACAAAAAATGTCAAATGAAGAAAAAATTGACTTTTTCATCAATTTGTTGACAAATACTTATTGTGAGAATTCCATTTATAAACCACACAACATTGATGATTTCTTTAATGACAAAGACTGTTTGACGGAATTATGTCAGACAGCAATGAAAACATTATTACTTGACCGATCTCTTTTCAAAGGATTTCCATTGTATACTCTTTATCCAAACACTTCTTCTGGATCAAGAATATCATTACACAATGCGAAAAGAGTTCTTTTTGTTTGTAAGAGCTGCATGTTGAAATCAAAGATTAAACTAACTGATAGACAAGGTTGTGGAATAACTATTGACAATGGTTCTAATCCTATTTACATTTTCGATGGAGACACAATTAATTTTGAACAAGCAAATTCAGGAGACATCATCACAGCACATATCATTCCTTTGACAGGAAAATCAAATAGGAATGAGTTTAATTATGGTTTCTCTTTGTCTTTCATTCGTTTGTTCATCGAATATGTTAAAACACACAAAGAAAACAAAGAATGCATCAAAATACTTGATGATTACATTATTTATCCATTATGGAAATTAACAATGACAACAAATGTCAGAGTTTATATTAATTACATTGCTGATTGGCTGACAGTTATATTAGATAAAGAAATCTTTAGTGAAGAAATGCTTGTTAGATACAGAAAAGTCCTTAATATACAAAGAGTTATACAAGACCAACCAAGTGTTTTGACAGGAATTCTTTGTTTAATTTCTGTTTTCTTGTACAAAGGACAAAGTTTACAATCATTCATTGAATGTGTCTTGGATATTGATAAATCGAAACAAACATTTGCTTCTTTGATATTCAGACAATTATCATTAGAACTCCTCAATCCATTTATCACGAAAGATTCTTTGTTATCAAATCTCCCGCAATCAGTTATATCAAGTATTGCAATTGATGCATTGAGTTTATCTTTACGTGATGGAGCAATGATTGTTAGAGCAAATCCAACGGAAACATCGAAGATTGCTACAATAAATAGCCCTGATGCATCAGGACTTGCTGTTATGAGAGTGTTGCCAACAACAACAGCATCTGTTTCTCTAAAGAAATCTCCAATTGTTCCAGATTGCATCATTCCAGGTTCAGGAGGAACATTGAAGATCACTAAAGGTCATCAAGACCAAGTTCCATATGTTTTGCAGATCATTCCTGTTGGTAAAAAGATGCGAAGACATGCAGATGATGCAAGAAGAATTGCATTATTAGTTGACGAAATCAGAAAGAAATGGACCTCAGAAGATGAAGCATTGGCCGTGTTTTTGTCACAGATCTCATTCCAAATGAATTTCCCACTTCTTTTTGCAGGAATGAGTGATGACTTGATCAGATTGTTCTTCCCAAGAGTATCAGTTACAGCTGCAAGATTCAGATGCTCTCTTTGTTTGGAATATCTTCGAGGAACAGAAAACTGTCCACAACTCGATATTTCATCACTTTCAAATCCATTACTTAAAGGTTTGTTTTCAGCATTGTTCCCACATCGACAACTATTAGTTGATCCTGCTAAATCATCCTCAATTCTTCCACCAACACTTCCTACCAGAAATGCACAGTTGTCTGACTTCTTCTCACAGTTATACGATGAATTGAGGAACTCTCCTCTCTCACGCATTTTTTCATTGGGAACAGATGTTGTTGGATCTCTCTCAGAACCACACAAGATATCAGATGTCTTATTGTCATTGAAGAACGACATGTTTGATGAAAATGGCTGTCCTTTGAAGACATCTTTGTCACCGAAACAGATGGACGGATACCTCGGATTCGGTCTTTTCGGTGCCATCTGCATTGCATCAGGAAGATTGTTGCCATTCAACGTCAGTGATGATGTCATTGAATCGATTGTTGGAGGCAATTATCAAGAAACACCACAGCATACAGCTATTCGATTAGGTGCTTCACGTATAGACAAAGCATGTGTTCGAATGTCTGTTGCACGAGAAGGACGCTCATACATGAAATACTTCAAATTGGCAGCAGCTACATTAGATTCAGAATTGGATGAACAATCGTATGGTGCATCAGTTATTTCATCACCAATTTTCGGACCATTGATCAGAACAGTTTGTGGTGGTAAGAAGATCAAATCAGTTTCTAAAGTATCAGAGTTTGTTTTCTTATTCAACAGTGAAACAGGAGAATTAACAATTCCAGATGACGTTACATTGTTACAATCATTCCAATGATTATATTTTTTTATCATTTTTAGAAAATAAATAATTCTTGTTTTGTTTTTTAAAATATTATTCGATTTTATTTGTTCAACCAGTAAATTTTTACTCATTCCTATTCGCGCGCGTAGCATTGATGCCGAAATCACATTTGATATAATAATTATTTTATGAAAACTCATTAAAAATCGAATGTTTATTGCATCCTGCTGCATTATATCAATTTATTTAACTCCTAAATCTATAAAACTCAAATAAGATAATACCCATCAATTCAAATTTCCATACCTTTATCAATTCAAATTTTTTTGGGGTCTTGTATGTTGTAAACAGAAATTCATCAAAAGTGACACATCAGAAAAGCTAAAATATTGAATTTTTGGAACTTTTGATAGAGCACGTTTTTAAATATTAATTAAAGTAAATGTATATTTTGTAAAGATTCTTTTTAATAAAAAAATAGAATTTTGAAGAAGAACACAAAATCTTCTGAAAAATAATATCACATAAACTCATATTATTTTCTAATATATAACTATTTTATATAAAAATCAAATTCAATGATCTTAAAAGCGAAGGATAAACCTCAAAATTTACGAATATAATGAGTGGGAATATAATGCTTATCTATCATAAAACCATATGAAATATCAATTTTTGCTTTACGCCTAATTTTGACGACAATTAGCAAAAAATGTTAAATGTTAACACTCAGTCCATTTGAATATGAAAAATAAAATTGACTTTGATTAAATGTTTTTATTTATCATGCAATTCTTCTTGCGACCAAAGATTTGAATAAAAGTTCAAAAAATAAGATAGCTTAAAAAATAATATACGGTAGTGTTTACTAATAGATGAATAGTATATAAATTCTATTAAAATGGATTTGATCCAAAAAAATATATAAAATTTGATCATAAATAAAATCGTTTTAAATTACTTCTTCATTTAAATTATAACAATTATTTTTGGTTTTATATTTTTTTGGATCAAATCCATTTTAATAAAATTTATATACTATTCATCTATTAGTAAACACTACCGTATATTATTTTTTAAGCTATCTTATTTTTTGAACTTTTATTCAAATCTTTGGTCGCAAGAAGAATTGCATGATAAATAAAAACATTTAATCAAAGTCAATTTTATTTTTCATATTCAAATGGACTGAGTGTTAACATTTAACATTTTTTGCTAATTGTCGTCAAAAATTAGGCGTAAAGCAAAAATTGATATTTCATATGGTTTTATGATAGATAAGCATTATATTCCCACTCATTATATTCGTAAATTTTGAGGTTTATCCTTCGCTTTTAAGATCATTGAATTTGATTTTTATATAAAATAGTTATATATTAGAAAATAATATGAGTTTATGTGATATTATTTTTCAGAAGATTTCATTCTATATGCCTATGAAAAGTACTCTCAAAACTAACTTTTTCCTAATTATAATTAAATCTAGAATATTGTATTATGCTTAGTATTATTTCATTTTTCTCATTCAATTTAGAATTTACAAATGTCAAAAAATTGAGAGCTGTCACTTTTGATGAATTTCTGTTTATTACATGTATGAATTGGCATAAATAGAAATATTTATAAATATCAAAAAGTTGTGAAGATAAATTTTTGACTAATAATTGAGGATTTTTGAATGCACCATAGTTTCAGTCAAAAAAACTTTATTTTTCTTCAAATGGATATACCTAAGGAAGCAAGCATGTATGATGAGGCAATGAGCTTTTGCAAAACATATCATGATCCTTTCAGCGCATTATACAAATTAAATACATCAGATGAGGCAGAAATTGACAAAATTTTCCAAGAAATCAAAATCAATGTTATAGAAACAAACATCTGCACACCTTCGAATATTTTATATATTATTTCCGAAATAATATGTTTCAGATGCCAATATTTTAAGTCATATTGGATTCTATTCAAAAAAATCTATGACCAATATCAACCAGGAAATTTGCGTATTAATTATCATCCTTTCAGGTACCTTATGTTCAAAGAATACGGAATTCCATGTATTGAGGAAATAATTGAAGAATGTAAAGATCTTACCATGGATGTTTTTGAAAAAAATACAATTAGTAGAGCAATTATGGAAAATGACTTACAAACATTTATGAAAATCACTGAACAAGATGATTTTGATGTAAATCAGGAGTTGCGTAGCATTATCTATTGGCAGCATATGACTTTACTTGAATTTTGCTGCTATCACGGATCTGTTGATTGCTTTAAGTTGTTAATAAGTAAATTCGACTTAGAATTCACATGGAAATGCTTTGGTTATTCACTTTTGAGTGGAAAACCAGATATCGTCAATGAATGCTTGAAATATACACTTCCCAACATTCGATTTAAAGGTGATCATAATATGAGATGTGCAATTTTCTCTCATAACATTGATTTTGTTTCATTTCTAATGAATGAATACAATATGCACGTAAATTTATGTGCTTGTGCAGAATACAACAATATTCAAGCATTTTTAGCATACTTAGACCAAACAAAAAATATCGATGAATGCTTTGTTGAATCACCTGGTTTTAATTTGATTCCTCTTTGTGAATATCTCTTATCGAAAGGTGCAGATATCAATGCAAAAAATAAATTAGGACAGACATGTCTTTTCATTGCAGCCAGTTATGGTAATGCACAGCTTATAGAATTTTTAATCTCTCATGGAGCTGATGTCAATGCAAGGGATGATTTTATGAATACTCCACTTTTCGAAGCAGCAAATTCAAAAAACAAAGAAGCAATAGAATGTTTCCTTGCTCATGGATTTGATGTAAATGCAATAAATTCCTTAGGTGATAATCCTCTGTTTTATTTATTTGATTTTAATAACCCAGAAAATACAGACGAAATTGCAGAAATTTTCATTTCCCATGGAATAGATTTCAATTTAAAGAATAAAGATGGAATGAACGCCTTTCATAAAGCAGCACAATATTCCAACAAAAATACACTCGAGTTACTTATATCACATGGTGTTGATATTTTATCAAAGAGTAATGATTGGAAAACCGCACTTCATTACGCTGCAGTTACCAATAATAGAGATACATATGAATTTCTAATATCACATGGTATTGATGTCAATGCAAAAGATAATGACGGAAATACAGCCATTCATTATGTTATACTTGAAGATCAGGGAGGCCCTTATCCTCCGGAAACAAGTCAAAGAACATCAAAAACATTCCAATATTTGATTTCTCATGGAGCAGATATCAACGCAAAAAACAATCAAGGAAAAACAGCTCTTCAGTTGGCCAGAGATCAAAACGATGCATTTATGGAAGATATTCTTAAATCACTTGGTGCTGAGTAAAGAGTTAAACATTTATTCTAAAAATATTTTTTTCCAAGAGGAAAAATTGAGGAATAAATCAATTTCTGCTATGAGTTTTCTGTTGAAATGAATTTTTTTATTTTAGACTCACTGGAATTGTAAGGAATCAAGTAAGTCATTTGATGAATCTACCGATTTCAATAAATTCTTTTTGTGTTATATGTGAAGAAAATATATCTTCGACATGGATATGGATATTTCTCTTTAAAACCGGTATAAGAGTTTGTTGATCTTAAACCGGCATTTAGAATTGGGTGAACAATCATATGTTGCATCAGTTATTTCATCACCAATTTTCGGACCATTGATCAGAACATGCTATAAGAGAAGTAATAGCAAATCTACTGAAATAATAGAAAGTTAAGCTTTGTTAATTAATTAGCTTTCCACTAAAAATAAATCAAGTCATTCTTGATAGGGTTGATAGTTTTGTGTTTAGTCACAACATGCTCTAATAATGAAATCTCATATTGATTCTCTTTTTATAATACTGATTAAGTTTTTGCATGCATTTTGAGAAGTTTTATTTGTGTTTTGATATCATAATCAACTTTTTCGATTTTTCGAGTAGAATCTAATATCCATTTAGACGTTACTGTTGAAATATTATTAACATAACTTATAATATCAACCAAATCTTGCATTTCAATAGAGGACATTTTTTTGTACTGTAAAAGACAATTGATTACATTTTACGGGCGTGGACTTGTTAACCCCGAACCCCCTAATTCATAAAAACTCGACGTCTAATGGAAAGTAATTAATATTCATCACAAACACCCTTTTTTATTACCCTATTTGAATTTTAAATTAATTTCGAGTGCATCCATATCTATTTTCTTTTTACATTCATTATTCATGGATTGATTTTTATTCTGGAGGCTACAAAACAAGTGATGGAGGTGCAATCAGTGGAAATATCTCTGTATCCGGATGTATATTCCAAAATCTGGAATCTCATGCGATCAACTGCACAAAGGAAAAATCATTTGTACTTATTGAGTCATCTTTATTCCATCACATATCTTCAAACTCCAAAATGGGTGGATCTTTTCTAATGAATTTTCCATACGGAAATACTGTTTTAAACAAAATTTGTATTTATAAATCAGCTTCCACAAATTCTGGAAATGCTTTTTATATTACGAATTCTGCAACTCAAAGTTATTTAATTTCGATAACTAAATGCGATGAAAAAACTTCGGTGATTGGAACTATAGCATCTTATAATGGGATGCCAACTTATTCTAATACCAATGTTTCTTATTGCTCCTCACTACATAGTGGTTATGATTTTCGAACCCCTCAGAAAATCGATATATTAAAATTCGGAAATTTTATTGAAAATGAAAGTCCATCTCAACTTGAATTTTATTACAATACCGGAAATGTAAAAGTTACCCTATGCAATTATGTACAAAATAATAATCAAGGAAGTATAATGACATATTCTGGCTCATACTCATCTTTAACTGTTAGTGATTCTGTTTTTATATTGAATCCAGATCATAATACTGTATCAGTGACTTCGCTAATTAATTGTAACATCAATGGAATAATCTATAATGATCAAACTAATATTGGAAGTAATGACGTAACTTACAATGAAATTCCTAATAGATGTTACAATCATTTCAAGATTGATCAACAAAAGAAACCCTCATGTGCTTGTAGAAAAAAGTTTTCTCCAAATTCATTATTGACAATTATATTTTCTTGATATTCATAAATAAGGAAATCTATATCACCAAAATTTCTTTAATTGCTTGGATTCAAAATCCATGAATTCACAATACGGTTAGAATTGCTGAGTATGTATATCTATGTCGATGTTGTGCTGTTTGTGTGAGTTTTTGTTATATTTTGGGTATATTGACGGAATCAATTCTCTTGATGTTTTCTCATGATATTGAGTCTTTCGAATCTCTGATACAATATGAATGTTTTCTCATGATATTGAGTCTTTTGAATCTCTGATACCATCTGAACGTTTTATCTGAAGAAAATCTGAGTTCAACTTATTCTTTCTGCATCACCTATGAGATTTATTATTAAGCTTTATTTTTGATTTGAAGCATTATGCTGGGCATTAATGTTCATCGATTTACCTATTGGGTTTGCATGTGAGTGTTGAGTTACTATTCGAGAGATAGTTTTTGCAAACTATTGTTTTCATAGAATTTCTGAATGTGTTGATGTTTTCTCTATCACTTAGAGATATTGCAGAGCTAGAAATTAATACATAGATAGGTTGAAATGAAATTTTTGATTAAAAATGTTGATTGCATATGTATAGGAGAGTATAATTGCGATCATAACGATGTCAAAAATATCAAAAAAAATTTTTTATGTTAAGATTTCATGTTGGGACTGAAATTACAACATTTTATCCGAACAACGAATCTGACAATGATATGCAGACGATACTAAATACAGTAGCATATATTTCTAAGACTGGTTTTGATCAAGGATTGCAATATTTTCAATCTAACAACTTTACTGTAGCCATAAAAGCATTTAAACAGATTAATTTTGTTGCAATATCAAATATATTATCACCAAAAACATTAGTTTACCAAATTCAAATAATTAAAAACATCGCAACTTTTTTATTTGGTCCAAACTTTCAGCAATTCATGTTACATGAAATATCATCATCATACCAAGCTGTTTTTGCTAAATATGTGAACACATTCCTCAAATCCGTCGAAAATAATCCAAGAACTCTTCTCGCGATGGTAAAACACGATCATTCATACTACGAAAACTCTAAACTTGCAGCTTTAAGAGCACATCAAGGAGCGATTCCTGATGAAGTAAAATTTCAAGAATGTATAATTTTTTGTAATCATCGTATTGTTGGCAGATTTACACGCAAAAATGCAGCTCCTCTAAACTGTTTCGATCTTTTCATACTGTCATTATTCGAAAGCATTGAATTTAGTGAAGAATCAAGTGAAGATCGATCTTTTTTGAATCCTAACTACGTAACGAGTGTTAATCCGTCGAATATACAATACAAAGGAGGCTATTTACTAGTTTCTGGAACTGTTCAACGTTGCTCCATCGCTGTTTCTAGATTAGGAAATAATTCTGCCTACACTATGTTATTTATTTCGCAAGACACTGTATCGCAACAGCAAAGAGACTTGATAAGGAATATCATGGGAATCATTGCAGAATCGGTTATGGGGATTTTTAAACCTCCAACGAATATTTGTACATTCCAAAATCCTGTAACCATATTTACTCAAATAATTATCAATAGATCTACAGGAGAATCGTTTGAATTCGCTCCTGCGATGTCAGAAAAAGCAGAAAAAGTTTATAATCTTATTATGCGGAATATAATCAACAAAAGCTCTGAAGCCATGCCAAGAGGTTATCAGACAATGCTTTGGAATGACGGAAGATTCACTTTTCTTTACGAAATGCGGTTTGAAAATATTTATGGAGTTTTTGCTGACGTTGAGACCTCTTTGAAGAACGAAAACAAAATCCTTGTTGACAGCAAAAATATTTCCTACGAGAATATTGCAATAGAAATCTTTGGTCCCGCAATGGAATACTCAGTTTACGAAATCTTTACTGTTTTTGTATCAACAATCGATCAGAAGAGTGCTGTAGTGCTCAGCAGACAATTTTCTGAGAATACCATTAAACAATTATCACCAAAAATCGATACAAGAAAGAGAAAAATTAAATCTCAATCTTCTTTGAACTTATTCTCGACATATTCAAGCCACAGAAGAATGAGCAGCCAACCAAAGTCATCAAGACCAATATTAGCTTTAGGAGTAATGAAAACTCCACAGAAAAACTTGTAATTCTAATTGCAAGTTATTTATCTCTGTTTTTTGTTAGTAATATAAATATTTGAATGTTTGATAAGAATGTTTAACTCATTGCTATTTGATTTTTCTGTTATATTAAGTATTTTGAAAAATTTGAATCTTTGATCTTCAGAAAAATTAGTTTCCTTTGATTATCAGTCTATAAAAACAATATTTATTATATATGTTTTGCTTTTGCCAGTTCATAAAAAGCAAAACATGAGCGGATTGAGATTTTTTGTTTGATTTTCTTTTTGTGAAAAACAATCAACAAAGTTTACATCGTACTCGGATTTCAAGGTTTCGTAGCTCTAAAAACGTGTGTGTTCATAACATACTATTTTGAACTCCGTTCTTCAATCTTAATTAGCTCAAAGAAAAAAAAAATCAAAACATTTTTGAGAAGGATTTGCAACTGAAATCATAATTTTTACTTGTTGGCTTGTACACATTTTCATTTTATCCGATTTCTCTTGATGCATCGGGTCTTTTTACATAAGATTTACAAAAAGTGTCAAAACTCGAGAGAAATGCAGCAAGCAAATTTAGCTGCAGCTGCTGGGCAGCTTCAAAATATGTGCGTGTCTCTAGAGTCTCTGGCACAACAAACAGTTGCTCATAGAAGAAAATTTCAATTTGCTGTTAGCCAATTGAGGCAATTTTGTGATCATTTTGCCTCAGTAGCAGATGCAACACCTCTCAACCGAGTTCAGTTTGACACATATAAATTCCTTATTTCCGATGTTTATAAAGAATTCACAGACCTTTTCAAACAAAATATGTTACAAACATGGGCTCAAACAGCTCTTGAAAATCCAACATCCGACATCCCAACAGATTTATGTACACTCACTTCTGATTTGCAAGAAAAAACTTCTTGTCTCGATCAAGTTGGCTCACAATACTTTAATTCCACTGCCCCTCAATGGCTTCAACTCCACTTGCTTGATATTCGCGCTATTTCTGCTTCCTTCCAGCAATTTATGCAAGTTCCAAACCAAGATCCTGCTGTAAAGGAGTACGTCGTTGAGCGTCTTCACAGTATTGATCAATTCCTTGCTACATATAAGGACCACGATTCATTACAATCAGGGTTAGCTGTATTCTCCCCAATTCCTGTTACATATCAGTCATGGCGTCTCAAGCATACAGATTTACAAGCCGACAACGAGATTGGCAGTGGTGTTTCCGCTGTTGTTTACAGTGGCACCTATCTTCCAACAGGAGAAGCCGTCGCCATCAAAAAATTAAAATTCAAGAAGCTAACAGGTCCAAAACTACAAGCTTTCCAGCGTGAACTTGCTATTCTTGCAACAGCCATCCATCCTACAGTTCTTAAATTCATCGGTGCTACAGATTTCGCTCCATTCTCAATTGTCACAGAATGGATGCCAGGAGGCTCTCTTTACCACGATATCCATCAAAACCATAGACTCGACGTTACAGATCAGACAATTGCTCTGTTCGATATTGCTCGCGGAATGAGATTCCTCCATTCCCGCTCAATTATCCACAGAGACCTCAAAACTCTGAATGTCCTGATCGATAAGAACAATCGCGCGAAGATCTGTGACTTTGGTTTCTCCAAACAAACCGAAGAAAATCAAGTCATGACAATGAACATCGGAACACCTCACTGGATGGCCCCAGAACTCCTTAACGTGTCCCAGGCAGACCAAAACGCTGGCCAATACAACTCCAAAGTCGATGTTTACGCATATGCGATTGTCATGTGGGAAGTTTTAACTCACGACCTTCCTTACAGAGGTCTAGAAGCTACGCAGATCATTGCTCAAGTGTTAATGAACGACGCCAGGCCAGCAGTTCCAAGAGGATCTCCGAAAGCATTTGTAGATCTTATGAAAAGCTGCTGGGCACGTGATCCAATCAATCGTCCATCATTTGCAGAGATTGTTCGCACATTTAGAACCGGCGAAATCTATCTTGAAGGTACTGATCACAAGAGATTAATGGAATACATCGATTCCTGTGGCGAAGAAGCCGATTTAGCCACACAACAGCTTCAAACACATCTCAACAGCCTCGATAGTTCTTCAATCCACTTCAGCGAGTTCATTTCCATGATGGAAAACGAAGGAGTTCCTGAAGAACAAATCGACGCATGTTGGTCAATGATTCACAAGCACAAAGACAGCGATGTAGACTTATTCATTCGTGGTTTGATCGCTTTCTTGAACACAAGGATGTCATTGAAGGCTGGTGAAGAATTACGCGAGTTGCCATCAATACCAACAGCTTGTGCAACTAAAATAGCGAACCAGTTGCCAACAGGTGATGAAAAACTCGATGAAGCTTTGTCTGTTTGCGCTTGCAAGAACGGATGTGCAACAACAGTTCTCGCAACAGCAATTAACGCAGAACACATCAAATTGGCATTGGAATGCATTGCACAGAAAGGATGCAAAGATGAAGAGATTCCTACTGTTGTTCAGATCGCTAAGAAACAGTTTTTGTCGCAAGATCCGATGATGTCTGTTTCTGTTTTGAGATGTTTAGTTGGTTTGCAACAATACAAAGAGATCTCTGTCGATATCATCAGAACATTCCTTGGTACATCGAACAACAACTTGAAACAAGCAACTTATGTAACTGCAATCGCTGTTGCTAACCAGGGAATTGAGTTGCCTGTTGATTTGATCGACGGAATTGCTTCAAGAGCTTTCACTGATCCATTCGGAACTTCTGTTTTAATTGCAGCATGCAACCATCCAACAACAGCTGCACATCTTTTGCAGATGATTGAACACGGTTTGAGATGTCCAATCACTGTTTCTGCAAGAATGATTTTGGTCGCTTCGAAACATAAGGAATTGAAGCCACTCTTGCAGGCTGCTGTAAGAGCTGTTCCGATTAGTCATGATCAAGGCCTTAAGAATTTGTTGGTTAGGATTACATCATAAGTTTTTTAATATCTTTTGTTGTGATTTTTTTTTTATTTTATTTTTTTATTTTTTAATGTCTCTGATTAAAAAAAACATTGATATTTATTAATTTACCAACCATATTTGATAGATTCCTGAGAACATATTTGACAGTGTTTGAACCTCTAACAAAGAGAGAATATTGATGATGAATTGAGAAAAAAATGAAATCGAGTTTAATCTTTTGTGGAATTAACTAACCTGGTTCCTGTTAATTTTTGTATTACGTAATATAAAGCTCAAATTTGTATTTGCTGAAAATCATATTAAAAAGATTTCACAAATATACTTGAATGATTAGAGATAATTAAATTATAAATTTGATACGAAAGATAATGTATATGCAAAAAAAGTTTCATTTTTTTCTTGGGAAAAAATGAGTTATCAATCTGGCCAAAGACAAAACAAACCAGATTTTGCGACACTTAGACTTATGAAAGATTTCGAAGATATTGACACGCTTCATAGCATTTACGTTCACTTTCCAGATCCGAATTATTTGAAGTATTTTATTGTTCGAGTTCAACCTGAATCAGGACTTTGGGAACTTGGACAGTTTGACTTTGAATTTAGAATTCCAGATGAATTTCCTTTCCAAAGGCCAAGGGTAAAATGTCTTACAAAAATCTTCCATCCAAATATTGATGAAGAAGGTTCTGTTTGCTTAAGCATTCTTAGAGAAGCATATAACCCTACTGTTTCAATTCCTTTCCTCATTGCTGGAATTCAATATTTGTTCACAGAACCAGAACCAAATGATCCATTAAACAAAGAAGCAGCACAACAAATGATAAACGATTTTGCCCTTTTCAAGACAAATGTCGATAAATACGTTTGTTTATATTGTACCAACATGGATCCACTCGAAAACTATGAACCAAACTATGATAACAACTCGATATGATTAATAATTCCCTACAAAATGGCATACAATTCAGTGAAAATTTTGAAAAATATAATTTTATTTAAGCCTTCAAACTTGACATACAATATATATGTTTGTAAAAGATAATTATATACAAATCTTCTCCGGTTTTTGTTTCTTTATCAATAATTTGAGAAAAAATCTCATAAAAATCATAAAAATTCATAATTATAAAAGGAAAAATACTTGATTTGTATGAATAAACACAATATTATCAGTGAAAATTTATAAATATAACAAAAATAAATGAAAAATAAATTATTTGGATCCTGAAAGATATTTAAGGATCTTGGCTCTTGTTTCTTCGGTCGATTCGATTGGTTGTGGCTTCGCAGCTTCGATATATTTATCAGGATAAACATATTCTGCAATTCTAGCAGCATCTTCTTGTTCTTCAGGCGCTGTCCATCGTGCAGCATCTGCAGCAATTGTTCTGGCGAAGTTTGTGACCTGTAAATCTGGAGTTAGACACAAAAGTGGATATCTGCAGAGCAAAAGTTCTTGTTCTCGTTCAATTGACATAGGTTCTAAGCTAGACTGGTCTACTTTCAAATGAACGCGTCTGAATTTCTCAATATTTCTTCGTCTGTCAACGACTTCACAGATTAAGCCTCCATCATACCATGTAAGGCCTAATTTCTTAACTGCTTCGTATAACGTTTTAGGTAATACACCTCTATTGATATCGTATATTAAATATTGACCCTCTGATGAAATATCTCCTGTGATTTCGAGTCCTCCTGAAGCTGAAACGATTGAAAACACATCTTGATCAAATGTAATTGTTAGTGAAGGTGTTAAACCTGAAAAAATGCTAACAGGGAGCTTTTCAACATCAGCGTCTGTATTTCCGTAAACTTTATTTTGAAACTGCTGGCGAAGCTGAATGCATTCACAAATTTCTCTTCTGTATGCCGATAAATGAGACATGTCCAGCTTTGAAACGTAGTCTTTGATGACTTCTTGATATTGATCGATCAAAACCGGTCCTTTTCCGGAAATTTCATCCATAGGCTCTGTTGTAACTTTGCTAAAAGATGATTTATATTGTGGAAGAAGCTGTGGCTCAGTCTGAGTTTCTAAGGAAACTCGTTGAGTCATTTATATATAGGTACAAAAGTGACACGGAAAGGAGAATTATAATATGGATTGGGAAGGAAAGCCAGCCTGGTTTAACAGGCCACCTTATGTGAGTAACCTGCGCATCCAGCCTGGTCTTCGACACCAATCACGTCTGTTTACTCCTCCTGAACCATTTAAGCGTCCTCCAGACCGATTTCCAGATGCTCAACTCAGAATCGCAAAGAATAAATCAGATGTACATCCCCAATTACTAATATTCTTAAATGATGCAAAAAACCTCTTCTCAAGGCAACTTCCAAATATGGGTGCTGGTTACATTACAAGGCTTGTTTTTGATTTCAATGCAGAAACAGTCTTAGTCTTGCATAGAGGTATAGTAACTGGTGGAATCTGCTCTAGACTTTTCCCAATTGAACAATTTATAGAAGTTGTTTTCTTGGCTGTCGATTCTCAGTTTCAAGCACGTGGTTATGGTCGTCTAGTTATGAGCTACCTCAAAAAATCAATTCTCGTTTATCCATTTTACGATATTATTGCATGTGCAGATAATGATGCCGTTATTTTCTTCAAGAAGCAAGGTTTCAATGACAAAGCAATTAACATGAATCCAAAACGCTGGATTGGCCGTATTAAAGATTACGAAGGCGTTACTCTTGTGCATTGTCCAATTCACCAAGACATTGACTACATGACATTCCCAGGAGTCATTAACAAACAGATCAGATTTGTGGAGAACATGATTGGACCTCACTTCATTGATCCTCCAGCTAGCCTCAAAAACGCTTATAGAGGTTTCCCAGAAGCACCTTCATTTGCATCAATATCTTTACCGGAAATGATGAAAATGACACAAGACCGATATGAACAGACTCCTATTGAATCAGATAAACTTGATAACTACGAAGAAAAAATGAAACAACAACGCGATAAAATGCTTACGATACTTTCGGAATTAGAAAATGATCCTAAGTTCGGATACGTTTTCATTCGTCCAGTTACAGAAGATATTGCTCCAACTTATTTCGATACAATTAAAAACCCAATGGACTTTTGGACAATGCGTAAAAGACTTATTAGATACCCAGATTTCTATAAACGACCTGAAATGTTTGCTGCGGATATTACTTTAATTACAGACAATTGTAAGGCTTTTAACCAGCCAGGTACCATTTATTCTTCGGCTGCAAACCAATTGATGTCGAGATTTAGACAACTTTACTTCGAGAGTTTCCCGAATAACCCTATTTAATCATAAATAATGTTTTTATTTTTTCTGTAACTTTAAGATTTTTTGGTAACTTAAATTGAACTTTCTTTGTTAGTTCCTCTTGAGAATTATTCCATATAAAAATTAGATTATCGTATTTGAATGAAAATTGGGATGTGAGAGTCTCATATGTGTCGAATTAAGACGAAAAATAGATAGATATGTTTCCAAAATTTTTTCATTTTTATAAAAATGAAGAACAATACTTAGAAAAAAATGTTGAAAAAATGAATTTTCAATAATTTTTGGAAGTTAGTCTGCATTTCATCGCGATTTTAAAGCGGCAATTCATTTTAATAATAAATATGTCTATTAAATTTTTATACAAAATCCTAGATTATCGATTTGATTAGATTTTCCAATTTCAAAAATATATCAAAATTGAAGAATTTTTAGTTAGTAATGTTCACAGTTCAATAAAATTGATAATGTATATTACAGAATGTTATAAAATCAATCACACAATGAGATTGACCTTCAAAATTTTTGACAAAATCTGAGAAAATGAAGCCAAAGGTCCAAGTCATTGCCCGCCGTGAGGCAGATTTTGCCAGAGCAACCAAAACTGATGGCTTAAAGATCTTGAAGAACACTGCACCTGAATTACACCCATTATCTCAACAAATTGAATACGTTCGTGCTGTTAGAGCCGCCAAAATGAAGAAAATGTTTTCCAAGCCATTTATTGGATCATTGGAGGGTCACTCTGATACCATTACAGCATTATCAAGAGATCATCGTGAAGGAGATATCCCGACATTAGTTTCTGGTAGCGTTGATGGAGATATTCGCATCTGGGACCTTTCTGCTCGTGAATGCTTACACACATTTCATGCTGGATCTTGCGTTAATGATGTTTGCAGTGATCACAAATCAGAATTAGTACTTGGTGTCAGCGCAAACGCACATATCTACGGTTTCAGAGTTGATTCTGATAGCGATGATAAAGTTCACTTTGATTATACATCACCACATGGACATTTAAGCTCAATCGACTTTTCTTATGCCAATGATCAATTTGTTACAGCAGGCGAAGCTCTTATGCTCTGGTCACCACATCGTAACCAACCGATCCTCAAATTCAGCTCTCAAATTCGTCAATTTACAGATAGCGTTTTCAATCAAAACGAACAGAACCTCATTTGCGCCTGTGCAGAAGACAGAAGCATCATCATCGCAGATACACGTACATCTACAATTGCTCGTACAATTACGATGAAGACTAAATCAAATGCAGTTGATTGGAACCCACAAAAGCCATTCTACTTCGTTGTTGCAAACGATGATTCCGCATGCTATCTTTTCGATGTTCGTAAGACCGAATCCGCCATCAGAGTTTTCACAGATCATTTAGGACCAGTTACATGCATCAATTTCTCTCCAAATGGAAACGAATTCGTTTCCGGCAGCTACGACAGAACAGTCCGCGTCTGGGATTGGTCCCAAATCAAGTCCCTCGACTGCTACCATACGAAACGTATGCAAAGAGTATTTTCATGCTGCATTTCACATGATTCTAAGTTCGTCATCACTGGTTCAGAAGACATGTCAATCAGACTCTTCAAGACTAAGGCCAATGAAGTACTTACAGCCAGATCAAAGAAGGAAGAAGAGGCACAAAACATGAATGAAAGATTACTCAAGAAATGGAGACATTCTACTGAAGTTAAAATGATCGCTGAGAAACAGAACCTTCCAAAGACACTTCACAGACAGAGATACGAAAGAGCCAAACAAATGGACGCTGTTTCAAGAAAGGCTTTAGCAAGAATGGCCCATTCTAAGGATCCAGAATCAATGAAACCAAAGCCATTGAGAATTGGAAGAATCGTGGACGACGATGGAAGAGAAGAACAAAAGCAAGAAGAACAGGAAGAATAAGCCTTTTTCTTTTTACTTTGATTTTATGTTATTTACCATTTTTTTTGATAGAGATAAAGATTTTTTATTTTATTTATTATTTTAAACCAACAGCTTTTAAGAGTTATCATTTGAAATAACCTTGATTCCGGTCAACTTCAAAAATCTTCAAAATTTGAAGTTTCGGAGTTCTTAATTTTTATATTTTATTTCATCTCGAGAAATGTTAGGTGTTATTTTATATTCGAAATTGAAAAAATTTCATTAATTTTTTTTTATAACTTCTAAATGAATTCTACTTCAGATCTTGATTTTAGTTCATATGAGCTACAGTTGATTGACTTTGTGAAAAGGCAACGACATGAAGGTAAAGAATTGATAATCGAGAAAGAAATGACTCAAATTTCGAAGTTCATTGCAATGAATCATAAAGTTTCATATAAATTACAGAAGTCCCAATTATACAAACAGTTTCCTTTTATATCAGATATTTCAATTTGCCTTAATAAATTAAAAATTCGAAAAGCAGAGGATCCATTTTTATTAATTTCAAATGATATTGTTGGAGATCCTCGGTTTAAAAAGTGTATTAATGATGATGACTTCGAATATGGAGGTGTTTCTGTCTTTATTCAAGATAATGTAATAGTTTATTGTTTAACCTTCGCGAAAATCAATAAAGACATGCTGAAACGGGTTTACACAAAAGTTTTAGATGATATCAAAGAAGAACGAACAGCTAATATTGAGACAATTCTTCAAATATGTAACGATATTCGATTTGAACTTCGTATAAAATCAATAGGAATTCAACAGGAGAACCAGAAATTCCTTGACGATCACGTTCAAGATTTTAAATCAAACATAAATTCAATAAATGAAATACAAGAATATACTCAACAGTTTAATGGGCATTTCGTACATTTTCAGAACTTAGATTTCCAAGACATTAAGTCCACATTTGAGGTGATGCTTCAAAATCCAGAATTCATCAATTTACTTTTATCAAATGCTCGTGAATCTGGTTTATCGATATATCCACCATCTGACTTATTTATTATTACTACATACTATCAAAATGTCAATAAGTCATCAGATAATCTGGATCCGAAACCAGATAATCTAAGTCAGATGAACAGTCCATTGAAAATACCAAAGAAGTCACGAATTCCTATCTCTCCTCCTATAGTTATATCTCCTCGTGATACTAAACGAAAGATTCCAGTTCGACCACCATCTGAAGAGACCGCTGCCACAAGTTCTGTACTTTCGAGGAAGAAACAAATACTAGCAGCCCAAGTGTATGCAGAAATGGATGCAAACCCTCCAATGATGGCTGAATCTCCTGCACTTAATAGGCCAAACACCATTGGTTCTGAACTTGCGAGGTTAGTTAGAGAGCAGCGACAAAAGCAGAATGCAGGAAATCCAAATAATTGTCCATTTGGCGATCCTTTCGCTGACGATGATGATTTAGTTGTTCCAACATGCGCAAAAGAAGCTTTAGCGCAAAGAAAAATGAGAGAATCAAAAGGAATATACGATAATCCATTTCCTCCTTTCTTATTAGATGGAAATGACGATGATGACGATTTAGTTATACCAACAGTTGCCAAAGAGTTCCTGAAACAGAAAGGATTGACTATTGAAGAAGTCAGAAAGAGTCAAATGGTCGCTCCTTTAACAAAACAAGACCAGGAATACGAATTTCCTACTTTAACCGATTCTTCATCAGCCACAGCTTCTCCAATCAAGCTCAATTCGTCTAAGGAAGATCAGGATAGTGGAGAACTCCTTCTTCCGATCCCCGTAAACTCATCTTTAAGTGATGATTCTGATTCCGTCATGGAAAGTACCCAAAATTACTCAGCCGCCAAAAATACGCCAACAAGAAAAAAGCAGAGTGTGTTTGCTTCACTCAATGACTACAATTTCAACGACCAAGCATTTCAACCTTTCCAAAAAGCCTCTTCTGCTATTTCAAACATCAATATTCCAGCTTCCCCGCAACGGAAAGCCGTTACGAAATATTCGGTACGCGATTCGGATGACGAAGACGAAAAAGAAAAAGTTCCGAAATTGAACCTAAAATATTCGGTACGCGATTCGGATGACGAAGACGAAAAAGAAAAAGTTCCGAAAATTGAATCGCATCCTCCTATGAATCCATTGGAGTTAATAGGTGGCGAAGATACACAAGACGTGGACCACAAGATGATGCTCGATGTTAAACTATATGATGCCAGAGGAAACATCGAAATGATCACAAATGGCTGGGAACAAAAGATCGCAGAAGAGAAAGAAGAAGGAAAGATAAGACTCCAGCAGCTCGACGCTAAGTATGAAGTTGAAATGCGCAATTATAATGCACAGATAACCATAAAAAAACCAGATGGTTCCGTAATTTATCGACCACCCATTCCAAAGACAGCTGCAGGGCGAAAAGAAGACATCCAGGCTAAATACATAAGAGAAAAGGAGACAATGAAGAGATTTAATGATAGGAAAATCGGTCTAATGATCGAAGCAATGCAAAGAGAACTTGAAAGACCAAAAGCAAAATTAATTGAAATAGAAAAAGAGTATGAGAAGTATGGATACATCATTCCTCCACCGAGGGAAAAACATGTAACAAGACCTAGAAGAAATACAAGTAGAATTGCTCCAAGAACATGATTTTTTATGTTCCAATTATCTATATTAGTAATTTTTTTTATGTTTTATTTTGTTTGTTTGTAAATATAAGGTATTTAATATACATATATATTCTTTACGAGTGATATGTAGTTTTTTTTTCTTCCGTAATTCTATTCAATTTTCAAAATGAATTGAGAACTTTACAAATTGTAAAGAGAGTAGTCAAGTAAAAATTCTCCATAAGACAGTACAATACTTTTTTGTCCCCTGTTCAAAATAGCATCTATACTGTGAAATAAATAATATTACAAGCTAATTTTCTGATTTTTCATGGAAAATTTCGTAAATGAAAAATTCATAAGGTGAACTAAAGTTTCAGAAAAGGATTGACTCGGGGTTATGATTTTTGTGTGAAATATAATAATTAAATATATAAAAAAGAAATTAAAAAAAGAATAAACAAATGAAAGAAATTTGTGGATAAATCTTTTTATTGTATGGATGTCATATCATGACGAATTTATTTCTTGTCAAATTGAGAGTTAGCGTCCTTAACAAGATCAGCGATATCAGCTGGTAATTCTGCGATTTGTGTTTGATATATTTTTTCAATCTCCTTGATTCTGATCATGTCGCTTGCATCGCAGATGTTGATAGCGATACCCTTTCTACCATATCTGCCAGAACGACCAATACGATGGAGATAATTCTCAGCTGTATTTGGCAATTCGAAGTTAATGACCAATGTAATCTGCTGGACATCAATACCACGAGCCAAAAGGTCAGTTGAGACTAAAGCGCGTGTATTGCCTGTTCTAAATTGATGCATAATTCTATCACGTTCTGCTTGTTCCATACCACCATGGATAGCAGAAATATTGAATTCGTTGGCTTCAAAGCTCTTCTGAAGGTATTCTACAGTCTCCTTAGAGTTTGCAAAAATGACAGCCTTTTGGATAGAAAGGGAGCCGTAAATATCGAGGAGTGTTGGAAACTTGTTAACACTGGTTTCAACATTTACGTAGAACTGCTTAATACCTTCAAGTGTAAGCATTTCGGCCTTGACGAGAATTTTAACTGGATCATTCATGAATTGGTCTATGATGCTGAGGATTTCTTTTGGAAATGTGGCGGAGAATAAAAGGAATTGAATGTCCTTATTAAGATATTCGAAAATTTCTTTGATTTGGGAGATGAAGCCCTCGCCAAGCATTTCATCAGCTTCATCAATGCAAGCAATCTGAATATTCTCGCAGCGAAGATAACCTTTGGAAATAAGATCAAGTGCACGTCCTGGTGTGGAAACTGCAATATGTGGGCATTCCTGGGCTTTAGCCTGATCATCAGCAACTGAGTTACCACCCTTGAAAAGCTCAACCTTGAGGTCAGCCATCTTAGAGCCTATTTCAACAAAGAAATAGTAAATCTGTGTGGCAAGTTCTCTTGTTGGTGCAAGAACAAGGGCTTGTGTTGTAGGTTGCGTAGTATCTATTCTATTTAAAATGCCAATTGCAAAGGCACCTGTCTTACCTGTACCAGATTGAGCCTGGGCAATGACGCAGCGATTCATCAAGATAGGTTTGATGGAAAGTGATTGGATATCAGATGGACCTCTGAAGCCATAGTTGTAAATACCTCTTAATAATAATGGCTTCAACTCCATTTGATCAAAATCATCGATGCGCTCATTCCAGTTTGCTTCGAAGGTTTCGGATTCGCCTTGAGGGGCATTCCTTCCCTGATATGAAGAACGATATTGTCTACCTCTACCTCTACCTCCACGGCCGCGGTTCATCGAAAAAAGTGTCAGATTTCAATACTTTATTTTCTCAAATCTCTTTCAAAAAACCAAACGGTCATCAACAAAATATGTATAATCGGTCGAAGTGATTAACATGAAATCTGTATCTAAACTTAAAAGGTAACATTATATCTGGCTAATTAAAGTCAATTTTTTAGCTCGTAAGACTCCCATTTTCACTAAGAAGATTGGCCCCTCCTTGAAATAGATTTTTGTAAAACTCGAGCTCCAACACATATCGCACATGCCCGATTTTAAAATACTTTCATTTTTGGAATCTTATTGTAAAATATTAAATTTTGCAAGGGGTAAGTATGAACAATATGTATTCCTTGGGATAAAAGAGGAGTGACACTATTCATTGATGTCCATAAGTCAATTCATTTTACAAATGTTATGCCGAATATCGATTTTCATACATAAATAGGAGAAAGTATTACTTGTTTCCTTGACTTATGCTATTGCATTCACCTATTAAATACTCATGAGCTATAATAACCATGCATCTATTGATTCAATCATATTCAATTTTATTATCTTCATTTTAAAGCTTTATTTTAATAACTTACATTTAAATGGTCAACAGCTTGTCATTCTACTAAAGGCTTTGCTGAAATGTTGACCTTGTAATCATTTCAAATTTGAAAAGCAAATTTTGAAAAGCTTCTGACGGAAGTTTTTATCTATGCATTATTAGCTTTAATATCTGATACTTTTTACGGTATTTTTCAATTTTTATTCAATAAAAATGCTATAATATTTATAAAGATACGCTATATTATACTAATTTCAATTTAGACTTGCATTTTTTTGAGTATCTTACTATCAAAAGTTCCACTTTTTTGCTGACCATAAATTGAAAAGAAATTCATTTTAACATTTTTCAGTTATTTGATTTCTTTTTTATTAGCGATTGTTTTCTGTGTTTTATTTCTTATCTCAAAATAAATCGGTTTAATTCAATTTGTTTTCATCAATTGCATGCTGGGTTTTCCTTTCCTTGATATCGCCCAATCCATTATTTATGAGAATAACAGAACAGTCACAAAAGAAATGCTGGACACTACTGCCGAAATGGTTATGAAGCTTGTAAATAAGGAAATAAAATTCGAAGAAATTAAAGCACCTAGTATTCCAATCAGATGCTTTATGGATGCGTGCAAGAAGGTCTCAGATGTCCTTAATACCGAGAATGAGCCAATTCCTCCTCAGATTGGAGATGAAGTACCTCATTACGGCGAGAGGAAGAAGACTCACCAATGGACAAAAAACGAGGACAACCGCTTACTAATGGGTGTCTACAAGTTTGGCCTCTCAAATTGGGCAGCTGTCTCTGAATACGTTGGGTCGGGAAGAACAAAGTGTCAGTGCAACCAAAGATGGGTCAGAGCACTTGATCCAAAAATATCTAAAGCTGATTGGACTGAAGAGGAAGAAGAAAAATTACTCCAATCCATAAAACAATTTGGAAATCACGCATGGACAAAAATCAGTTCTGCTCTGGGCAACAGGACAGACTTTCAATGCAGATATCGATATATTCAGATGAAGCGCGCTGAAGAAGAGAAAGAAAAAGAACTGAAAAACGAAAAGCCGCTATACCCGATCCCACAGATTAATAGTATTCCAAATCAGCAATCTCAGACGATATTCTTAGATAAATTTGATATCGACTTAGTACTAGAAAAGGATAATGATCCTCTCCATTTCGCTCAAGAGTCTTCGTGCATTGATCCAGAGACCTTGTATGATACTACTGTTTGGTAATTTCATGATTGTAAATTGATAATGTTTTATTTTTGAAAATAATACAATCTAATTTTTTGATAATTTTTACTATTTCTCTTATGGATTGATAAGTGAAATATATGACATTTAATTGATTTACCTTGTAACTCTCAAAAACTGGTTTAATTATTGTTGCCTATCGTAAGTGAATCATGCAATCAGATTAATCAGAATTATATTTGTTTTCATCATATACATCAAATGAGCAATAAAAACCCTATTTTCATAAAACAATTGTTTAGATTTCTAACTCCAACCACTGCGATTTCAAACAATCTTTTAAAAATCGATTTAGGCAAAACTCAGCAAGAATATAATAAATTGTTACGACCGTAAAAATGAAGGTGAATAATTTTACAGCAAACGATACGAATTATTGTTTCCCTATGAATCTATTTATGCAGATGCAAACAAATCATCTTCCACAGATAGAGAGTAGAACCAAATTATCAGGATGCTCATATTAAAAAGAATTCATTCGCATTTGTTAACGTTGGAACGAAGTTTCTGATGATTTCGACTAACAAAAGAGAATCAAAGCGAATTGTCGGGATTCATCATGTATATACATATTCTTATTTTCGAATGATTATGATTCACTGTTTATTGAACAGTAATCATCACATTGACTAAAGCAGATGCTGTTTGATGTTCTCAAACAATAAAATGTTTGTGTGAAGCCATTCTTTGATACGAAAGAAATTAATTTGTCTATTTATAACAAATAAGTTAAGTGGTGCATCTCGAATAACAATAAATTAAAAATTCAATGCAATTTCAGCCAGTTTTCACTATTTTTATGAATGATACAAATAGTATTTCGCCAAGAGACATTAAACATCCCATAACAACAACGAAAAAGAAAAAGATTAAACATCAAAGATCCATATTTCAGAGTATTTCATCAAAATATGACTCAATTTTTAAATCTTTTTTATCAAAAATCAGTTTTAGCGACAATTTTCATAATAAATTACACATCCTCGAATTATATACAGATACAGACAATATCACAGATAATACTGAACCATCAGAAACTAAACCATTAGATGAACTTTTTACTAATGTCGGTCAAAAGTTTGAGACAGAGACCGTAAAGCATGAAGGCTATCGTTTTGACTACCCATTAAGATGGTTAAGAGACCCATCTGTCACAAAAGCTATTGGCTTTCGTAGAATGAAGTTCATTTCAGAAGCCATACATGGTTTCCCATTTACGGTCGGTTTTTGAAGTTCGATACTATAACAAAGAAAAACGTATGTTGAGAAATTTGAAACAGGAAAACTTTTACAAGTTAGTTTGCTTGTAAATTAGAAACAACTCTTCAAGCTTTTCAAGAAAAAATAAACGATATCTATATCGAATATGCAAAACAGTATAACATTGACGAAGGAATACCATCTCGATATTATTTATGACAGGAAAAATGCAACTGTTAAAATCAATAGAATAGAAGACCTTGGAGAAAACGTTTATATTTCTACAAAATATAACAACTTGGCATGGTATAGATTTATGAGGATGTTAAATCAGCCTGCAGCATATCCAGTACACCCAGACTTTTATGAAGTCGAAAACCCTAATGGAACATATGAAAATGTTTTCGACCAAGATGCTATTATTGTTCATGCTTCATTTTCTGGCGCCAAAAACTCTTTTTTATGCTTGGCAAATGACTTTTACGAAAAACCTACAAAGTTATACGAACCACCAAGTGGAAGTATTTCAGACTTTCAAGTATGGTTTACTACAGATGGAAGAAAAGATTTACTACCAGATGGAAAGAAAAGAAATAATTCCATTATACCATGCGTTTTACTTAGAACTTAGTTTCATATACAACTACTATCGAACGGTAAAATATAATTTTTTAATACGGTTGAGGTGTTGGATTTGGTTGCCAACTAGACTGTGGTGCAGGTTCAGGCTGTTGTATAACAGGAGCTTGCTCTTCTGGTTCAGGGTCTTTAGGTATAATACCAACGAACTGACCTACTCTTTTACCAATATTTTTGACTCCGTTCCAATTCCTCTTCCTACGGTTTTTTTCCATTCCATATACCTCTTCCAATTTTCGAAAGAAGTTTCCAATACTACTGAGAAACCCATTTTACTATATGTAAAAATCTAATGTCCGCCTAGTCTTTCGTTTCCTGTTGAGTTCCATAGCATTCTTTAACTGGAGCTCATACATTCTGTTTCTCCTCTGGTAGAAAACATATTCTGGGTCACTCCTGTGTTCGCGTCATCTGCAATAAGTTGTTTATATCCCACTTCAGGGTTTGTATAAAACTCTTTCCATTCTCATATTTGCATACCATGGTGGCAAACCTAACGCAGCGTCATTTGACATGGCAGTTTGCATTTGTACATCTGTTGGCACTTGACCATAGTTTGCCATTGAAGTTTGTATTCTAACTTCATTTGGAATATTCTCTGGGTTTGTTTGTCCAGGTTGCTGTGCATTCGCTAAGTTCTGTGCGTCCATTTAATATTAGATAAAAATATCTCTTACGAGTACATATACTGGACATTTGCAGGCATTGGTTCATCTTCATATTCTCTGTACTTTTCTGCCACGTCAAAGAAAATAAATGACACAATGGAAAAAACCTAAAACAAGTGTCCGATTTCAAACCACATTTACTTACTAATAAAATTCCTTTGTTATGACACTTTCTCCAGTTTATAGGACCTCTCTCATATTCTATCTTGTCATATATAAACTCATAGTCATGTATGTCCTCTAACCATCTCATAACGGTTTCCAAACCACTTTTATCGGATGTAAAGTAAAAGCATGGATGGTTATGTAAAACGTCTAAAGTTTCTAAAGAGTCTCTCAAAGTCCAGTCTACTTGGTATTGAAAATCCCATGTGTTATAGAACGGCGGGTCCACTATAGAAAAACATTTTCCTTGTCTTTATATTTTTCATACAAATCTGTCCAATGACATCTCACAAACTCTATACCCTCAATATATTTTTCTATGTCCTCTTTGAAAACATTTGTATAGTTAAGATATAAAACTTTTGACATAAGTGTTTCAATGTCATGAACTCTTATAGAACCACTATATAATAGTCTAGCAGATATACTATCCCAGTCTATATATTCTGCTTTTTTCAAAACCTCTCTCACAATATTTTTCTTATCTAATGGTATACGTTCCATCTTACCTATCTGAATCTTTTCTTTTAACTCTTCAATATATTGTTTGTGTCTGGATATGTTTGAGACGGTCCATATAGTTGTCGAATCATTGCTATAATCTTTGAGTCTGGGAATATTATATGGCACAAATGGGATATATAGAAACTTCCACCGAACAAATCTACAAATGTTAGACCATTCGGTAGTTTCTTAAGTTTCCTCAATATAATATCTTTACATCTACTCTTATTTCCAAAGAACGGTAACGGTGGTTTTGTAAAATTCATTTTATATATAATAAAAATGTTTTTCCCCGAAAAGTGACAGAAAAGTGACAAAACATGAAAACATATATAATTTGTGAAAAGTGACACATAAATATGTTTTCGCCCAGAAACTAACAATTCTTGAAAAATTTTACTATTTTATGGGCTAGAGGGCGAAGGCCTGGAAGCCTCCAAATATAAACTTCATTTATTACTAAAACATCTTCAGGGCTAGAAGGCGACAAGTGCCTGGAAGCCCCATCTACCTTTTTTTTTTTTTTTTTCAGAAGTCTAATTTTATTTTATTTCCAAGTAACAATTTTGAAGCACGATATTTAACCGGTAAAATAGATTTTCTGAAGATTTGAAACATCAAAATCTCAAATTGTAAAATGAATAAAAAATATTTATTTCAAAATGTGAAATCTGAAAGGTGTGCTTTTAGAGATAAATAGATATTTCTCTTTGTAGAGTAAAACATAGTCCCCTTTTAATTTGATTCAATCAAGAATAATATTAAAAATATTATTTGTTTCATTCATGTTACAGCTCAATTTCTTTAATGCCAAACCTGAATCCAAAGTTCTAAGAATGAAAGGAAAAGATGAAAATATAAGAAACTCCAATATTGTTAAGTTAACATTTTTTGGATATATTATTTCCCTGGTCTTTGGAGTTATGAAGTTTGATTCAAATAATTAAATTCCTTAAATTTGAATTTGATCAATATTATTTATATAAACAAAGGAAAAAATTGATATAAAAACAACACATTTTTTATTTTTTTGCTCTCTAATAATTCCGTAAAAATCAATCTTAAGAAAGAACAACACGTTCTCACCCTTTTTTTTAGGTCCCATCATTCTAATCTATATTTATTTGACCAGAGTTCTGTTTTTCAATTGAAAAATTACGATGCATGCATTAAATCTTTATATCTCTGTTCGTTTGCCTTCTCCTATTTTTTCCCCTCCGTAATTACCTTCTTATCAAGGATAACCAGTCGTTTGTAATTCTGGAACCATCTATAGATTTTTTTGAGAGGATCACACTCAAAAATAACCATGGTAGTTGGCAAATTATCCGGGGTCGCCAAGGAAATACATATCATAACTTAAATAATTACAAACAAAGATTTCTTCAATTTAAATTCGTATTCAACCCATGGAGTCCATAGAAGTAGATTCACTAGTATAAACAACTTCAGTCCGGCATCTATTAAGTTCTCTACCCATGCTGCGAGTTTCCTATATGATGTTCAGAGACATTAAAAAAAGGATTTATCGTAGTTGAACAAGAATTCCTCCAAATCCTTTCTCGTTTATCATAAAAAATCTCTTTGTTATTTTATCACTAGGGCCTTGGCTTTGATTTAAATACGTATAATAACCTTCATTTATTGAACTCTATTCAGAATAGTTTCTCAAAACGAACTTGATTTTCAGTAAATTCTTCCATTCTGCTGCTTTGTCTGACTGATTTTTTGCTCTTTGTTACTTTTTACCTTTACCGGACATTCAAGTAAGATTAAAATTGTGTGTTTACATCTAAATCTGTG